AATTTTGAAATGGAGCTCTAAATAATTATGCATAGTTGCATTTTTCTTTAATTATTTATTTCAATCATTTCTCAATAAATCCAGAATTCAATGTCAGTCGGATAATATATTTTTCTTTCTACCAGTATATATGTGCTTTATCTTATTTCCTAACTAAGTAATGCTTTTCCCATGACATTGATTTTACATTTTGTTCTCATACATTTATTATCTCATAGTGGCATGTTCCACTATTTTAATTTCTTTACCTGATCTCTGTTTTGCAAATCATCAGAGCATACGACTCATTTTTACTATTATTAATATCTCTTATATTTTTCATTTATTATTATTATTATTTCGAACACTATGCTTTCTGACAGGCCCTCTATCGACTTTCTATTTCAATCCCTCTTTTTTCTCTCCTTTTTTTTTAACTTTTCATTTTACAATTTAAATAATTTTAAAAGCAGAAATAAAATGAAAATTATTCTCAAAATCGTATCCTGGATCTTATATAATAAAAAAAACTACATTCTAAAAAATTTGATCTATTCCGGTAATTTAGCCTATTTTTTTTAATGTTCAACATTATGTTTACTTAATTCTTTAACCTATTCTTTACAGTCTTGACAACTTCTTCTTTTTTCAACCCTTAAATATCACATTTTAATATTCTAAACACTTTAATAGCAATCTTTTTATAATTTAAACTCAAATATACTAAATTGTTAATCCTTTCCTAACAATTTGACACAATCACTATGTTCTAAATTTATCATCGTAACTAACTCATAGAAAACATTTTAACTGCCTTTTTGTATTTCTCCCATTTTACTCTTATAGTTCACCTTCCAAGAAATGTACAACCACTAAATCACATTCTCCACTCAGTACTTGTCAAAACTCTAAACTCCCTTTAAAAACTTTTACTTGCACAAAATAGAACATTAGCTGTACCTTTCCGCTCATTCAAGCTCATACGGCTCAATTTAAAGCAACTACTTTCTTCAATCCCATCATGTTCATCTAAAAAAATTTTATCAATGTTATCAATAAATGTTTATATCTCGAATTATAGCATTCAAAACCTCAGAATTTTGCACCCTTTTGGTTATAATGATTTTTAAAAATCCTATTTCAAAAATCAAAATTTTATTTACACAACAAATAAATGACTCGATACTAATATTAACAAATCCTTTGGACTGCTAATAAAGATTTAAAAATATAACGCACTAAACTCTCTGAATATTAGCTAAAGCTTATTCAAAAATATTTAATAATCTAAAAATAAAAATGCAACTAGCTTGCAGCATCATCTTTTCACTTGCTTCATTCGATATGCTTACATTTTAAAAACTCATAGAAAAAGATGTACCACCAAATAATTTAATAAAATTTGAACATTTTATCCAACAAGTTCTCCTAGCATATCAATTTATTTTCTTCCAGAAATATGCAGTCTATTGAGTGCATGCATCTCTTTATTTTTAACTGCCCCATTCATACAATCACATCTCGTACCACCTTGTGAATCTGCCTGCAAAGAAAAAATCATAAATTTCAAGGTTTAAACGGAGAAAAAATTTGCACATTTCTTAGTCAGAAAAATATTTTGTACAAGTTGCCCGAGCACAAATCTCTTCGAGTAATTATTAATGAATTATGGATTTTACTTTTCACTAATCTACTACAAAAAAGAGTTATATAAAAAAATCAAAGCTACAATTGGATGAAATCTTAATGTAAAAAACAGTCGCAAGAATTACTCACGCAGATTAAAGATTTTACTAATTTTGTTCATTTTAGGAATTAAATAATTATTATATAATTTAACAATATTATTCAATCGATTGCCCTTGGAAAATACGAATTCAATGCTACGAACAATGTTTTTGATGGTAGGGGATGCCCCTATGATTTAAAAAAATGTATTATTATTATAACAAAAATATATAATATTGACATAAATGCTATTTCGCAATATATTATATATGTAACCACATGTGATGATGAATAATAATAGAAATTATGTGGGCACTAAAAATGTATATTAATTTTTATTGTATCGAATAATTATTTAAATGTATCCTTAAAGGTCATGGAACTATTTTACAATTTGTACCAGTATGGGTTTAGATACGTTTATAAATGCATGATTATCAACTCTGAATATTACACATCCTATTTATTTAGATAAAAATGACATAAATTAAAATTTCATAAAACATAGTGGGACTTATTTTACCCTCGTCCGTTTATTTAAATATTAAAAATCATAATGGGGTTATACTTATATACTTTTTCAAAAATTATTAAATTTGAATACCGATTTTATCATTTATAATTTGGAGTAATCGACATCATCATAAACCTTTTTCAACAATTAAAATATCGTGTCATCAAAATAATTTCCTTTCGGAAATGCGTTATTAGTGTATATGTCACTAAAAGTTAAATATTTTTCATTTTTTTTATAAAAAAATATTTTAATATTCGTTTATTAAATGAAACAGGTAAATATTTATATTTTGATTCTTTTAAGTAGTATTCCATAAATGTATGTCTTATAGGGATATGGAATTGGATATTCGGAATCTTTCATTTTAAAATCTATTGCTGATGGCTTTTTTAAAAAATTTGAAAAATTCTATTTAACCTAAAATGTGTTCCGGCAGTACCGACACTGTAAATTTCAAAAATTTGTAAATTTATATTAATTTATAGATATTTCATAAAATTGAAAATCTATAAAAGTTTATACCTTAATGTGAAATTCATATAGCAGGTTCTCCACACATGTTGAAATTTCCGGTCAAATCAGTGTGTTAAATGTAAAAACCCTAAATAAAGGATTTGAAAATTGAGAGAATATGAACCCTTACGATTTCATATTTCATAATAAGTAATATAAATATTACAATATCCAAAGCGGTATAGAGGGTATTACAAAATTTACAGGGAAAATTTTACCCCAGCCACCCATTTTTACTAATTAAACATCAATTTGATTATCATTTAGAGAATTTTTAGAGAGTTTAAATTTTGAAACTGTTATAATAACATAGTTTAAAATATAAGGATTTTGAAATTTCAACACTATTTAAAAACAAAATCTTAAATTTTCTGATTTATGAGTTGTTAAAAATTTCATTTTAAATGGAAATTAGTTAAGAGTTACAATTAAAATTGGGTTCGGAGAGGGAATATCAATATAAACTGAATGATAGATTTTTTAAAATAAATCCCAACCCGCCCAATCCGATATTCTTGAGTTGAGTAGTTCTCTATTTGGTCTATGTACGCGAAATTCTTAACAAAACAATTTAAAATTTTTGAACCCCGATCTAATCCAATTTGAAATCACTCCAAAATACATAAATAAACCAAGTTCCTTTCTATTAAATTTAATATGCAATATGTGAAAAAAGTTTTCAGGATTATTAAAATGTTTAGCGATTTTTTAACAATAATATTATTTTTATAAAAGCATTATGCTCATAGTATAATTGCCAATTGTGTATTATACTCATAACATGCCTTGTTGAGATAATTAATTTATTTTAACACATATACATATCTTGATATCAAACATTGTTAATATTCAAAGGGCAGGCAACCTAGATTATGTTTTAAAAAACTTTTTTATTGTGCCTTTTTGCTATAAGTTAAGATGATAGGCCTCGGCCTGGTTTTTATCGCTGCTTTTAAAACGCCTTCAATGTTTGAAATAGGAGATAAAATTCTCACTTTTAACATCTTAAGCGTATTAAAATAGGCGTTAAAGAAGTGAACCAAGACTTTTATATCCTCAATATGAATTTTAACAATATTTTAGTATTCAAATATACTTATTATTTAAATAAGTTGCAATAAATGTTAAATAACATATTATTATATTAAACAACGATGCTATATTATAAAACATGATTTAAAAAAAAGATAATTTAATCAAATTTGTAGGGAATCTAGATCAGTAAAGGCGAGGGTTTTGGTTTTATTTAACTATAAGGAGGGTTGCCAGATCCTGATTAGCGGAAAAGAGGGCATAATTTTTTTTTATGTATTTTAAATAATGCATATAAATGCATTTAAAAATAAATTAATTTTTAAAAATCAAGCAAAATCGATATAACTTAAAATCATATTATTTTTATTCCATATTTTTCATTTTCAGATATTTTTCATTATATATTTGACCTTTTCTCTAAAGATTTATAAAATTTCAGCGATTAATTATATTGCGTGCATATGATTTCTCTTATAGAAGATAATCTATTCCTCGGAATTTGTTCATTTATTCTTGATTAAAGAAAGTATTCTTTCAACGTTATCAATATCATCCGGTATAGCAAATATAAAATTGATATCATTATTAGCTCATGTGTTCAAAGATTCGAATATCAGAAATATTTGGCCCATTTTTGGTGAAGTGGAAGCTTTGTATATTCCAATACTATCCATTTTATTTAAAATAAACAAATTATGGTTGTAAAATGGGTAGAACTAAATGCTTTAGATAAACTTTTCTATATTTCAAAAAATCTATAGACTTTTCTAAACCTACCCCTTTGAATTTTTAATATAGCATTCAAATTCTTCTAGAGGTTCTGATCAAAGATATAATTCAATGTAACATCTATATACAATTAATAAATTATTTTTCATTGCGCCTAAGGATTATTTCTCCATTTTTATTTGTTTTTACTTATGGAAAAACATATTTAAAAAAAACAAAAATTGATACCGGACATATTTTTAGCATCTCAAAAGAGGACATGTCCTCTTAAAAGAGTATGCATAACTATAAGTAATGATAATGATAATATATTATAAAATATAGCCTTAAAATATAATAATATACTATATCAAATTAAATTACATATAAAACTCATTTAAATATAATATAATATAATATAATAAATAAAGGCAATTTAACTATAATTATATTATAAAATTTATGTATATAAAAATTTTTTATTCAGGTACTCAATAAACATTTTCAATGGATCTTGTGAATGTTGATATCCCTTTGGCCGGATAATAAATTACATAAATGGGTTATTGGAATTTCAATACTCTTCATATGTTTTTTGGGGTCTAAAATATTCCTTAATAATGAAAGTTTTACCTTTTCCAGGCTTTTTAGTTTTATAAAACAAAATAGTCTACCTCAAATAATCATCAATATACCCACTAATTTTGATTATGACGTGAATACGCCTAATTGTAAAATTAGACGTCTCAATCCGAAGGATAAAAGCATATTGCACTTTATTGGCAGAACAGTGGGCCCCTTAACCTGTTCCAAAGTCCCGGCCCTAACCACACTTCAAAATTCTATTTTAAAAATCAATTACAATGTCCTTAAGAAATATTACAAGAAGATAAATCTGGATTTTTGCAAATATCATGTTATACTAAGAGATTACAAAGCTAAAAACCCGGACGATTACACCAAATTGTCCTTAGACGAAATAGTTTTTAAAAATCATACTTTTGTAAGAGAAGATTTTGTGATGGTCAAATGTTATGATAAGAAAAAGGGAGCGAAAGGGGGGGTTATCTTCTATAACAATACACACGCTAATGGTGTTATAGACGCAATAACCTACCTAAAATATAGACGCAAAAGTAATAGAACTAGGCCTAATCCCAAGAACTACAAGATATTTTTAACCTCACCCATTAAAATAAATAAAATTAAAGTTGGAAATAGTCCAAAAGTCAAAAATAACAAGAATAAAAAAATACTGAGTGTTCTCATGGTTGGTATAGATTCCACCTCCCGCTTAAATTTCCTTCGCGGACTACCAAATACTCATCGTTATTTATCCTCGCAAAGAAAGGATAACTTTATGTTCAATGGGTATATTAAAGTAGGAGACAACACCTTTCCCAATTTGGTACCATTGTTGAGTGGAAAGTTTATAGAGGAATATCCTAAAAGCTTTGGTAAGATATACTTCGACAACATTAGTTTTGTGTGGAAAGCGTATAGAAAGAGTAAAATTGATTATGCGACCGCTTTTATAGAAGACACGCCAAACCTGGCAACTTTTAATTATGTCAGAAAAGGATTTTATGATCCTCCCACTGATTTTTATTATCGTCCCTATTCGATAGAATCAAACAAATTATTTAGAAAGGAGGAGGATTGTATACAGGATAAACACGAAGTACAGGCATTGTTGGAATATTCCAAAGATTTAATGGTCTCTTTGAAGTCTTGGCCTTATTTTTGTCTCACCTACACAACTCAACTGACTCATAATTACTTGAATAACATTAAATATTTAGATAAATTGTTCCTAAACTACTTTAAGAGCTTATTCGCTTCTAAATCCCTAGAAAATACGGTGGTGATTATTTTTGGAGATCATGGTATGAGATATGGCGATTTCAGAAAAACTTTTATTGGTATATATTTTTTTTTTGGTGTTCACTTCAGAGACCTGCAGATGTCAAAATTTTAGGCCAGAATTTGAGTTTTAATTCAGCCCTGAATTTTACAAAGTGCAGTGATTTTGAAAATAATGTTGCCTATATTTGCATATTGTTTCAAAGGGAAATCGCGGATATATGAGCAGTAAAATTACGTTCTATTCTGTGATTTTCAAGCTGATTAATTGATATGATTTTTAAAAAAAACTTAATAGACCCAGCCTCGACCAGCTTGAATTTATAAAATCATACTAATTTTAAACCTATTTCAGGCCGATTTTTTGGGCTCTAATTTATTTATAGCACCCAAATATAAATTCAATTAAGATCTTAAAGTAAATTGATTTTAAATTTATTTCAATTGAATCAACATTCGTATCTTCTTTAAAACGTGGGCTGGCACGAACTGGCAATTTTTTTGAAAATGTTTTTTGACCCAGCTCGTAAATACATTTATTTAGCTCGGCCCATGAAATAATTTTCTAATTAATCATGAAGGAAAAAAGACAGGAGTGTAGACAGGGGGAGGGGTGTCACTATGGTAAATATAATTATGTAAAATTTTACAATTTACTAATATCTAGACAATGAGCTTTCATTTCTTTTATATTAATATAACTCATTCCTTAATTTACATTTCTGTAAAATCGTCTCAGAATTTTTTTTTTCTGTTTAGAAAAGTATGTGGAAAAAAATCGCCAAAATCTACGAAGAAACAATACTATAATAGGATCATTAAATATATTTTATCAAATTTTCACATAAATTTTTTTTTATATACTATTTAAAAAATTTGAAATTATGTCTGAAAGGTACTATAATTCCATTATGATTGAAGCCTGACTTTTCTATTTCCCGATGTAAAAGTTCATTTAGAATTACTTTTTTAAACATTCCCACAATCTTAGCACTTGAGGTTAAACAAATAATCTATTGTAATCGTTTCCAATTTCGCTGTAACTACCCATCTGGTTTGCATATTATATTAAAGATGCTACAAGTCTATTTGATTATTTCCTTGCTACCACCACTAAATTAAAGCATCAAATCTACAGTCAGAGACATCAAGTTTCATATTTTAAAATATAATAAAAAAAATTTTTTTATAATAATGATAGTATATTTTTTTTATTGAGTTTATTTAATTTTTTTTATTATAATTGCTTTAGTGCCTCTAGATTTTTCGTTTTATCTTGAATCTTGAAATCAATTTTAGAAATTTTCTTATTTTGCTTATAAATTTTTTTTTATTGCTTACCAAACTGATTGAAGCATAAACTATAATGTATATACAAGTTAAGCATAACATATGGACCTAATTTTAAAATTATAAGTTTGGCAAACTTTATACTTAGGCCTGCTTTTTATTATGAGATTTAAATTCATATAAATTTTTGAAAGTATAACTCAATTCAAAATATAATGATATTTTAGCTATTTTACTTTTATATCTATTAAATAAACGATATTAAGATCATAGAGGAAAATGATACCTCAATTGATTTTTAAATTGCGATTCAAAATCCGTTATTAAGAAGTGGTGGCGTAAGGCATGACGTTATAGTTTAATTTCGCTGTAACTCAGTTTCTGTTTAGTGACTGACAAAACTGATTAAATTAGTAGGTTCTAATCAGTCTTTACATATTGACGCACTCAGATATTCAGTGTTTCTATAATTTTAATTCTAGCATGATGTCAAACTTGGCAATATTTTATTATTTTATAGTGCGTTTATTTAAACTTTCTATCAAAATAGGCTGTAGTACTAATATTATTAAATGCAAATTATTGATATAAGTTTAGAAATTATTCCAGTTTGGTTGACATAATTCTTAAAGTGTTATAAGTAGTTTTTTTATAATTCGAGTATTTTTTGGTGGCTGGCAAAAATAATTGAAGAATTAATAAATAAGGCTAGAACTTCTGTTATCCGTTCTAGCCTGATACCAATTTTGACAATATTTTTTTAAATTTTTTACCAATAACTTTTCCCCCTTTAAACCATTTACCAATTAAAGAAATAAAATTAGTATAAGCTGGTATATGTTTTGGTATTAGTTTTTCGAAAGTTTAGCTCACTAATTTATTTGTTTATAATTTGATTTTTTTTATGTGCTTCGCAAAACTGATCAAATAAGTTCTTCTCTATTTCCCATTCTGGTATGATAAAAAATTTTTCTTATTTTACAAAGACTTATATGCTTCATGCTGTCAGTAAGAGATTAAAATATATAAATTTAGTGTCTTGGTTCATTTTATTTTTAAAAATTTTCTGTTTCCCCAGTCTAAACATATTTTAAACTAGAATATCCTACTTAAAGAAAAAACGTGTGCATTAAATAAATATTATTTGTTGTTTATATATTTTTTCGGTACAAGTAAAGCAAATAGACGGTATATCGAAATTCTATTGACTGCTATACTAGTTAAAGTATTTATATAAGCACTAAAAGCCGGAAACATTAGCATGAATTTTAGAATTATTGCTTTCAATTATTCGGTCAAATTATACGGAGAGAACAAAAATAAATAACCAATACCGACCAAATATCGAACACCTGAGGGTTTAAGACAAAGTCACAAACTTGATAAATTTGGTCACTTGGAAAAAACATTAATTTGCCTAATTCTAATCTTTTAAAAAATTTTGAAATTACGTCCCCGTGCATGAAAATATTTTTTACCTTGTACAAGTTGTCCAGCCTAGTTCGAAAACCTTTTGGACTTTCGGGCTGCCCGCGTCGACCTTAAATCTTCATATTTTAATGTTAAATATTATTAAGAACATATCTCCCCATAACTGGGTTTGTCCATAAATTAAAAACATTCATATAACATAGTCAAGAGAACAAATGTATGATTATAAATAAATAAAATTTAAGCATTACGCCTTTTCTAGACAGAACCTTTTTTCAAAGCGATTTTTTAGATATGTTTCCAGCTAATTTTTTATTAAGTTCAAAACAAAGAATAGTAATTTATTGAATTAATTGTTTGCATAATAAAATATTTTCAAAAAAAGCTTTAGCAAATCTCTCCCAGACGGTATTTAATCGTTAATAAAAAAATAAATGAGTTTGATTTTTATTAACGATTAAATAGTGCCTATGAAAAAAAATAAATTAAAAGATTTGTTAGAAAAATACCTAGAAAACCGCTTTAAAAAGATGTTCTTGGGAATGGCCCTAGGTGTATTTTTAATTTAATTTGAAATATATATTTTTTAAATTATTTAATAACCTTATGAATTTAATTACTTTAAAAATAATGATATTACTTAGGTATTATATTTATTATAATTTTCAATTCAGATATCGCCTAAAGTTATCATTAATTTTTTTATTATTTTTTATAAACTTGTTTAAAACCAGGCTTCGAACCCAATTTGGGTTCAAAAATTTAAAATTGTTTAGTTGTACTATTTGAAAATATAAATCAAAGCAGGAGAAGACCATGGACAGTCCATCAAACCCGGGATATTTTCTGACCAAGGAGGGCTCAGACCTAATTAAGAAAATAGTCGATTAAGATTTTAATGCTAAAATTTTAGCTAAGTTTATTTATAAAATTTTTAAACGCATAGGTACGAATGGTTTTAAATTTAAGCAAAGTGATAACCAACTTTTTCTCTCCTCGTAATTTAATTTGGTAATAAAATTTATTATGGTCTTATAAATATTTTTTTCCTGCAGGTATGATGGAAGAAAGATTACCGCTACTCTTTGTCTTGCCTCCAGCTTGGTTCTTATCTAAATACCCTTCAATTCATTACAACATGAAAATAAATACTAAACGCATACTGTCACCTTTTGATGTTCATAAAACACTTCTGCATCTGATTAAACTTAACGAACACGGAGCATATACTGATTCAAAATTTGATCATAAAGTTCGTGGTTTTAGCTTTTTAGAAGAAATTCCATTTAACAGAAGCTGCGAATCAGCAGAAATTCCACTTCATTACTGCCCTTGCAATTTGATAGGAGGAGGATTAATCGAGTCAAATCAAAGGGAGGAGTTAAAAGTTTCAGCTCTGGCCATAGTGGCCACAATCAACACACTATTAAAACCAGTTCAAAACGTGTGCAAAGTCTTGGCATTAAGCAATCTTGATACCGCAAGGATATTTAGTTTAGAAAATCAGGAATATGGCTCTGAGAATTCTATAAATTTCCTTAAGAATCGTCGCTTTTCAAAAATTCGTTTGCTGCTAACTATAGAGGTTGAGCCAAGTGAAGCTCTATTTGAAGCATCTTTAGGGTTTAACTCAATATCACAGTTGTTTGATAAAGTCATAGGAGACATTTCGCGGGTAAACAAGTATTACAATCAATCATGGTGCATAAGTGACCCAGTTATGAAAAAATATTGTTTTTGTAAAATTCAACCTTTGAAATCTAAAAGATCCAGAAAAGGGTAATTCGTAAAAAGAAAACTTTCACTTTTTAAGTCCATAGAAAGCAATATATGTAAAATGTAAAGTTTTATTAAATAATTATTGCTGGTATGCTTTATATCATAAAATAACTGTATATGTTATATATTAAAAAAATATGTTAATAAATATGGTGTATTTAAAAATTTTAATTTATTACTTGCAGACCAACCCTTAATTGATATTCTAAATTGAATATGATATTTATTTAAGTAGTAACTATTATAATCTTAAGTGTTTGTATAGAGGTAATTTTAGCCAAATATATCCTTATTAAAATATACAATTACACTTCAAGGATAAAATATTTGAATATAAATATAAATACGTTTAAGGAAACGTATTATAAATATAATCACTAAATACCTACTAAAATTTTCTATAAAAATATTTAAATACATTTAATTAGATATAAATACTTTTAATTAGATATAAATACTTTTTGTATCAATTTTTATAGTTAACACTCACTATCAATTTTATTTACTTAGTATATATTTTTTTTATTAACCTTTACTAAAATTCTAATAATTATCCAAAAGCAAAACTATCATCATATCGAAAAAATTTCAGTTATTTCTTTTAACTCCGGTAATACAAACATTATAAATATATATGCAGTGACATATTAAATTATGTTATAATTAAATATCATTCATTGTACGAGAGATAGACTTACGCCAAATGGCGTATTAGCAAGAAATAAAAGTTATATTTTTTCTTATTTATACGCATTTTCCGAATCGATAAAAAAGTTACGAAAATTTAACGAATCATTTAAAATTTGTATTTATAATAAAATGGATGTATAAATAATATCGTGGACGAAATTTAGTAAACTATAAAGCAATATAAAAATTTAAAATACATAAATCTTTATATATCAGATTTTAGAATGTCACCAAAAGTACTACCATAGTAATACCTTTTTAAAATACATAAATCTTTATATATTAGATTTTAGAATGTCACCAAAAGTACTACCATAGTAATACCTTTTTAAAATACATAAATCTTTATATATCAGATTTTAGAATGCCACCAAAGTACTACCATAGTAATACCTTACTTATTTCCCAATATTTAGTAAACTATAAAGCAATATAAAAATTTAAAATACATAAATCTTTATATATCAGATTTTAGAATGTCACCAAAAAGTACTACCATAGTAATACCTTTTTAAAATACATAAATCTTTATATATCAGATTTTAGAATGTCACCAAAAAGTACTACCATAGTAATACCTTACTTATTTCCCAATATTTAGTAAACTATAAAGAAATATAAAAATTTAAATTACATAAATCTTAAGATGGCTATGAATTAGGAAATTTAGAATGATTGAGTAAAGAATAAATCTTACCTTGTGCTTCAAATTTACAAACAATTACTCATTTTTTATATAAATTTTTTTATTGAATTTATGTTGAAATTTATAAATTATATTGTATGTCTTATTTTAAAGGTTACCTGGGAACATTAAAGTTCTTACCTGGTGATGACTTATTCTATAAAATTGACACACAACAATCCCTAACAAGCTTCAAATCTACAAACAATTGCTCATTTTTTATATAATTTTTTTTATTGAATTTATGTTGAAATTTATAAATTATAATGTATGTTTTATTTTAAAGGTTACTTGGAAACATTAAAGATCTTACCTTGTGATGACTTATTCTATAAAATTGACACACAACAATCCCTAGCAAGCTTCAAATTTACAAACAATTACTCATTTTTTATATAAATTTTTTATTGAATTTGTTGAAATTTATAAATTATATCTTTTGATATTATTTTTTTAAATAGAGTTTAAAAAATAAATTTCTCTTAATGAGCTCCCATAATGTTCTTAATTAATTTACCTAAATTAATTTAATTTTAAAAATTTATGATTGGACATTTTCAATTATTTTATAAATGATTGTATTAACTTCAATAATATATTTCAATTTAATGAATAAAATTTATTTAATACTATATTTCGTGTATAAATTATAATACTATATTTAATTGCGTCATTTAATACTATATTTCGATTTAACCCTTCACTAGAAATGTTAAAAATCACTTAAACTTCAAAGGTGGGGTCTATTTTATCCCTAAAATAAAAATTAGATTTAAATAAAAAATTAAATTTGTAGGCAAAATTCTCCTAAAAATAACTTAAATATTTTACCACAAAAAAATTAAATTTGTATGCAAAATCTCTAAAAAACTTAAATATTTTACACAAAAAAATTAAATTTGTAGCAAAATTACCTAAAATATGCGGAATTAATAATTCCTATATTTTACCACAAAAAATTAAATTTGTAGGAAAAATTCTCCAAAAAATAACTTAAATATTTTACCACAAAAAAAATTAAATTTGTATGCAAAATTCTCCTAAATATAACTTAAATATGCGCAATTAATAATTCCTATATTTTACCATAAAAAATTTATAGGCAAAAATAAAAAATTTAAAAAAAAACCATAAAAAAATAGAAATAATACCCCCCCCCCCTCCCCCGAGAGTGTTAACACTTTATTAAAACTTATTTGGTGGCAATTTTTTTTATTTAAAAAAATGATATTCATGTTATATACTAAATTTTTTATATAGTCATTTTTGAGTTGATGATTTTTTTAAAAAAAGGATTAATTCAGATTTTAAAAAAATTTCCAAATTTATTTTTAGAATGTGGGAAAAATTGTATTAGCAATACAAATTAATCAAAGTAAAATAATAATTGGGATGATTATATGGTGTTGGTGTTGTAATGAAATGTATATAAAAATGGTATGATTAAAAAAGATATCTTTGTAGTCTATATATCTATTTATAATATGTTAAAATAGGATAAATAAAAAAAAATATGCATAAAAACAAGACAAATACAATCAACTAAAATACTTTTGGTAAAAAATATAAAATATCAACATTTGTAATTAATCTTCAAAATCAATAACATTTACAAAATGGGATTCAGAATTGTTAATATAAATGTTTTGGTCAAATTTTTTTATATTTCCATCATCATATTTAAATGGTGGATACATTTGCCAGCAAAATAAAGCTCCATACCTAGCATACACCAATATCGGGGTATTGAGAAGTGTGGCAACACTTCGCAATTCAATATCCGTTGCCCATTCACCATTCTTACTTACCTTTTCTATTATATACTGTTGCACATCATCTTCACACATATTTTGACCTTGAGTATAATCTAATATATTTTTTATCATTATTTTTTGCAGCATCAGCAAGACCATATGTGATCTAATCAAACCATAGGAGTCTTGTTTTCCTGTTATCTCCATACTTATACATCTAATTATTTTATAAAAAATTTAATTATGTTACTGTTTCTAAAAACCTATCAATGTTTTAAAAAAAATATTATGAATTAATATAGGATATAATCATTAAAATTTAAGGTAAAGAAAGAAACAAAACCATATTCTATGTATATTAGTAAAAAAATACAACCAAAATTATTTTTAAATTTTTAAATTACCGGTAAAAACAATTCATATCTAGCTCAATTGTTTCCAAACGTGATGGAGCAGTTAGCACCCTTCCTATATTTTGAGAGACTTTCTTTTTTGCTGACGCTAAATTTAAGCGAGTAGCATGATATTTCCTCCAAATATTGGTAGTTGGATTATAAAAATGTTTAAATGTATGTTGAATGATTTTAACGAGTGGGTCATCTATGGCTTTAAATATTTAAAAAAATTAAATTAATCATGATATTTAAGAATTACAATTAACTGTATATAATTATAAAATTACAATTTTTGAACTTTGAGTCTGAGTATACAAAGTCTACTAAGTCCACTTGAAGATCCTTCAAAAGGTGTAAAGAAGATTTATAATCTAAAAAAGTTTAAAAATTTGTCTTTATCAACAATTTACCTTTGGTATCAACTATTTTTGGGTCAACAAAGTTTTGGGAATTAAGGTCTTGTTGAAATTTTAACTTTTTATCTATATGATTTTCTTTGGATTTGTATGCCTTTTCTATATAATATACTATTAACAATAAATAAAGTCAATGTACTTTTTTGTGAATCTAATATTGTAAATCCTAATGGTCTCCCGCTTTTATTTAATTTCTTAGGTAATTGAATTTCTTTTATGATATTATTTATACATTCATTTTCTTGATTATTATAAACATCTTTTTTTAAAAAAATTGGGACATTATTTTTATTTTACTGTATATTAGGATCCACGTTTGAGTGTGTAAGATCCTCATTTAATACATTTGCTATACTATCATTGGAGAATATCTGACCATTATTTTCATTTGAGCTTGTATTGAAATTATTTGAGGAAATAATTGGTAATATGCCTTTCATAGCAAAATCATGTAGTTTGTCAAAAGCCTGAGCAAACCTATGTTGCAAATTAGGTGGTAATAATGATATGGTGTGAAAAAGCATATTTTGATTTTTTAAATAATTATAGGATGAAATTTGGTCATTAAAAAGGGTTTTTTTGTATTTAGTCCCCTTTTTGTTATTTAATATATCTATATTATTATTATTGATAAATGTCGATGGATTTTTAAAATAATTTTTGTGCCACCTCTGATGACATAATTTTTCATCGTAAAGATCACTATTATTTTTTTTCCTTTCCATAAATACATGTCTGCATGGTAATTGCATATTAAAGTGGCAATCACAATAAAACATATTTGATTGGCAAACAAGATTGCAGTTATCACCAACATTATATTCATATTTTAACTCTTTGTATGCATATTCTGTTAACAATTTTCTATAATTAGCCAATGTTTGATCTTCCTCATTTATAAATGAGATTTTAATTTTTTCATTAAATTATCATGTTCCCTTTCAGCACTTAACATTTTAATTGACATAATTAAATCAGTAAACATATTTGGAAGGGTAGAGTATTTGGTTATGTTAATTTTTAAATATTTGTTAATGCTCTCTACCCTGTTATTTGTATATTGTTTAAAGTTTAAATGATATCTTTTCCAGACCATTCATATCTGATATGATGCCAGCCAGAAAAATAGTTATTTAATGATTCTAAATTTAAATTAGTTAATTTGTGATAATTTCGAAAATATATGTCAGAAGACTGTGCATCTAGCATGCTATACAACAGATGCTTCACATTATTATATTAATCATATCATTAGGAATATTCCTTTTTTTGTGAATAACTTCCCTATCCCAAGCTCTGGTTACATGTTTCCTACATAATTCCAATTGAACGTGAGGGAATGCCTCAATGTAAGCTTTTCTCCCAGCACAATCTTTATACTAACAATGGCCTTTATATCTGTCCAAGCTTGAAGCATTTGTGATGATACATCAAATGACTCCGATTTGACAATCCATACACATATAATATGTGATCTATTATTTCCATCAATTGATACCAAAATATACACAGGCATATGCATATTATTTAATCGATATGTTGAATCCACACATATTACTTCAGGATATTTTGAAAAAATATACTGCATTTGATGAGTTTGATAATATATACCAATTAGATTCCCATCTACAGTATATAATTCCATATTAGCATCATTATCTTCTTTAACTTCATCTATCATTGTAATTAAATCATTATCATAAGTTTTTTTTGTACTTTTGTCCATATTATGCAAATCTCTTAGGGTTATAAACTTTCCTTCAGAAAATAGTTTATTTTTTATTTTGGATTTATATCCTCCTGTAATTATACCTTCAACTACAAATTTATAATGATTGGTATAAATTTTCATCTAAAATTAATCAAAAAATGCATTTTTCATTTGTTTTAAAAACATTATTTCATACTTTTATCTTATATATATTCTATCAAAATTTAATAAATTAACCCTATAAGCCTATCCAGTATCCATATCACTAAGTTAAATTATATATTTATCTTAATAATTTCAAGATTATGTGCCTTTACGAGGGGGATGATTATGATTTTCATGCATATCCTTGACAAATAATTTGTTTTTCATGAATGTAATTTGCAAATGGAATTGGCATTCTTGTTTTATAGACATGTAATTGCGTAGACCTGTGGATTTTGTATTGTACTTTCCACCAAATATACAAAGAAATTTTATGCTTTTATATCTAAATTTTTCAAAAAGAGGTGATTTTAAAATTTTTGAATCTGATATATAAAGATTTATGTAATTAAAATTTTCATATTGCTTTATAGCATCTTGTAAATCTTTATAGGATAAAAATATATCTCCTTCTTTCATATTTAAGGTATTACTATGGTAAGCTTTTTGGTGACATATCTGATATATAAAGATTTATGTATTTTATAGTTCTTCTTGGTGACATTCTAAAATCTGATATATAAAGATTTATGTATTTTAAAAAGGTAATACTATGGTAGTACTTCTTGGTGACATTCTAAAATCTGATATATAAAGATTTATGTATTTTAAATTTTTATATTGCTTTATAGTTTACTAAATATTGGGAAATAAGTAAGGTATTACTATGGTAGTACTTTTTGGTGACATTCTAAAATCTGATATATAAAGATTTATGTATTTTAAATTTTTATATTGCTTTATAATTTACTAAATTTCGTCCACGATATTATTTATTCATCCATTTTATTATAAATACAAATTTTAAATGATTAATTAAATTTTCGTAACTTTTTTATCGATTCGGAAAATGCGTATAAATAAGAAAAAATATAACTTTTATTTCTTGCTAATACGCCATTTGGCGTAAGTCTATCATCTCCCTCATTGTACAGTTTTACGATTCATTATAAAATATAAATTTGAGCATAATTTAATTACACATAAAATTAATAATTATATTGCATACGCATAATTATTATTGTAACGTACTATTTAATTAAATAAGAAAATGCAAACATGCTTTCAAATAAATAACATTTAAAAATTTAATATTATATCTTATTAAAATGATAAAGTTTTTCAAATAAAATATCATTTAATCTATGCTTATTCTGCCTATTAATTAAATTTGAAATATTGAATAATCTTTCTACAAGAGCGGAAGATGGCAAAATAGAATATATATTTTTTAAAAAAATGATTTTAACTCTCATCATTTTAAATATTTTAACATTTCTAACTTATATTGTGAGAAACATTTTTATAAAATTTTTAAATTGAAATAATCGTCTTCCTCCCATAAGAGGATGGAATTATTTCCCTAATGCATTATCTTTTTTTCTTTTCGAGTTAACCAAAAGGTGCTCTATCTATAAGCATATGACGCAAATTTTTTTCTCTACATGCTACCCATCAATGATGCAAAACGGCTGGATTTTAGCCGATTTAAAAAAATGAATAACTCAATATTTTATCCAAAATATGACGTAAGCTAAAGATCTTTGCTCATAGATGACACAAAGGTTTGGGATCTATTAACAAAATCTCGAAGCTTAGGGCAATGACTTAGTATTTTTTATTACTTTTGTCATGACAGTATGTAAATACGTTAGCTTATATAAGAGGATCATTTTATATGTTTAAAAGTATTATGATATTTTAAAAGAATAAAATTATTTTAATCACCAGATATTTTGACTAAAACTGCACGTGGAAGACTCTTTTTTAGGTTTTTTTTCATGGAATTAGGACATCCCGACAAAATATCGATGGATAATTGTGACAGATATCGTATCTTTTACTTAAAATTTTAAAATAAATATTAATAATAATATATAAATATAAGTCCGTTCAACTCATTTTGGAAAAAATATTATAAATAATTGATATTATATATATTTTTTTATCATTTGAACTCTTAGATTTTCAGTTTTATTTAATGCGGATTTGTTCAACGAATATTAAGCTTTTAGTTATTTATAATTGTTTAATGAAGAAGAAATTGTTGGAATTAAGTTTATTAAGTAATTATTCATACTTGTGGGAAATAAATATCTTCATAAGAGTTAATAAAGGAAATTTATCATCAATATTAGTATATAGTGATTATAGCATATTATATTTGATTCGTTAATTTCTTTATTTGCACACATTATACATTTATTGCTTCCATATTATAGGTCATACAAATAATAATCATTATGACAAAACCAGAATATTCCATATACACAATCATAATAACATCAATACATAAAATCCATATGCACAAGCAATCATTCTAGAATATTTCTTCATCTCCAAAAATTGCATTATCCCGATTGATGATTCTCATATATATGTCCACAGGTAACTAATCGCATGGTGATGCAAAAAGATAAAATGTATTAAGGGATAGTAATAGAAATACAATTTAAGGGACGATAATATAAGCATAGCCAGAAGTAAGGGTTTCATTGAGCCGAACAGTTACTCAAAAGTTTCCCTTTAATAAATTCTTGGTAAGGCTCATGAAAAAGGCGGTTACAATTTTTATTGTTATTTGTTACACCTATTATTATTTTGACTAAAATCTTATTAAATTTCAAAAAAAAAAATGATTTAAATAATATATTTTAAATTAAGTTAAATAAAGAAATCCTTGACATTCTAAGTAGCTTTGTTTATCGAATTATCCTCATTTTTTTAAAAGAATCCAGGATCAATTCTTTTATAAAATGGAAAGCGATCTCGATGCTTTTTTTCATAATACAAATCATTAACCTCATCCCACCTTTTTCAAATCCAATAAAAATTTGTGTGATGATTATCACGATGTGGGGCCTAAACAGGATGGCGTCTTTTAAACAAAACGTGGGTATTTATGGCCCTATTTTTGCTGAAGATATTAACTAGAGTATGTGTTATTTTAGACATTATACACTTTTAAAATATATTTTAAAATTATTTTAAATGACATATAAACAAAGAATCAGGTTTAATTAAAAGCGAGATCAATTTGAATTAAAAGTTGCCCTAATTTTGTGTGTGACAGCTGTTAAAAAATTATAAAAAATTTCAATCTCTATTTTCGCGAAAATCGGCATTTAATTTTTAGGACGTACGCATAAAAAAATTTTCAAGCAATGGTAAAATTTTGACTAAATTTAAAAAAAATTGTTTTAATCTAGCCACTTAGATTAGATATCAAGAGAAAATTAACCTCAAGATCTGATAGAGTCAAATGTATAGATCTACACCCCACGGAATCTTGGATGATGGCGAGTTTATATAATGGGCAGATTCATATTTGGAATTATGAATCACAAGTTGATTTAAACTTTAAAATTGGTTCACAATTTTTTTAGCAATTAATTAAAACTTTTGAAGTCTGTGATCTCCCTGTCAGGGTGGCTAAATTTATATCTAGGAAAAACTGGATTGTCTGTGGAGCTGTATGATTATCTTTTCTATATATTATATTTATTAAAATATAGGATGATATGAATATACGTATATATAACTATAATACTTTGGAACGTTTGAATATGTTTGAAGCTCATAGTGATTATGTAAGATCAATTGCTGTTCATCCTTCTCAACCATATATCTTGACAAGTAGTGGTAGGAGATATTTAATATAGATAAAACACTAAAACCTTTTTATAGATGATATGTTGATTAAATTATGGGACTGGGACAAGAAATGGGTATGCTCGCAAGTGTTTGAAGGGCACTCTCATTATGTTATGCAAGTTGTATTCAACCCAAAAGATAATAATATCTTTGCTAGTGCATCATTGGATAGGACTTTAAAGGTTATTTGATTTAATTAATGCCGAAAAATGAATTTTTTTAAATAAATTTCTGAACCTATTTATTTTCTAAAATAAAAGGTATGGCAGCTAGGTTCAAATGTTCCTAATTTTACATTAGATGGGCATGAAAAAGGTGTGAATTGTGTTGATTACTATCCAGGTGGGGAAAAACCATATCTTATATCAGGGGCTGATGACAGAATGGTCAAAATTTGGGATTATCAGGTATTATATTATATTTTCTTATCATAATTTAGAATTTAATTATTAATAATTGTTATAAATATTTTTTTGCTATGATTAGAATAAAACATGTGTTCAAACATTAGAGGGACATGCTCAAAATATATCATGTGTAGTGTTTCATCCAGATCTACCAATTATAATGACTGGATCAGAAGATGGTATTTTTTACTCTTATTTTCTTCAAATGTTTAAGATTGAGGCAATTTGGGGAAAAAATAATGAGTTGGGTGGGGTATAGTACAGGGCTTAACTCTATCCTACATTTTCTGGATCAGATTCAGATAGTATATAAAAATTGTTGGATTTCATAAATTATTGTATTTATGTCAAAATATTTAAAAATAATTAGATTTTATTCCATAGATAAATATTGATTTTTTTTTAGGATTTTTATGTCAATCTACCACTTATACAAGGTTATCTATCTTTCTTTTTTTATGGGCAGATGTTCACCCATGGGAGACTTTGGGATGCACACAGGGTTGCCAAATCTCACAATTTAGCTACGATTCTTACTATTTCATACCTAATTTTTCAATTCTAGGTTTTATATTTTTGTCAAATCTTAAAGCTTACACAATATTATTTTGGCTAAAATCTTAATTAGCCCATTTTTAGAAATCAACCCAAATTGAGTTTTTTAACAATACTACTAACAATATCTGTTTATACCTTGTGTGGTAGGGTTTAATTTAAATTAAATATTATTCGGTGAATATGATTGGTTGGTTGGATTATTAATAAATACTACAATTTATTTATATTTGAAAATAAAATAAATTAAATTTTATATTTGTTTTTAAAAATATTTTGTGATTATTTCAATTTGCTCAAAAAACGTCTCAAAACAAAAGTTTGAAGTCTGAGAAATGAAATAAAAATTATGTTAAAATTTGTGAGAATCATGGCTAAGTGTGACATCTATCAACCCTTGTTTCAGTCTCTGGTTCTACACCTATATTAAATTTTTTTTGCAAATTTCGGACTTCTTGCAGTGATAAGGTTAGAGTTGTATACCTTGTTTAGTCCATTTCAAATACTATAACATTTTTTAAAAAAATTGAAAAACACAATAATTAAACATAAATCTATAAAATTAGTGAAATAAATAAAATGAATGTACACAAACGAGAATAAAATACAAAAAATAATGCCACCATATACATAAAACAATCTAAAGTAGGGTGTTCTAGTTCAAAAGCTGTTTAGTATAGGCTAAAAAGCAATTAAGTTGAACCAGGACACAGATTAAAAGCTTGTAAATTTATTTAATATAAATTGAGTTTTATTTAAGAATTTTAAATTTCACACTAGTTAATAATGTGACCTTATTGCTAAGCAATAAAATAGCATAAAGAAATATTTTAATATAATTATATTATATTGCACATTGTAAAATATTTTTTGATTGCATATAAGTTTCCCTTAAGAGGATTATAAATTACATATATTTTAACATATTTACAAAAGTAACATACTTGTCTATTTACATTCCAAAAAATGAAACTAGTTGCTGTTATTTGCAAAAATGTAATTAGTTTCTTTAACAACACTACCTTATTTATATTTTCATTGTCATTTTTAAAATTATAATTTAAATAGATTACTATATTTTTTTGATGTTGTTTTTTATTATATTAGATCTCTCGATAGTTAATAATCCAATCTGGTGATTCAATTTAAGATGATAAGTTTCTAAAGAGTCATATCTACCTCATATTGAATTAGTTTACCTTTTGTAATCCTAATGGTACTTGCAAAGTTACAACTTTATGCAAATTGTAGTATAAACATAACTTGATTAAAATAAACCTTGCCTTTATACTGACTCTTAATCATTAGGAACTTGGAATGAAACTGGCACAGAACTTTAACAAAATTCGATTTTTAGGGTGCACTAACAATTTTATATCTTAATTTAAATAATAAATACGATTCAAAATTAAAATAGTGTTATCTTATTATTATGTAGAATATTTTTTAAACGTGATTAGGATTTTGGTACTTATCGAAATTCCATAAATATTATTTTAAATTTATTTATTTAGGATTTAGAAGTCATTTTAATTTCCTTTTTTTAATATAAAAATTAATTTAACTAGCTTTGAACTTAGTCGGAACGTTTTTTAAAAATATTTTGAATAGTTATTGCCATCAGACTCATTGTTCAAGTTTACATAGACCTGTGAGCTTACCGGCCTTTTTGCAATTTTTTTTATCTCTTAACATCATTTGGGTCATGGTTTATATAATCTGGTAACAGTGAATGGTATTAAGATCCTTTTGTTGAAAATCTTGTCAAAAGAATGAGAGAAATTATTATTGCTCTAAGATATAAAACTTCAAAGATTGAATATGAGTTCTAGACAGATCAAAGAAAATGCCTAAGTACAATTGATCTAACATCAGATATGGTAGATATTGATAGCTCTGATCTATACCCTGATACCCGTTTTCAAATTGGCTATTCCAATTGATATTAACAATAATGCCACACATATTAAAACGTTAAAATTAAATGTCCCAAACAGGGGGCATATTATATTAATTATACTTCTGGTGCAGATAAAAATTTGATTAATAACCTTTTGAAAAGAATTTGGACTTTTGAATTATGAATCAGATTTAGTAGAAGAACTTTTTAGTTTTTGTTCAAAATTAAAGAAACAGTTGAATTCCTATATACACAAAAAGACCACTTCAAACTTGGCATCACTTTTTAGAATTAAAATTGAAACAAATTTAATAGTAAATGAATGATAATGATAGCTCAGAAATCATTTCCTTAAAGGAAAATATGCTTAAAAAACATGCACTATGATTTTGTGATCTGCATGTAATAATATATAAATATGTTCATTTATTCAATTTATTTTTTATTTCAAAAATAATCTAGTTGTTGGTTTCTCTTCTAGACCCAATATTTCAAAATTTGAAAATTGTGTCAAGGCATACAATATACCAAAATTTTGGTATTTATTAAAAATATTTTAAATGTATAGAATATATTTCAAATTATTTGGCAAAATTAGCAACTAAACATTCAATAACAAGTACATTGTGATTCCTTTTAAGTGATTTAGAACAAGAATGCCATATTCTTGTCGGAAAACGTCATCCACAATATATGAATGTTCTAAATTTTTGGAAGAAAAGGGGATCGAACTTCCTAATCTTTCCACGCTAACTAAAAAGATTCTGTATTTTCCGGTAACTAGCACACTTAGTGAAAGAGTTTTTTCATCCGCTGGGTTGTCGTTGAATTTAAGAAGATGTTCAACATGTCCAGACAATTTAAATAAAATTATTTTTATGCATGATATTTATAAAATTACAAAACTATTTTGAATTTATGAGTTATCTATTCAGTAAAGATCTATAATTATGCCGAGATATCTATCTATAGTGTATATTTTAATTTATTTTTCGAAAAATAAATATATATAAAAAAAATATGTTATAAAAAATTTATAAAGATGTGTCGGCTAGGTTGCCGATCAGATTTTTGAAACTCGCGCAATAGTTTCGTTGGCATACAGGTCTATAAAAAATTCATTGCCACAATTTTATTTTATTATATAAAGGAACGGTTAAGATCTGGCACACCAATACTTACAGGTTAGAGAATACGTTAAATTACGGTATGGAGAGAGTTTGGGCTATAGCATGTCAAAGAGGCTCTAATTCTATTGCGCTGGGATACGATGATGGAAGTATATTACTTAAGGTTTATAAAAATAGAATTAATTATTCATTTTTTTCATGTCGAAAATATTATTTTTATGGTGTATTTGAATATACCAAGAAAGAGTGATGAGATTAGATAAAACATATTTAAGAAAGAACTATAATAAAGAGAGAGATTAAATTTTAAAAAATAAATAAATACTTTATTAAAATATGAGGGGGTACCTCTGTTTTTTAAAGGTCACTCCGATATTTTAATAACATTCCTAGAGAAATTTACGTAGTTGATATTTATTATGTATTCAGATTAAATATTTTAAAGATTATTAACTTTATAGTTTTATTATTTAGTAATATATAATTTGAATTGAATAACTATTGAAAATAGAGAATTTTTATGTATAAATAATTTTATTTTTCTTTAATAAAATAGTTTATGGTTATCATAAATTTATAGTTCAAAATACAATACAAAATCACTATTCTTATTTTTTTTAAAAATACTATAATATATTTTGGATGGGCTAAATTTATTAAAATTAAAGCCTAATCTGTTAAATAAGATAATCCGATATTAAAATAAAACGATGTAATATTTTTACCAACGTTTTTTTAATATGCGCCCCATTTAGTTGGGTAGGGAAGAACCTGCGGTTAGTATGGATGGCACCGGGAAAATCATATGGGCCAAGCATTCTCTCATACAACAGGCTAATGTTAAAGCCCTGGCAGAAAACTTGGAAGGTTCCGGCAACGAAAAGGAAGGGGAAGGTATAGTATTTTTTTTATTTTACGCTATTTGGACCAAGATCGTAATATTTATCTGGAACGTTCCGATCTTCATATAATAAAAATAATGAAAAAATATATATTTCAAGGGAAAAGGATAGTTTTTCCAAAAATTCTTATTTTTTTTACAGCTTAAAACCACGAATGGAATGTTCACTTTAGGTAAATGAAATGATCAATTAAAATTTGACATATTATTTATATTATCCTGCATCTTTTTTTTTTGCCTTTCGAAAAAAATAATCATATTTATTTGCGCTTTAAGTCACATTCGGTCTGTTTTTTTTTTTGAAAATAAGTCGAGTCCGTCTGCCCCGATTTATATAGAAATACGGGATGAATCTTCCCGGCCGTCACTCTATAATTTTTTAAAATAATCCTTTCACGATAATTTTTACACAAAATTTTATCAGGCCATATTTTTTCACGCAGGATATATATATATATATAAGTGGAATAATTTTACCGTTAAGGATTTTAGTAAAGCCATAACCATTAGTTTTATTCTTGAATATTTAATATACAATTTGCCTAATATTTAAAACTTAATTTTTGGTTCCATCCATCCATTATTCAAATCTTTCATATCAAACAAACAAAAAATGGTAAAGCTGTAATAAAAGACGGTCAAATTCTTCCGCTCAATGCAAAAGACATGGGAAGCTGCGAAATATTCCCTCAATTTATAACTCACAGCCCCAATGGGAGGTTTATATGAAAATTATATATTATATTTATAGTTTAGGTTATAAGCCTCTTTCTTTCTTGAATATTTGTTATATGTATCTTAAATATTCCTAATAAAGTATTAAATCTGGGTTTCATAATTTAGTCCTCATCTCATTATTTTTGATACCTATTAATTCAGATTGAGTTTATAATATTAATTAAGTTTATATAAAAATATTATTACAAATATTCATAACAGTAAAATATAATGATAAATTATAATTCAAAATGCATTAAAATTATTATAAATGGGCAAATATAAATTTTCGCACAAATGATAAAATATTTTTATCGTTAGTATGGTAATGGTTGTATCATAAATTTCAGAGGGAACCGATATTTAATGTAATAAAATGTCTGCATGTTTGATTAATAATTTTGGGTCAGAAATCATATTTTTATTATATTATAAAATTTAAATAAAAAATCGTGATTTAATCAAATATATCGATTTTTTAAAATTTCTATTTATAAAAACATGCTTTTTACCAGCCCTACTTTTTTTACAAATTTTATTTATTTACTTCCACTTCAATTCTGATTGCTCTAGTCCCTTCCTTCTTTCATAAATTTAATTTGCCTAAAGAAATTTTTTGGTCGACCCTCTTTTCTTTTAAGTTGATTGTATTTTTCGCCTTAATACCATCAATCACTTGATAAATTAGGTTTGTGACGGTTTGTGGGGATGGAGAGTACATCATCTACACTTCCATGGCTCTGAGAAATAAGAGCTTCGGTTCGGGATTAGAATTCGTATGGGGTCTTCAAGATCAATATGCATTGCGGGAGAATTCTGGGTCTGTTAAAGTTTTTAACAAAAATTTCAAGGAACAAACTTGCATTAAACCGGAATATGGATGTGAAGGTTATAAATAACATCGTAAATGTATATATTAAGGTCCTTTGAATTTTTTTTATGAGATAACCGTTTTTAAGCCTGTAATATGGTGTAAAAATTAAAAAGATATCGATACAAAATTACTTTATTTTAAATTTATTTATTATAAAATATAACTAACTTACTAATAACCTAATAAATTATATATATATATTTTTCAAAAGTAAATAACAATCAATGTAACTATGAATTAATTTATGTTAAGTGAAAGAAATAATATAACAAGTTCGTAAGGTAAAATTTAAGTTAATATAATTCAAATACATCAACAAAGCCAAATTTTGGAAGTGGTCTTTATAGGTTTTATTTAAAAATATACCTTAATACTGTATATGCTACAAGGCAATAATCAATTAGGTTAAGAAAAGTTAATTATTATAATATTTACTATCACGTTCATTTATATATTAACATTATTAAATATTATGCTTTATTATAATATATTGTACAGGAATATTTGGAGGATATTTGTTAGGCTCTAAAACTAGCAACTCTTTATCATTTTATGATTGGCAAACAACCGAACTCGTTCGACGTATTGAAATACAAGCGAAAAATGTAATATAATACTTAAATTTATTTATGATACATTTTTTTCTAATTTTAAATATATCCCGTCCGGATATACACATCTTTCCATCCCAGATGCGGTCATTCCCTTTTATGCCTCGTTGAGACTCGTCCTAACCAAGATTATAAGAAGATAAATTTATATTCTGATCCATAATTAATAATGGTTAATAAGGTGGGTTATATTGAGCGATTACGAGATTTTAAAATTGTTAAGAATTATCTTATAAATATTTTAACCTGGGTTTTTCAGTAGATTTCTATCTCATATTCATACAAATGTATGAGTGAAAGAAGCCGGTGTAACCCAAACCTGTCCTTGAAAATTTGTTGGTTCCACTCTAATTTTTTTTATCAATCTCGTATAATAATATTGAGGCCCCGCATTACTATTCACTTTTTTGACCCCAATACTACTCGCTTTATTTTTTACACCGAAATAAAGGGTTAACAATACTTATATTTGTACCAATTATTTTTAATCAAGGTTTATTGGTCAGAAACGGGAAGCTTGATTACTATAACAACTGACGATAATTATTTTATCTTGAAGTACAATCAAGATATAGTAGCTCAATCAAAAGAAAACAAGGAATTGGTGACAGAAGATGGAATTGAAGATGCCTTTGCTGTATGAACATTTTGAAGATATTAGGGATATATTTTATATAGGATCGGATCGGGCTGCATCCATTTTAAAATATCGGTTATCGGCAAATATTATAAAATTTTCCGATCCGATAAAAAATGGCGTTTTTAACAAAAATAAAATATTATAAAATTTTTTAAAAAAGTTATATCTAAAAAACCTTTTATTTTTATAAATAAAATCGATTTTATGTTTAATATTTTATTAGTAATAATTAGTTAATAAGCATTCTGCCATATTGTTATTTTTTTTCACATTCTGTTTATAAAAATGTGCAATAATCTCTTCAGAATTTGTTTTTAGTGAAGCTAGTGATACAGTCCCCATCACCTCAGACTTCTGATAAATTGGAAATTTTGGTATTTCTAAAAAGAAATCTTCGATATATTATTTTATTATTACTTATTATGTAAATAGATTATTTTTATTACTTATTATATAAATAAGTGATTTTTTAATAAAAATATTTTAATTGAATATAAACTATAACTGATCATTATAAATATTTAAATGACATATGTTATGGTATAGTTAGATTATAGATGTTATACTAATAAAAAGTATATTAAAAATTAAAACCATTTGTATCTTTACAATACAAAATTAGATATGTCAATTTAATATCGGGAATATCGGATCGGCCTTCAAAAAGTGGTATCGTTACACCCCTAGAAGATATAGATAACTACTATAAATTCACTATAAGAAAATATATTAGGTTAGCATTTTTAAATCAAGCAGAAAATTCAGGTTGCAGTTCAACTACAAAAATTGAGAATATAAAAACATTAATCTTTATTTTTTTTTAAACATAGGTAATTAGCGAAATACAAGATAATGTTAAGACCGGTCTATGGATAGGCGATTGTTTCATATACACCAACGCTTTTAATCGCTTGAATTATTATGTTGGAGGGGAGGTCGTTACTATTGCCCATTTAAACAAGTTATCTATTTAATAATTTTTCGATATATTGAATATATAAGTTGTATGACTTAGCCATAATTTTCACATTGAATCAGAAATACTATGTATGGTCTCCCTGACTTGTGTAATTGTTGTCCTCATTTCTTTTTATCTATGCAAATGAGGGAAATTGCTGAGTATGTATTCCTTATGCCTAAGGCTTTACCTGGTTGTTAATTACTCTAGACAAATCTTCATAGTATATTGACATTATTTTAATTTTTATAAAAAAGTACCCTATACATCCTAGGCTACATTCCTACCCAGAACAGGGTATATTTATGCGACAAAGAGCTTAACGTAATTAGCTACACCTTATTACTTTCGGTTCTGCAATATCAAACAGCCGTCATGAGGAAAGATTTTGCCGAAGCTGATAAACTACTTCCATCCATACCCAAAGAACACAGGTCCAAGGTAGCTCATTTCTTGGAAAAACAGGTTAAATATAATTTGCTTTTCTTTTTTGATAGAAAGTAGTTATGGGAGAAAAACAAGAAAGATAAACGGACGATAAAAATAACTGAAAGAAGGAGAAAGAACAGAAGCAATGTTTCCATTTATCTTCCTGAAATTATTAAGTTAGTTCATTAGACAATATTAGGATTGAATAACCGGATACTTAAGAAATTTAGCCTAGTTATTAAAAGAGTGCATTTGACAAATAATTATATGGAAGAATTACTTTCGAATTTATTTATCAGTTTTTCTTAATGCAAATGTGTTTTGTTTTTTTTCATTTATTATTATTGTAATTTCGTTTAAAGTATTATCTGGGTAATATGTCTGAAAAAGTACAGAAATAATATACTCAAAAAAAATAAACTATGGGTTGAGGGAGAGAAACGGAAGAAAGTGAATAGATTTAAGGTAAGGCCTCTTCTATGAATCAGAAACATGTAAATAAAAAAACTAAATTTTTTTTAGAGTTGTTTATTTATAGATGCGTAAACAAAATTTTGGGAATTTAAAATATATTTCAACAAAAAACAAAATTATTCTTAAATTTATATCAAATGAAAATTTTTTGATTTCAATAGGAGCTTTTTTTTGTATTATAAATAAATTTTGCTTCTATGTTTTTGTTTATGAAATAAATATTTACATAAAGGAGCTAGAGGATTAATAATATACTATGCGAATTTCTCTATTTACACTATCAATTTTATGTCTAGGGTTTCAAAAAGCAAGCATTAGTCGTTTCCTCGGATCCCGAGCACAAATTTGAGTTGGCACTGCAATTGAATGAGCTAAAATTAGCTTTGGAAATTGCTCAAGATATACAGGTTTATTTTAATTTATTTTGGACGTTTTTCGGATGGATATTAGACATACTTATAAAAAGATATATATACAGAAAGAATTACTACACCTTTATTTACTATAAAAAAAATACAAAAATTCTCTTGACAAATATGAAGTCTGAACAAAAATGGAAACAGTTAGCGGAAACTTGTATGACTTCCGGCGAACTGGAAATGGCAAAATCTTGCCTTTTTAATGCCAACGACCTAGCCGCCATCCTTTTATTAGCTGAATGCCTATCCGATTCTAAGCTCATGCAGGAGGTTGCTGAGAAAGCTACGATTTCCAAACAATATAACATCGCCTTTTTGGCTATGTTCAAGATGGGGAAGTAAAAAATAACTATTTTGTAAAATACGAGTTTGGGAAATTCTAAGTATATGAGTGCTTTATCGTCTTCAAATACCAGCACTTGATTAAAGAACATGATTTTAGAATTAAAAAATATTTTTTAAATGTTTGCAATAATGCGTATAACTATCAAAATGCTATTTAAGTTAATTATTACAACATTAGTTATAATTATTTTATTAGTAGTCTGACATTGATAAGTAATTTAAAGAAATACTTTTTTTAATGGTAGAAATTTAGAACAAATTTATTTTTAACCAGGATGGATCTTGACATCTAGTGGAATCATATTACCACTGCTAATAATAAATAACTACAACTTGTACACTTGTCGGATTTTTGTGTAATTTATTTACAAAACCTTTTTCTCTCAAGTTCACTAGAAAAGCTCTCAAGTTTACTAGAAAAGCACTCTAGTCCCGCTTTCAAAATAATATTTATTATATGTACAAGACATCGGTGACTATTAATTTTTTTTTAAATATTTTAATTGAAAATATTCATTTAATAAATTACTTATGGATATATTTGTGCCATTGTCATGAGTAATTGATTTTTTCAATTTTAAATTCTTCAACTGAAGATAATATAAGTTCGAATATTCACCCCTGTGAGGGTGAGGAAACTCAAAATAGCAATCAAAAAAATTTTCTTTACCAAATTTGTATTTATAAAATGAACTGTTGCTAAGCAATATGGAATCGAATTTTAGCACTATTGAATATATTTTTTATTGCTGTTTGACAATTTTTATATTTTAGCAAATTTGAGGCACATATTTATTAAATGAATATTTTCAATTAAAATACTTTAAAAAAATGAATGGTCCGAGATGTAATAAATATTATTGTGAATGAGACTAGCGAGATTTTCTAGTGAACATGAGAAAGTTGAAAGTTTTGTAAAGAAATTACAGTGTCCGAAATGTATATAGGAATTTGCCATTCGCAGTGGTGTTAGGATTCCAATGCTATTAAGAGGTACTTTTAGAGATACCACAGCAAGAAAGAGCGCAAAAAATCATATAGGAATTTTTTGACATAGTTTCTTTTTTCAAGAATATTGGTCAAATCACCTATCGATTTTGCATGAAATGCCCCATATGCTTTATTGAAATATATATTTACCTTGTATTATAGAGCCTCCGAGTGTTTAGATATACTCATTAAATCAAATCGCCTTCCTGAAGCTGCGTTTTTTGCCCGATCATACATTCCATCACAGTTGAATAGGTATGAGTTTTACTTATAATTTTACAAAATTGATATTCTCTTCATTTTCAACAAAACATTTCTTTCTGGTAATAATTCAAAACTAATATTATTTATAATAGAATTATTTATTTATTATAAGAAAAATTATAACAAGAGAAGCTGTTTTATAGGCGGCATTAAATTTTGATATTATTTAGTTTTATGAATGAGAACAACTTAACAAAAACCATATTCAACATATAAAACATTTTTATCCTGTTTTTATATTATATTCTATTTATACGAAAGGTTTGCAAATCCCGATTTCTTTTCATTAATAGTTTTTTTAAAAAAAATTACTTTCTTAGATTCAGGCTCGGGTCTAGTGAACTTATATATTTATTACAATGATTTTTTTTAAAATATTTCAGAACATTCTTGGAGCGAGATATTTTAAATTTTTAATATAATCATTTAAATAATATTTAAGATTTTTCAATTCTTTCAAACTATATTTTTTGACCTATATTTTGATAAACATAATTAATCATATATTACTTATATAAAAAGGGTCGTAAAATTATGGAAAGAAAACTTGTCAAATTCGACAAGCTATCAAAAACTTTCAAAAGCTCTCGCAAATCCCGGTGAATATGATAATTTGTTCCCGGGATATAAAGAATCATTGCTAGCCGAAAAAGATCTTGATAAGAATATCGTTCCCGAAAATTATGTAATTAATTACTTATACTTTTCTTTCCCCATATGTTAGTAATGGTTGGGAATTGTTCCACAATCCAGATTGTGTAGAGATTTTATTTGGAATTGTATTATACTATAAACCTATTATTTGTATTGTCGAATTAAAGAAAAATATCAATTCGTTTATAAACGATGCTTTGTTATTTTAAGATGCTGAGATAGTTGTGGAGAGTTGTTAGAAATTAGTTAATCGTTTGAAATTAGATATGAAGGTTACGAAGGAAAAATGAATTGGTATTTGGAGTCGAGAGATGCTTGTCGAGATTTTTTTAAAGCTCCTTCATCTACGTCATAGTAACATTACATAGTACTATATAAAACAATAAAGGGTTAATAACCCCTTTAAGTAAATGAGAATTGAGTTCACACTTATTACTCCTAAAGAAAATGGTATTCTCCCTTGGTATTATACAAATGAAATTGAGTTGACCTTCTTAAAAGGATATTTTCCAACAAAAATTAGGCATATGTTACAAATTATTTTTTGTTATCTTTTATTGTTTTATTCATATTTTTCAATTTCAAACTTTTTAACACATTTTTTTTTCTTCAAAATGCAAAATTTATAGTGAATACTCCAATAAATATAACGAGCTACCTCATAAAGTGGTATTTTATCCATAATTTAAAATAAAATCCCAAATATTATATTTCAATTTATTATCTTTTTTAAAATAAATACTAACATAAATTATCACGATAAACTATTTTTTTCAAAGCCGCAAATTCCTGATTTGACTGAGGATGATGATGAAGTACATGATTTGATCAATGAAAAGAAGTTATTAAAGGATTTAGAACAAATAAATTTGGAGCACTTTGAAATAGAATCCGCGGTAAAAAGCATTTTATTCAAAATTATTTTATAGAAACGAATTCCTGCTTAATATATTCTATTAATATAAAACAGTTAAAAAAAAAATTTTTTTGATTTCAATTTATTTTATTTAAAAAGCGGTTTCAATTTAAAAAAGAAAATACAAATTACAAAAGATTTACTTATAAAATATTTTGGCATTTTTTAAAATTATCCGTTTTTCAAAAAAAATTTACTCCACAAAAAACATTTTTTGATTTTTGGAGTGCTCTACATATTTTGCATTTTTGAGAAAATTATCTTAAAGTTTGAGAATTACATTTTTATAAAATAGGCTTATTCGATGTTACCCTCTATGCCGGAATTTGCTTAAAATTAATAGGCCAATTAAAATAACACCTTAGCCTACATCTTAATTTTATTAGGATTATGAAGGTTATTGCAAAAATTTTTCCGCAGCCAAATTTATTTCTGTATGATGGAAAAACATTAATTTTGAATTTTCTGCCAATCTACACACAATTTTCTTTCATACTTATATATCATTTGCGAAGAAAGGGTTTTTGATGACAAGGTAATTAGAGTGGAATTAATACTAGAGGATTAAATAAAATTATGCTACAGAAGTGAATGTTCAATTTGGCAAAAATTTAGATGCACTTGAAATTCCAAGCTAAGGATTTCTTCCATTCACGAAACATGTGTTAAATTTGACCATTTTTCCGTTCTACGAGGGGTTTAAGGGTGCGAAGAAATATGAGTTGATTATTTCAATGTTTTGCAAGTGATAATATTTCTTATGGTACTATGATGTGGGTGACGCAAGATCTTAAGAATATTTATAATGAAGGGAGAGCTTGTCGTGAAAATTTTGAACCTTAAATTAGTGTAGCCCTCATATCCAAATAACAATTCACCATTCCAACTTAACACGTTTATTTTCATAACTATGATATTAGAATTGGGCTGGCTCCATAATATTATAAATATAATATACACAATCTCAAATTAATATCAATTAATATAGTTACCGTTTAAACATTAAATTGTCTTTATTCATTAAAACTAAAATATTTTTTAAAAAAATACAATATTAACGTGGAAAAACAAGATAATTTTTTATACATTAAATTGTCTATTCATAAAACGAAAACATTAAATTATCTATTCATTAAAACCAAAACATTAAAGTAATTTACATGGTAAAGTTATTATAAAGTAATATTAATTTATCCATTTAAGGCTTCAACATTTAGCGATGATAATATAAATTAGACATTTGACTATGTAAATAAACTTTGTGACAAAGGTAAGTATAAAATATAAAAAAAATATGATGACTTTTCCCGGATTTAATATATTTAATTTTAAACAAATATTATAAAATCATTTTATATATATTTAACAGAATGGGAGTCACGATGAATCGGTTGACATTAGTTATAAACAACCTGGAAATCAGGATGAATTGGATAAAAATCTTGGAATATCTTGAATTGGAAATAAAAAAATTTTTGAATTAACCATCAGTTGATTCATTATTTATAAATAATATATAAATAATAATTTATTACATTAAATAAAATTTTAGTGGACTGTATAGTATAATAAATTTACATATTTTTTTTGAAAATAAATATTTTTTTAATGAACCATCAGTTGATTCATTATTAATAAATAATAATTTATTACAATGAATAAAATTTTAGTGGACTGTACAGCATAATAAATTTACATATTAATTTTTTTTAAAATTGCATTATTTATTAATATACAAAAAGAGATGAAGTTTTTATAAATTATAATATATTCTAAATTTACGATATTTTGCTAATTTGAATTCACATTTAGATAATTTAAAAAAAAAAATATATATATAATGTATATTAAAATAATATATTATAAAATATTGGGGACAGATTCAAATATGTTCACTAGGAAAAAATATTGCACGATTATTTAGGTCCCTTTTCATATAATTTTGAATATTCATAAAAATTGAGAGTTTGCCTTCAGTATAAATCGTTGTTTGCCATAATAGGTAAATCTTTATTATCATGAATTGAATAATAGAATATTTTATTATTCAAATTCAATCATTATTAGCACAATTACACATAATTAATAAACGATGGAAATTTTTTAATAAAAAACACTAAATAAACCTTCCAACGTGAGAGGGAATTCACTAGTGTAGTTAAACGGCTCGACTTGTGCCGATTTAAAAAAAAGGCTAACCAAATATTTTAGCTAGAAAAATATTGCCTAAGTCTCGAGATCTAGTTAATAGATGTTCAAACCTTTGTGCAATCTATCGGCAAAATTTTAAGGCTTGCATAATATTTTTCTGAATAAAATATTGAGTTAGCCATTCTTATAAATTACACAGTTTAACAACATTAGAATTCACATAAAAAATAAGTTGTACATTCGTTAGAACAGGTTGATGGTGATTTTGAAAAGGGTTGTGGTTTCAAACTCTCAATATATCAAAAATAAAGAAACATTTGATAAAGATAGGTTTCTTTAAAAGAATTATTATCCAGTCTAACTGGATAAACCTAGTGCTGTAAACATTTCTATAAAAATCGAACTCGTTCACGTTCACTCATGATGATGAATAATGACCTGTTAAAAAAAATTGAAATGTGAAAAAGGAAAAACAGTTAATTATTAAATATAAAACTTTTTTCTTAAAAAATTCAGATTATAATATTAAATTTTTCAAATAAATAAAAATAGAAAGTGTTTTTAAAATTGAACGAACGTTAAATTAGAACGCGTTCGTCATAAAAAAGGAACGCGTTCACATTCAAAGTTCGTCAAAAATAAAAGAAACGCCATTCATCATTTTTTTCAAAAACAAACTTCGTTCACGAATGAACGCGTTCGTTTACAACACTAGATAAACCTGAAAGGACCAAACGATGGAGTTCGCTATATGATATTTGAAAAAAGTGCAAATATAGTTTTGTTTGTATGTTATAAAAATATTTATAGACATAATTTTAACCTGAAAAGACCTTTATAAGAAGGCAAGGGCGGTGAAACGAAAATTTTGACTTGATAACAAGATACAATGCGAGATATAATTTTGGAAAATTTAGGCCCTTCGAAATTTCGTTCCAATATTATGGAGACATCTAATGAACTGAATTAAAAGAAAATAATAATTTGCGTTTTTTATAAACCATATTTTTTTGTTAATAAATTAAACATTTTGAGAATATTGATATATATTTAATCGCTATTCTTATAATTATAAATAAAGCAAAATAGCAGATAAAATTTTATCGGAACAATATATTGTTAAATTTCTAGAAAAATTGAAAAAATATGATTATTTTTGTTAATCAAGTAGGAAAATTGGCCAAATTTTCATATGAGAAACATATATATAAATTAAAATTAATTTCGAGGGATATTCATATGTACTTCATAAAAGAGCTAATAATACTATTAGGTACCTCAAAAGCAAATTAGAATGTAATCTTAACCACAAAATTGGGAAATAACGAGCATATTTTCATTGAGATATATACTCATCCTGATAAAAGCGAATATGCTATTTTAAAATCTATGAAAGGAGACGCAAAAACTTTAACAAAATCTGTCTAAATATATTTCGACAGAAAATGGTTATGCTATGCATATCTCAATTCCTAAACATTTGTAAAATTCAGCTCCATGAAGTTGAGCGAACGATTGGAAGCACTAACGATGAATCATATCTCATTTTTTTAGTGCTTCAATCCGTATAGTAGTCGAATTTAAGGAAAAAAAGTTATAAGCAAAAATAAAAACTTAACGATGAAATACATATCATTCTTTAGTGCTTCGTTCGTAGAGGTTGGTGCTCCAATCACTTTTATAGCCGAATTTATGAATAATAAGTATTTGCGGAAAAAACAAAAATAAACAATAAATTGGCGTCCAACTAAAACAAAAACTATAGTAGAGCTAAACATCAGGTTTTCGCCATTATTAGTGCTTAATTAGTATATTTGAAATCCATTGCTTAGCAAATTATTCCTTTTCAGATTTGATTTTTTTCGAAAAAATCATGCATTTAAATTTTTCTATCATAAATTTTAAGTTATACGTAGATCTCATTTTTATATTTATGCAGGAATACAACGATTCTGATAGTTACCCCGATTCAAGTATGTATAAAAGCTAGAATTATAAAAAAAATTAACCCCAAAATTTCCCACATGTGATTAATAAATCAATTATATATTTTGTAATTTTAATTTTACTGCCATTATAAAAGAATCAAATCATATTTTTTAAAAAAATCTGTATTATATTCTAATCTTATCTCTATTCAGAAATCCTTATCCTGACCTTATTTATAATTTTAAATCTGCTACATTATTATCCTAAAAGTAATACTTTTTTAAATATAGATATTAATTTATAGGCCTAAATATTTTGACAAATTATTTATTTTTTATAAATCGGTTTTCGGTCGAGTTGAGTTACAAATTTACCGATTAAAATTTTTTAAACAAAAGAAAAATTAAAAACAAAAAATATATATTGACAAAACATCTATAAATGTCAATTACAAATCTATTTAAAATTTTCAATTTTTTTAATATAAATAATTCCAAATAAGTAGGGGAAAGCTGGGCAGATTAGTATAGGGAAACATCAATCTGCCCCATTTATAATCTTACTAAACTATTATTGTATAAGAATAGAAATATATACCCATTAAAAATATTTATGTCATACATTATTGGCTAAAAATTATTTAAAAATTGTAACAATTATATTTTTACGGCGTAACTGAAAAAATAAGTTTTAAAAATCTTAATAAATATAATTTAAAAAAGATTAAGCTAACAATTTTTCGGGATTATAAATCATGAATTATACGCTTTTAAATGGCATATATAAGATTAAGGGTATAGTGATGGTTGGTCAGGGGTAGGTTGATCCTATTAATTATTGCATCTATATATTTTTTGTTATAACAAGTGCATTATAATAAAAATGAATCCATCTAAAATAATAATAATATATTTTAAATAATATTTTATTACAATTTTTACAAAATTTCTCTAAATTCAACTACTTTATTATATCATATTATGAATATACTTTAAAGCCACTAATCAAAATATCAAAAAAAAAAAATTCTATATCATCTATTATTGGCCAGTGTGCCCAAAGTACGTTAACGTTGGACTAAAAAATAATTTCAAATGTTTTCTAAAAAATCGTTTCATAAAATATATAATATAAAATAGCCTAAACTTTGAGTTTTGAGAACCGGGTATTTGACCGGTCAATTAATATTTTTTACCGGTTTACCAACCTTGGTTCAGAATATTTTTTATTTATTTAAATTAGTTTAATATTATTAAATTTATTCCGGTTTGAACGAAAGGTGTTTCAACCTTCCCCGGTCCCCAATCAGTTTTTAAATTTAATAAAACAATATCTTGGTAAACATTTCCGGTCTTCAATTCTTATTTTATATTTTTTTAAATGCAACGAACTTGTCTCATTTTGAATATATGTACTTATAATTAGTAAATCAAACAAAACTACGATGCCTAGACTAGCAGCTGTACCAGTTGAACTAATAAATATGACCTTTCTAACTTTCAAAAAGGATGTTAATCGAAATTCAGCTGATCCATGGATAAAGATAAGTGATGCATTTGCTAAATTAATGTCACCGATGTCTGTATATACCTATATCCGTTTCAATAAAAGTAGTTGCTGGAATATTATAGAAATAAATGAATATATGATTACGATACGTTTTCAATATTTTATTATAATTTCTTATGTTATAATTTGATTTTATATAATTTGCAGAGAAATGTTTCTAAAAATGAATTTAAGCCAGATGAAACTTCGCTGTACCTGGATGTTTAAAAATTATTATTTCCCCTCAAATTCCATTTATTTTTTTAACAATTAGAGCTCATTGTAAATAATGCGCGGCTATATTTAGGATGAATATGATTAGTTCAATGCATGATAAACTTTGTAAAAACTTAATTTGCGATATATTTAATTATAAATCACATATGCATACTCTTGTTTTAAAGAGACCATTAAGTGATTTGAGAAGAAAGGAAATCGACAATGAATTAGAAAAAGACTTTGCCTCTAATTGACGGGTTGAAGAGGCCAAGCAATCTATGGAATATGGCGAGGTAGAACCAACTACATTTTAATCTGAAAATGGATAATATTATTAATTTTTAAATATACCGAACCTTATATTTCAAACCATTATTATTATAGGATCTAATAAATTTTATACATTATTGGTTGTCAGATCAAATGTGTATATACAATAATTATTGTCAGGATACTGATATAGATACTTCAAAATTGATGCCACCGGCTCCCTAGTTACAAAAATCAATGGACAGTATAATCAAAGATCAGGCATATTTTTTTATATGCGGGAGTAATCTGAATAAAATTAATGTCAAATACCTGTGTTGCAAATGTTCTATGAAGCAGCCCACGATATTAATCATATTTCACTTTGGAGAGTATGCATATGTGATTTATAATTAAATATATCGCAAATTAGGTTTTTACAAAGTTTATCATGCATTGAACTAATCATATTCATCCTAAATATGGTCGCGTTACAATGAGCTCTAATTGTTAAAAAATAAATGGAATTTGAGGGGAAATAATAATTTTTAAACATCCAGGTACAGCGAAGTTTCATCTGGCTTAAATTCATTTTTTGAAACATTTCTCTGCAAATTATATAAAATCAAATTATAACATAAGAAATTATAATAAAATATTGAAAACGTACCGTTATCATATATTCATTTATTTCTAGAATATTCCAGCAAATACTTTTATTGAAACGGATGTAGGTATATGCAGACTTCGGTAACATTAATTTAGCAAATGCATCACTTATCTTAATCCATGGGTCAGCTGAATTTCGATTAATATCCTTTATTCATTTTTGAAAGTTAGAAGGGTCATATTTATAAGTTCAACTGGTACAGCTAGTCTAGGCATCGTAGTTTTGTTTGATTTACTAATTATAAGTAGTGCTGTAACTGTAAAGTAACATAAAAAAAATAACGCCGTTACTAACGACGTTACCTTTCCTGAATAAAAGGAATTTCATTCGTTACCTTTTCCTAGAGGTAACAAGTTTCTTTTTTTGAGTAACGGTAACGCAAAACGTTACTTTAAATTTTTTCTTAAAATTTTTTTTTATTGGAATATAAAATTACTTTTATTTATTTTTTAATATAAATAATTTAGGCCGAGTTTTTAATTTATATCAACCACAATTCCTTCATTTATATTTTAAATTCTCGTTGTTAAATTATCAGTCAAATGTTAATCTAATTAATATTCAATCAAAATTCAGTAAATGTTAATAATATTCTATTTTTATATTATTTTAAAAAAATTATGTCCATAGTACTTCTTCAGATGAAGATGATTTAACTTTTCCCTGACCCCAATTTGAAACTTTCACAAATAAAGAAAATTAAGCATACCAAGTCTACACTTTGTAAATATAAATTATGTCCCAACACTAATATTTCAACCTCGTCCAGCAGTTTAGCATTTGAAAGTAGAAAGATGAATTAATATATTATTATTTCAAACACATTTGATTATCTAGCAAAAATAATCTTTAAAATTTTTACCACATATATAAGATACAAAAAATAAAGTGACCAAATGTTACCGACAATGCTAGAAAATATATCAAAGCTTTCGAGTAAAAAAATTATAAGATATTTATTAAAAAATTATTAGAGTATATTAACAAGTAGAGGAATCGGATGTTGAAATAGTTCTTCTGCCATTATTTGATCTATTTGAAAATAAAAATACTAAATGATAGTATTGTATAGTTACCTAAGCATCATTCCTGTTCAACATACATTTTAATCTCTTTGCAAATGTTTACAATGAAAAGGCAGGTAACGATGTCCATTTTAAAACCATTTCAGAAATTACATTTTCTAAGTGTAAGCTATTGTGGAATAAACATAGGCAATCTTTAAACTGTGTAGCCATTTTAAGGAAAACAACCGGTTATAATAAGATAGAACTCTTTTTGGAACTCCTGAATTTAATAGATAGTCTTATTAAGGAGAAATTGTATGAATCTTGTGATAAACCTGAATTACATAGATTTTCAGATAACAAGTAATTCATGTATGAATATTATATGGTTAATGTTAATTAAGAAATATTATATGTATATATGTGATTTTAAAGGTTATGGAACCGATTGCTACGCTCTTTCAATTTTAGAGAGCGAAGAAAATACATTTGGGATATCTCACTATTTTGATTATCTTTTATTTTCAATAGTTTCAAATGCATCTATAAGGATGAATATATATTATCCGTAATAATTCACCCGCTATTTAAATTGGATTGGCCCTGGATAAAATTAGAGGTCAACAAAGGAAGAATTCTAGAACTTATTCCCAGTTTGAGAAAAGATCTTGATAAAGAAAGAGGAAACTTTTTTCTTGATGGTTGTCACAGATTTATCCAGCACTTTTGTATCTGCTGAATGAAGTCTTAACAAAACAATTGAGCTTAATAAAATTTCTTCCAGCATATCAGGGGCCAAATATGAGACATATCTTGCAATATGCCTAATTATCCCGGATAAAATAAAAATTCTTATTCTTATCAATTTTGATAAAAAAAAGGTACTTACATCCATTCTTTAAATATATTCTAAACATTAAATATGAATTTTTTGAAATATTTTACTTAAAGTTTGTAGTAAAAAAAAGTTTTAAATGTTTGGTGAGAAATTTAAAAAATTATTTTTTAAGACCAAAACAATATTTTCTAATTCAAATATTTTTCAGATCAATAAAATAATTTTTATTAATTTTGATATTTAATTTACAATCTAAAAATTAATCAATGAATATAATATCGTATTATTAAGAAAAATTATCATTTTTCTAATTAAATAAATAATATATTGTCTAATTAAATAAATAATATATTGTATAATTTTTTCAACCAAACACTGCAATATCAACGTGACTGACAATCTTAATAAAATGCCCAAATCTGGCACAGATATATCAATTCATAGAATTATTTTAAAGAGTAGTGTATTTTTTCTGCTGTAAATGTGAAAAACAAATATAAATTTATATGAGTGACAAGAGTAGGACTGATTATTATAAAATATAAATTAATAATCATAAAAGGGTAATATTTTTGAAAAATATTTTAGCCGGCATTTGCATTTTTTAGCTTTGGGAGGATTTATTCCCTGCCCCTCCCCCAGCATGCCTAAGGATATTTTGCTAGTTATAAATCTTCTAACTTTTATAACCATTAGATGCAGGAGATGAATTTATATGACCCAATACATGGGATGAAAAGTGTTTTTCAGGCACAGCAAAAAAATATTAAAAAAACAAATTCTTGTCCTTACCTAGCGATGACATAAAATTAATACCTTATCAATTTTTCAAAATTGTTGTTAGAAATAAATAAATTACAAAAAGTTCATTTTTATATATATATTATAATTATATGTACAAATTTATTTTATAGAAGGATCTTATTTTATTATATATTCTTTTTGTTTATAATATTTAATTTTTTAAGTAACAAATAACCCGTTACTTTTTTAAAAAGGTTACGAGTAACGATAACACGTTCCTTTTTTCAGACATAACGAGTAATGGTAACGCGTTTCTTTTTTTTAGTAACGTTTACAGCACTAATTATAAGTACATATGCATAATATGCAATAATTAAGTTGAATTTAGGGAGAAATTTTTTAAAAATTATAATAAAATATTATTTAAAATATATTATTATTATTTTAGATGGATTTATAATGCACTATCAAAAATGTATAAATGCAATAATTAATAGGACCAACCTACCCCTGACCAACCATCACCATACCCTCAATCTTATATATGCCTTTTAAATGTGTATTAATTCATGATTTATAATTCCAAAAAATTGTTAGCTTAAAAAATAGGGTTTAATCTTTCTTAAAATCTATTTATTAAGATTTTTAAAAACTTTACCTCTGTAAAAATATAATTGTTAGAATTTTTAAATAATTTTTAGTCAATAATGTATGACATAAATAGTTTTATTAAGTATATATTTCTACTCTTATACAATAATAGTTTAGTTAGATTATAAATGGGGTGGATTGATGTATCCCTCTCCAAAACGTGCCCAGCTTTCCCTTACTTATTTGAAATTTATATTAAATTAAAATTTTAAAAATAATAATTTATACTGTTATTACATTATGGATCGGTAAATTTATAATTCAACTCGACCGAAAACCCATTTATAAAAAATAAATAATTTGACGAAAAATTTAGGCCCATAAATTAATATCTATATTTAAAAAGGTATAACTTATAGAGTTAGGATAATAATGTAGCAGATTTAATATTATAAGGTCAGGATATGGATTTCTGAAAAGTGATAAGATTAGAATAACACAAATTTTTTTTTAAAATATGATTTGATTTTTTTATAATGGCAGTAAAATTAAAATTATAAAATATATAATTGATTTATTTATCACATGTGGGAATTTTGTGGTTAATTTTTTTTTTATAATTCTAGCTTTTATACATACTTGAATAGGGGTAACTATTAGAATCGTTGATTCCTGCATAATTATAAAAATAGATCTATTTATAACTAAAAATTTATGATAGAAAAATTTAAATGCATGATTTTATCGGATAAACAAAATCTGAAAAAGAATATTTTGCTAAGCTACATAATTTTATAGTAACCAAATATGATATTTTGGAAACAATTGATAGACTAAAGGGAAAAAGACAATGTGCATTAATTTTTATAGGGTGTATACCCAAACTAATCACGGAATTTAAATGTTACTAATTGATCATAAATAATGGTAAAACAAGATGTTTGTCGCTGCTCTATTTCTGTTTTGGTGCACCGCCATTTTTTTGATTTTGTTAACATCTTTTTTATTTAAATTTCGGCTAGTAAACTGACACTAACCTCTACTAAGGAAACCCTAAAGAATTATATAAATTTCATCGTTAGTGCTTTCATAATTATCTGGCCAAAAGTTACAATTTTTTTATATGACGGTTTGCCAAATTAATTACCGAATTCAAATTTACTAATTAACCACTAAATAATAGGGAAACCCGGTTTAGTACCATTATAGTTTTTGTTTTAGTTGGCCGCCATTTATTGTTTATTTTTCACAAATAACTATTCTTAAATTCGGCCTCAAAAGTGATTGAGGCACTAACCTCTAATAATGAAGCACCAAAGAATGAAATAATTTTCATCGCTAGTGCTTCCAATCGTTCGGCCAACTTTACGCCTAAATCGTGACGTCATAATTTTTATATAGCTTATATCTTTTTTATAGGGCGGTTAACTAAATTAGTAACGGAATTTAAATATATTAATTAAGCACTAAATATTGGCAAAAACTAAATATTTAATGCTTTTATAGTTTTTGTTTTGGCACATCGTCATTATTTTTTTTTCACAAATAAAATTTTATTCTTAAATTCGAATACAAAAGTAATTGAAGCACTAACCTCTACTAACGAAGCACTAAAGAATGATATATGTTTCATCGTTAGTGCTTTCAGTCGACTTTTAAACGTGAAAAGTTTTTATTTTTGCTTATAACTCCTTTACCTTAAATTCGTCTACTATACGGATTGAAGCAATATCAAGCACTAACGAAGCACTAAAAAATGACATATCGTCGGCCTAGAATTGGAGTCCACTTGCGCAAATGTTTAAAGTGAGAAAATCAACATTAAAGTTCAAAATCAAATATAGGAATAGCTTGTTGATCAAATTTGACAGAGCTATAACTTTGGCAAATATTAATATTTTTAATCTAGTTTTTATTTATATATATATTGGGAATAAATAAATTATTATCCACTTCTAACTCAAAAATTTTGAAAATGTCAAGTGGAGCAATCCAATTCTAGACCTACGATATGATTCATCGTTAGTGCTTCCAATCGTTCGGCCAACTTAACGGAACTGTAAAATTCTACATTCCTTTAAAATGATTTATCAAATAGACCCAAAATTTTTAAATAAAAAAAGACTAGGGGCCGAGTTAAAACAAATTATTTTAAAAAAATCTGGGCTATGCTTGAAAATAGTTTTATTTTTAACTCAAACCGGGTTTCATATTTTGACCTTTGCAAATTATCTGGGTTTAACACTAGTCAAAAAATATCATAACAGAAAATATTTATATTGGCAATCGGATAAAAATATCCGGATATAATTAACCCGTCCATATTCCCCCAAAAGAGAATGCATGGCAAAAATCTCCCAAATTTTTTATATTAAATTACAAAAAAAATCATAATATTTCACATGACTTAAAGGTAGCATATCTAGACTAAGAAGATGTAGAAAGCTATTTCGATGATTTCATGAAACTAACCTTTTTGGGCAAGGTTAGGGTAAGGCTAAAAGATAAGAACACGGGGTAGGATTATTATAATGTTAAAAGTATAATTTTTTAATCGTTATTGTTATTAAATTGCTGTACGGTTTTGTTTTTTTTTAAAATCTATAAAGTTAATGTTCGAGAATCATTTATATTAAACTTGGAAGCTGTGGTTTAACTATTCCTATTCTAATAAAAAAATTAAAATTCCTTAAAATAGAGAATTTTTTTTAGGGGGGAGGGGATAATACTAAATATCAAATATAAATATTTAACCTCAATGCTTGACTATTAAGCTCTTCACATAATTTGATAAGAGTGTTTTTAATTGTCTCGTTCGAGTACATCATTATATGTTTTGAGGTCTTAATGGAGTTTTTTATATGATCATCGTAAGATTCAGAATCTAAAAGATGGTCTAATTCAGCCCAGGCGAACGGGTCTCTTAATATTTGTAAAAAATTGTTTTAATTTTAAAATCTCTTTCTTTATATTTAATAAATAAATCATTATGCTTAAAAATATCAGTATTATAAAAGAAACATTTCAGAATCGGAAACCTTTTTTTTAAGCGAATTAAAATGGCGATTAAAAATAAAAGTTGCCTAATTTATATTTACAAATTGATGGCCCTATTCTCCCAATATTTGGGATTAGTTTTAAGTATAGAGGTGATACTATCTTCGCTGAGGGATACATCTAGCCTGTAAACCCTCGAATAATCTGGGATAAGCGTTTCAATACCATTTTGTAAAATCTCTTCATCTTTGAGCCAACCTTGCCAAGTTCTTTATGACAAAAAAAATATGTTTAAGCTATGTAATATATTTTATTTATACAGAAGAATTTATTTAATTAATATTGCGCCATAATCAATTTAAGGAAGCTTAAAATATTTAACGCCTTTTCTTGACTTTTTAACAGCTTAAATAATAAGAGCCAACGAGTTAATTAATTTTTGTCACGGTTAAACTTATAGTGGAAATATACGATTTTAAAAAATAGCTTATTTCAAGTTAACCACTTTTTATGAAAATGTTTAAAACTTAAATAAAAAATATCAAGGAAATTTGATAAAAATTTTTATAACTGTTTATGGCAACATTCTTGCATCTTTCCTTTCATCCGTTTTTCATAAAAGGAACGTTTAAGGATAAACGCTAAACCAGGAAATATTGGACCTTCATTCATTCTGTAAATAATGTCGGGTCTAGTGTCAGAAATCTTTTCGTGACCTTTCATTTTATGGCGATTAAAATTAATAAAATGTAAATTTTTTCTTATTATTTAATATATCACTTGGTAAATAAGTAAATGAAATTTCAAATTTGATAATAAATTTTCATAAAAAATATATAATATAACAAGATCTTATTATATACCATTTTTTATTATAAATGGTCAGGGTCTGTAAAGCATATTAAAGTCTGATTTATTTATGAGATAAAAAATATATACCATAGGGATTCCAAGCAGAAACTGATGCTAAATCTGACGAATTGATAAGCACAATCAGGGCTTGTGACATGTAATGTATATAGTCGGGCGCAAGAACCAAATTTTGTTCAATGATCATTAGGTATTCCTAGATAATAGGAATTGATAAAAATTAAGTCTATACTTTTATTTTTTGATTTGGTTAAAAGTCGTGAAAAAAATAAATAAAAGAAAATATATTTAAAATTAATATTTTAAAAAATATTGTAATTAAAAAAATTTTCATCTATAGAGGGATTAGAGGTGTGCTAGGGTTTTTAGCCCACAAGTCAGCCTGCCCAAAATTTCTAAAAAATTTAGCCCAACCCGTCCATAGTTTTTAAAAACCCTTAATCCACGCCTATAAAAAAGTTTTATAATATAGGAACTTGCTGTATTAAGCAGAAAAAAAAATTCAATTTAAAAAACGGATAAGGAATTTATTTGATCTAATAAAATATTTATGTAATGAAATAAAATAAAAATTTATTGATACTAAAAACCTCCTAGCAATGCTAATACCTCGTTTATAAGAAGCACTGGTTGCTGGAATTGGTAATATTTTAGCCAATCTTGATAGCTTTTCGACGATAACGTCCTCAATTATCGGTACTTATGTACCAAAAATTTTTAAATTTCAGGGAGCATTTTTTTAATGTTTACTAAAATGATTTTAAATAACTAAAAGTTGTAAATTTTAGCCCGCCCGCCTACCCATGTAAAAACCTACCCAATGCAGACCTCTAATAGGGAGAGATAAAAAATAGTAATCATAGGGTTGTTGGGAAAATGAAATAATTTATGGCCGTGTACTATTTCAACTTATTACCGAACAGCCGGCTGTTTAGCATTGACTGGTCTAAAAAGTAAGATAACTTTTTTTAAGATAAAAATACGAAAAATAACAATTTAAAGAAACACTTAAAACAAACCAAAATAGGGGTCCTAGGCTAAACATAACTAAATTATGTATCAAAAATAAGTCAAACGAGGACATCGCCATATATGACTTATATTTCAAAGTAAGTAAACTGAAACCTAATTATATTCCATGTAAAAAGTGAAAAAGAAACAACCCCGAAATATCAAACAATATAATATAATAAATGTTTAGGAAATTGAAGGCTTGGTACCCAATACAAAAAAGTTAAAACTATAAATGCGTAATAATAAAAAAAAATTCATATGCTATCATTTGTTTGAGTAAATGTATCTGTAAAAAAAATCGGGCAGCACTTATGTGCAACAGGAAGTACTGTAAAAATATCAATCCTTTTTTATAATCAGCCACCTTAATTAAGAGGGCTTTAGTAACTCCTTTTTTATTATCAACCGCCACATTTAAGGACTTTGGTAACTTCTTTTTTATAATGAGCCGCCTTACTTAAGAAGACTTTGGTAACTCCTTTTAACCCTTAACGTTTAGTCGAAGATAATTTATTTATTAATTTGATACTATATTTTTTCTTACAGATAATATTTCTAAATAATTTTTATATATGAGAACAGAATTTTTCATAATTGATCTTTTAAAAACAAAAATTGATAATTTAATATTAAAATTTTTTTACGCCTTTTATAACTTTGGACATTTCGAATATATATAAATTAATTAATAATCTTCTCTAATAATAAAAATATTAATTTTGATAATGATAACTTGATAAAATAACAAAAAAAATAACGCGGAATGCGCAAAATTAGCTTTCTAAAAATGTAATATAATAAAGGATGAACATCATATCATTTCTTTAAATATTAAATCAATCCTGACGTTAAATGTAAAACTATGATTAAGGCGAGAAAAAATAATAGATGTTTAAGCAAAAAAAACAATCTCCGATCTATCTCCTATTGCTTTAAAAACATTGTGCTAAGCACCAGAAAAAAGTTAGAGTATAACAAGCGATAGTTATGAATGCGTAGGAAAATCGATGGTACCATATTTTGTGATTTTCCGAGATTTGGTAGGGGAATCAACGTTATGGCCATTGTTTCCTTGACCAATTTTTAAGAAAGAAAAAGATTAGGATGAAAGTGTTTTAAAATGTTTCGAAATTAACGTAAGTCTTTTGTCTGGGATTAGATTGATTTTTAATCCAGAATGCTTGGAGGAGTTTTCAATCATCTATGTAATAGGTATATCGGTGAAGTTTGCAATCGGTAGAAAGGTTTTTGACCATTTCATAGATGATTAGGTAGAAAAGTATTTAGCTCAAGGGTTCACATCGTTAGATCCATTCTGATGTTAAACACAAATACTAATTGAAATAATTAGATGTCGAGGACTAGGAGTGAAAGAATTGAGAAAATGGTTTATTTGTGGAAGATGATATTTTAACGAGAATTTAGTGGCTAAAGTTGCTTCGGAGCAGTTGTGTAGCTAGGAATTTTCACTAAAATCTTATTTCTTTATAATATAAGATTCTTAGAAATATTGTCCATTTAAATTAGTGTTATAAAATGGCTCGATTTGAGCCGATTTTTAAAAAACGGCCAACTCAATATTTTAGCCAGAAAAATATTGCTCAGCCTAGAGATTTCGCCAATAGATATCCAAACCTTTATGTCATTTGTGAGCAAAATTTTCTTACTTATATAATATTTTTCTGAACCAAATCGGCTCAAATTAAAATAAATATTTCTACATTATATAGAAATCAATTTATTAATAAAAAAGCGATTATTTAAAATACAAATATTATGTTGCTTTGACTATAAACAGGGACATGGAATGAAACGTTGAGTATTTATGGAACAGAATCTCCCTTTCCGGAACGTTTTTAAAAATAAAAATTTCTTATTTATTTCTATAATTTAAAAAAAAATGGCGTGCATATTAAGTCTTTTATTTTTTTATAATATTTTTAATAATAGTAAATAATCATTAATAAATAGGTTACGCAAGGATAATTGTTTACTTTTTATATTTTTTTGAAATTTAACGTGAAAATTATTATTAAACCTTGCGTATACCGCTGGACCTACCTCTGGTTTTTTCGTTCAACAACCTCCGCAAGTTAATCCAAGTCAAAATAATTGGGTTATTTAATAATAAAATTAAAATTCCGTCAAAACCTAAAAAATATTCCAAAACGGGATCAAATACTAGAAGTAAAATGGCAGAAAACGCGACCAAAGGTGAGATGGAAGACTTCCGAACCATAGTTAATGACAAGATCAGTCAAACTAGAGGAGACATAAACAGTATAAATTCAAAACTGGATGTCACGACTCAGCAAATATCGGAATTAATATCCCTCTTCCACGCGCAAAAAGAAAGAAATGCAGCCATATCCATATCTCCCAATGCTTTGGACACTAGAGTTAAAGAGCCGGAAAACCCCTTTTTCTCGAGCAACATTCAATCAACCAGTAGAGAATTCAAGCACATCCCAACATTCACAGATATGCCAATAGATCTGTCTAAGGAATCTACCGAATTCGTTTTATCCGAGGAAGAAATAAAAACTTTAAATATACAAGCAGAAACAGATAAGAAAAAGTTAATTAGAACAGCGAAACATTTCATAAATGCGATATGCTTAGCGGAAACAATGCCAAACTACCAATTGAAAGGCAGAGACGTTTATGAATTTCCAGCTCTTAAATGTTACGTTAAAGAAATTTATACTCATCACTGGAATATCTAAGAGCAATAGCATCGAAGGCTCAAATATACGCAAAATCCGTAGCCTGGGGATGGGACAAAATCAAGTACGAATCCCAAAATTCTATCTGCAGATTTGTAGGAGGTGCCCCACCAGAGCCCCAACAGCCCTTTCGTACCAACCCTGCTTACGGAAGTGGGCGCAAACAGGGTATTAAGGGAAAGATCGCCACTACGGACGATGACGAGCCTACAGTTATCGCAACCAATACTAAATCCGGAGTCAGGAGAGGGACGAAGCCAAACTGTAAATGAATTCGTCTTGACCTTGCCCCCTTCCGCTCAACAACTGGGTATAGCTGAGACCCTGGCGCCCTGGGCGAACGCTTGCATCTAGACATTGGATAAAGAACACATTCGCCGATGGATCCGTGATGTGAGGCGCTAAAAGTTTTCTCCAGGAGGGGCGCCAGGTGAGACACACCCTGATGAAGATGATGTAGAGGACAATGACTCCACCGACATTTGTGATTTACCCATAACAGAACAGTTTGAACACGAGGGGGAACCTATAATCCTAGCGAACGTATTCATGGATAGGGTTTCTCCATATTCAAGCGCAGTCTTGCCTCCGTCAGCGCCGACGGTCGACAGCGCTACAATAGGTCGTTTTCACAGATTACTGAGACTCATGGGTATTGACACCGTGGACGGAGCAACCTTGAACTTACATGCATCATTGGACTTAGCGGAGTTCATCCTCAAGCCACACCCAGCCCAATCACCATTCACCAGAAGGATAGCGTCGAGGGGATTTTGTCCCAAATTCGATAACCAAGCTATAGAAGATCACGGTGGACACTTCCGTAACAGATTCGTTAGGTTAGCAGCCAAATATCAGCCCATCATCGACCAGCTGGTCAATGCAGGAGTCATCGAACTAACGGACACCACATTCTGTTCACCACTCTTCTTAATCCCAAAGCAGGATGGCACGCCGCGCGTTATATCGGATTTCTCGAACGTATCCAAAAACTTCATTAAATATCCGTTTAGATTAAAAACAATTCCGATGATAGCACCAATGCTAGCAGGAGCACGGAAAGCAACCAAAATAGATCTGAAGTCAGCCTTTTATTGTATCCCATTGGCGCAGTCGAGACGAAGATTCTTCGGATTCGCAACAGCCACAGCCAAATATAGGTATAAAACCCTACCGATGGGAACCAGCTTCTCGCCTTACGCACTACAAAACATCGTATTGGATTTATGCAATAAGACGGTTAAAACAGCTAATTATTCAGTATACCTGGACGATGTAATCATATTCCATGCAAATGAAATGGTAGTTTTTAAGGACACAATGGCATTATTGGATATGGCAGCAGCCTGGGGGCTCACAGTAAACGTTACCAAATCAATCACTATCCCAACGGGTAAGATCAGATACTTGGGAATTGACATGGACTTCGAAAGCAAAACAGCCACGGTAGACCCGGAAAACAAGAAACGACTTAGGTTCTGCCAGCTGATCCTCTACAAGCATACATTACAAGCGATGTCTTTCGAGAGAGATATAGCGTTAGAAGTCCTGGGAATCCTAAATCACTATACCTACGCAATTACGGGTCTATCCAGGGTGTTCGCTCCTTACTACCACACAATGCTTGAGCCGGATGCGCCCCCGCCGATAGACTACATCAGGGCATACCCCAAAGCAGTAGCAGCGATAACAGCGCTCATGAAGCCTTTCCCCTTTACTTTCCCAATCAATGCAATAATACACGTAGATGCATCAAGCCCTCACATCGATATCGCGGAGGGACTAGAAAGCAAAGCCTCCTTCACCTTCGATGAAGCTAAATTATCATTAGGCATCCCGGAATACGCGGCGAACCACATCAACCAAAAAGAACTGTTAGCGATCTGGATCGGATGTAAATATGGCCTTAACAAATACGGCAACATCCCATCCCTGGTCACGGATAGCCAAGTCGCATACACAATAATTAAAAAAGGAGGATCCAAATCTCCTTCGTGCGAAATGTTATTAACAAAAATCATGCTATCCTTGGGGTTTGCCAAATATGTTCACCTAGCTAGGAATCTCACGTGGATCGCCTCGGAGGACAATGATGCCGACGAACCAAGCAGACAATGGATGCTAGACGAACAAGCGCACAACACCTTACATGGTATTGACGTGGAGGGCTTACCCCCAGTCGAACTCGGATTACCATGGGTAAGGGCGTCAACCCCCTTCAGGGCCCTCGAAGATGAACTAACTATCGAAGCGGCTATAAGGGAAACCAACGAACTTGACTTCGATCCAAGCATCTTCGATAACACGCTAGAATTGTCGTTAGAAGACAACACGGTCCAAACAGAGGATATGTTAGCCCACGAGGAACAGGCCGGTCCCGAGGAACATAACCCGCCCTAACATTAAATCACTCGCATAATATAACTTAGAATTAGATATACATTATAATGTTACATACTAACATATTATTACCTTAAATTTATATAATAAATATTGAGATTATTAATGATAATAACTCAGGCAATAGCCAAAATAAGGACCGATAGGTCCGCTAGAGACGGTCGCTGTGATAATAGTGACCTACTGTTCTAGCTCTGTCGGGACAAAAATCAGAGTACAAGGTCAGCCAGAAATAAGGTCCTATGCCTATAAATAGGTTACGCAAGGATAATTGTTTACTTTTTATATTTTTTTGAAATTTAACGTGAAAATTATTATTAAACCTTGCGTATACCGCTGGACCTACCTCTGGTTTTTTTCCCGACAGTAATAATAGTTCGCAAAAATAAATAACAAACAAATTGTTTACGTATAATGTAGTGATAATTATATTATAACGTGTTATATACTAACAACCGCCATTTATATTATTAATACATATACTGTATAATATGGACATAAATTGCAATAAAGAATGGCTTAATAGCCTCAGGGCTCTCCAGTACCTTGTGTACTGGGGAGTCCTGCAAATGGCCACCAAAGCAAAGCCAATGCTACTTTTTAGATGAGGAATTTACAAAATTTTCGCTTATTTAGACATTGCAAAACAAATCATGTATTTTTAAAAAAATAAATAATATAGATATAACCAAAATCCGTGGCCAATGATATGATAGTGCTCCAGCAATATCAAGAAAAATAAATGGGCTCAAGCCCATATAAAAAAGTGCCCTAAAGATATCTATGTGCACTGTGGAGAACATTGGCTTAATTTAGTTATATCCAAAGCCTGTGGAATTAATGAGATTGATAATATAATAGTTTAAGTAAATAATTCTTCACATAATTTATATAACTTTTATTTCATAGAAATAGTATCAAAATAATTGAATTTTTAAGTTTTGGGAAGAGGTCAAAGGTGTTGTATGATGTTTTAAAACATATAGATGGATCAAAAGTTCGAAAATTAAAAAAATATTCGCCCACAAAATTTCTTCAAAGGCAAAATTCAATTACTGGCTTTCTTGAAGAATAGGAAGGCATAGTTGAAACGTTGAAAATGATAAGTAGATGGAATGATAAAGATGCATATAATACTGCAAAATAATTGTGCGCATATTTACCAAACTCCTTTTATAATATCAATTGTTTGTATGAATTATATTTTTACTAAAACTATAAATGTGAATAGAAATCTTCAAAGAGAAAAACTAAACATCGTTTGGCCAATGAATGAAGCCAATAGCCTTCTTAAATTATTTAAGAATGCTGAGGTAAATGCCACCAACATTTTTCTACTAATATTTAATATTATTTTAAATTTAGGTCATAAACTCTAAATTAAAATTGATAAACTTTGGCAAATCATTGATAAGATATTAACCTTGGAATCAGTATTTGATTTATAAAAACGCTATCTTTTACCATTATTAAAAACAATCATAACTCATTTAAATTTGATGGGCATGCAAAATATTTAAATATTTAAATTTTCTATTACCAACATTCTCTCAACAATTAGCCATTGCCATTAATATAATGCTTAGCATTAAAAAAATAAGCATTTTAAATGAATCTGACATTATTGCAGAATTCGAATAGCTAAAATCAGATAAAGAAGTTTGGTAATATGATCTAAGCACCATCATTATATAAGAGGGCCCAGCAACACTGTAGAATTGCAATTATTTCAGCAAACTTTAAACTTAAGAACTAATATTAAAACACTAATAATATTAGTTATACTCCCAAACATTACTTGAACCAATGATCGGTCATTTTCAATATTAACTAGACTTTAAAGTTATTTAAGGGCCTATGGTCAGACGAAAACTAATGGAATGACTCATCTAAATATATATAGGCTTTAATCCCACACCAATTAACCGTTATTAAAAATCGACTCAAATCGAGCAGTTAAACAACACTATTTAAAATGTTTTTACATTTTAAGAAAAAGAAATATGATTTTTAAAATAACCCCGGCCGAAGGCCAGACAAAATGGACACCCCCCCCCCCAATCCTTATGAAAAATTCCTAGCTACGTCACTGGTTGCGAGAGTCTTCAGAAGATGGAAAATGTAGAGCAAATTTAATGTTCAAGTTATTTAATTTTTTTGAGTTTTTTTATGTATGGGAAAAGTTGGAATAGATGTGATGTGAGAGGATGTAAGTTTGCGTCTTTAATTTGAATAGTCTGAAATTTATCGGTTAGGCATTTTACACATGCTGGAACTCTGCGAAATCCGATAAATTATTATACACTCCATTTTAATTATATACTATAACTATATTTATCATATTTTACCTAGTATATCCAACTAGTTTTTGCTTTTATCCATTTTAAAGTAAAATTCAATAAAATCTCCCAATCAAAAGTAAAATCATTAAGAAATATTTTTTTTTATATTAACTTCTTTGGAATAATAATCCCAAGCTTGCTGAAGCGCCTTGTGGAATAGTTCTAAATAATATATACGAATAGAGAAATAAAATTTATAGGAATTATGAAACTTACGGATAAGGGAATGGGTAAAAAAAAATATATCCGAATGAGATAAATTGTTAGAACAAGATATCCTTTAATAAAAAATGTCGCAAAATTGTAGTTTGAAATGCTCTTTCAAACTAAAAAATCTGTGATCTCTTAAGAAAATTAAGATTTTTTTGAGAATGCTCAGACAAGTTTTTTTAATCAAATTTTACCTTAAATTCTAATTTACTTTTGTAAAAAAATTTTAAAAAATGATTTTAATTTTCTTAAGAAAATATCTTCAATTTTGTTCTTTGAAATTTTTTTTTTTCAAACTCTGCAAATTGAAATACAACAAAATTTATATATGGAAAATTCTATTAAAGGGGAAAGAAAAAAGAATTACCATTATAATGAAAAGAGGAAGATATGGGATGAGGCCTTGCTCCAAATAATTCGGTTAAATCTTTGAATACTGGCATCAATTCATCATAAGCCACCTATTATAGAAGTGCATAATTTTATATATAGTTTATAATCAAGGGTAAAACTAAGTAATAGTCTATAAAACATCCTAAATACTATCATTACGAAACCAATTTAAACATTTAAAAAGTTTGATATTAAAATTACGTTATGTAATATAAATAATTTTTTTTTTACCCTTCATTATAAAACTAATTTAAACATTTAAAAAGTTTGATATTAAAATTACGTTATGTAATATAAATAATTTTTTTTTTACCCTTTCCTATTTTAGTTTGTATTTGTTTAGTAAGCAATATTTAAATTCAAGATTATAGTTACGAATAAATTAAAAAGTGGCATACCATGATCATTGAAGGCTTGATACCAGGTTGCATAATCAAAGTTTCTAACGTCATCCTTAGAGAGGTATGAGAGATCCCTATTTGTAAAAAAAAATATATTTCATTAGCCACTTCCTCCCCCTTAACATTCCCTAATTGTTAATTTTGTTGGTGCGACAAATAAATAAAAACATTGTGCCGTCTAGTTACTTAAATTTCTTTTGAATGAGTCATTTTGTAGAACAATTAACAAATGAATCATTAAAAAACTGATAACCTCCTAACAACGAAAATGATGGACGGCATATAAGATGATCATAAGATTTAATGAATATCTCAATGTAATATATTTTTTATTATTAATATGTTATGTATGAGTTAATTGTTTAAGATATTCTTTTTCTAAATAAATAAATGTTAATTATTAAGTAAAAGTTTTAAAAAACACTAAAATAATGAGATAACCTGCGACGACCAAAATTGGCGTATTATAAATAGGGTGAAACGCGTGTCCAGGCTTTATTAAAGGAGCAGGAGCTATGTATTCGTATATATGTTCATCTAAAAAAAATTATATTAAATTTATTTGAATCCAACTTTACAAAAATGAAAGGTAAGATACGTGCCCAGCAGAAATATAATAATTATAATTATTTATATTAATATGTCTTCATTAATCGCCTATGACAATATTCGTATTTATATGTGCCAATTGTAATTGTATGAGTTATTAGCATTTAATAATTTGATAAAACCAGAACTAAATTAGTTGAACTTTGTTATTTAAAAACATTTGAGAGGGTTTAATCAGGTCTTTAGGCTTTAATTAGAATCAAAGATTGGGACTTCATTATAACATTCTTTTTTATATTAATAAATGATGTTGCATTCTTTCCCCCTTCCATCGTTATATTTGGAATGTATAAATAATATAAACCATCGCAAAAATCGGCGAAATCCCCATATTTAGCGCAATAATCTCTGCGTTTGACGTTATCAGCCAAGGAAGGATCTGGTTTAATTATGATACCCTGAAAATTTTGTAGAGGCAAACAAAATTTAACGTCTATAGTCGGTGCCCAGGAACCATGGGCGTCTGGAAATTCTAACTGTTTTTTAAGATAAGAATAGATAAATATAATTTAAAATTTTATAGTTAGTTATGAGTAGTGTTGTTAAACGGCTCGTTTTGATCCGATTTTTAAAAACGGCTAACTCAATATTTTAGCTAGAAAAATATTGCTTAAGCCTCGAAATTACCTTTATGCCATCTATGAGTAAAATCTTCAGGCTTGGGCAATATTATTCTGGATAAAATATTGAATTAGTCGTTTTTAAAAATCGGCTCGAATCGAGCCGTTTAACAACACAAGTTATGAGCCAGACAACTCAAGTGATGTTCAATTTTTAAATAATCAAAATTAAAAGAGGTGAGAAAAAAAACAATATTGTAATTTTAACTTAAATGAAATTGAGAAGAATGGATTGCATCAAATAAATAGTCTCTATATAAAAGATTTGGATTATTCATTCAAGTGTTTCTAATAATATATGGAAAAAAAAGAAATAGTAAAATACTGTTTACTGCTTTAATTCAGTTATTCTTTCCCTTACTTTTCTTCTTTTTTTTTACCTATCATAGCAATTATTTAAAAATTTTACATGAATTATCAGAAATAAATTCGAAGATTACCCTACAATAATCCAACGCTATCGTGTTTACTTTTATATATTTCTTAATCTTTGTTATTATATCGTTAATGAGACTATTAACTGTTGTAATTTGCCAACATTCCTTTTATAATGAGGTTTAATAAACATCTTTGTAAATTCTAAACTCCATTCTTACATTTAGTAATGATGTATTATTTTCTCCATATTTTAAAGAAGTTATGCATTAATTTAATCTTGGTTATGATTTTACTTATACTGGTGCCCAAAAGCATCACTAGCATTTAATTTCAAGCTAACCTTTCGCAAATTTTTTTATTTTAGCCAAAATATTGTGTAAACCTCGAGATTTTCTTAACAGATTCCAGCATCTATATAAGAGGATTTTCACGAACAAAAAAGAGTTAATTCTATCTTAAAATGAGCAATAAAAATTTTTTATTTATATAATTTGCAAATAAAAATTCAATTTTTTTAGGGATTCTAAATTTTTTAAGAGGCTTGAGCCCTTGTGGGCTCACCCACTTACAACGCTGCTGCTAGCATATTATAAAAAATTCAAATGTATAAAATATTTTAAGGAAAATCAAAGAAGGGAAATAATTAATTTATGTTCATTATAATTTTATGAATTTTTAAAAATTTATAAATTACATATAAAATATCTTTTCTTTATAATAATGTTTAAATAAATGTTAATTAGAAGAAAAAAAATATATCCAGGTCAATGTGGAAGCTAGACTTGACCAGTTTGATTTCAATATTCCGAAATAGTATAACTTTATAACTTAACGGATATGTTGTTGATTAAGAACGACGCTCTAAGTGATTATATAGTTTAAATATTGCTATAACTATTTTTTAAGATAATATCATACATAGCTTGCCTATCAATGCCGAAGGCCTTGATAGCCTATAAATATGTTTAGTGGTGGTTACAACTTCTAGGAACTTCGCTAATGCCTATTAATGTATGGATTATCTCTGTAAAGCAAGGTCTCTTCCGAAAGCCAGCTAAATTCGTATGAAAAGATAAATCATTCTTTTTTGATAATGGGAATTATTAAGTTAGTGTTAAATTGAATAGAATGATCTTGTGTCAGAATATTGGTAATGCTTATTCTTTTTATAACAATTGTAAACGTTCTACCATAATCCATATCTTTCCAAAATCCAAATCATAACCATCCCAAAGGTGGTAAACCTTCACGACTACACTCATCCAATCCAAACATCGAAGAAATTCATCTCACAGATACAAAAAAAACTAATGGAATAGTGGACGGCCATAGATAAATCCAAGGAATGATGATTATAATATTAACGGGATCGGCTATTTTAATACTTATTATAAATATAAGCGTCATCATATTTTTTATTATTATAAAACTGCTTTATTTCCATTATTAATTTTTAAAAATTTAAAAAAATATTTTTCATAATATAAATAATAAAATATAGGAAATAATCAGAGCATGTAGTATCAAAGCTAAATTCGGTATAAAATGGTAGAAATATTAAAAATGCAGGCAGGGCCTAGAAAATGATTAATAAGCAGTGCCCTGGTTCGTCTTATTTCTAAACAGTCATCGGTTTAGCCGTCTATAATAGCTTCCTCTACACAACCTAAAATGAAAGTGTCTCTTTAGATTTACATAAATGGTAAACGTTTATGTTATTTATAATGGAAAAAAAATATAAAAACAAAAAATGATATTTATTTAATGCACAAATTTAAACAAATCATAATAGGGTTGTTCTAGGTCAAAATCTTGTTTGGTCTGAGTTTTAAAAACGAAGTGAACCGGGACAAGCCCTGAGTATTTCTATTTAATATGAATTGTAGCAATAAAATTTTTAATTAAGATTTGTAAAATGAGTTTTTTTCATCCTTCGGTAGAATTGTATTAGACAAGATCAATAATATAAATATAAAATATTGGATGACTTATTTACATCTTCAATGCTGGAAAATCCTTGTATCCCCTTTTGACCTACGAAATACCAAGAGCCTCTGTATTTAAGGTTTTGCACCATGGAGCTCCCTAATTCAAAGAATAGTTTTTTGGCGTGATTTGTCAATCTGGATTTTGCGCATTATGGACAAGCAATTATAAAGTTTACAAAAAAAATTGGGGATATTAATATAAAATGAAATGGTATTACAGTTTCTTAAAATATATTTGCCAATTGTTTGTACTTTGACGAAGCGTCATCGAATGATGCCACGATAATTGTGTCACCTACTTGCAAGGATTCTAAAAATATTTCCAAACTTGAACTGTCTAAAAAAATATTTATATAAAAAAGGAGTAATTCGAGACATAGAAAATTAATCGGATAAAAAAAATAAAAATAATTAAAATCATTAACCAATGTTTATACATAATTACCCGCTAATAGTACTTATATAAAGTGTTAAAATCGGAAAGGTTAACTGGTAAACCCGGTCTGATGTTAGGGACTGGGTTAAAAATATTTTGAAAGCCGGGGTGGGCCTGCAAATGGATACTTCTGTAGGTCTCCCTTAAATACTAAAAATATACTCTAATATAAATTTTTTGCAAATATTAAAAAAAATAATAATAACCTTCATTGTAAGTGTCGAAATGACCTAATCTCACAACTCCTTTAGATTTTTCATCGATATGAGCAATATTCAATCCTCGGCCTCCTCCGTTCAATTTTTTGTCGAAATAACTTTACCGTAAAAATAGATGTACATGTTACTATATTTTTTGTTAAGGCTATGACCTAAATATATTTTAAAAAACCTCAAAATTTATAAAATTATGAAATGTCTAAAATCTTCTATTAAAATATGTTTATTTAAAGTTTTGCAAAATTTGAAATTTATAATTTTTACCCAATTATTTTTTATACTTCCCATTTAATTTAAAAACTTCCCCTTTTGACTAATATAACTGCCCATTTCATATTATAATTTGAAAGATATTTAATATTACTTACCTTTTTTTTTCGTAAACATTTCACAACTGTATAAACTTTAAGCTAAAATTTATTACATTTTAATATTCTCTAACTTCAAAATATTAATAAATCTTCGCAAATTTGAAAATGATTTTGATCACTATTTTATTTTTATACTAAAAATAACTTATTTCTCTTTATTTAGGTTACCGCCTAATCAAGAAAAAAAAACAATTTATTTGAATAAATAAATATAATTCTTTTATATTTATTTAATCTCGTGATCGTCTTACATTAATTTAAATTTTTTTTAAAGAACTATTCATACCGACTATCCTTGACTATATAAATAAAATAACGAATATAATAATAAACAAAATTATTCCACAGAAATAAATTTATAAACAATAGAAAAATAATATGTAAAATATGGGCAAAACTATATTCCGTTAATGCACATCCTAACGAAGTCTTTGTCCCCTTTCCCTATGTAAATGTGGACGGGAATATTTGGTGATCGGTCATGATCAGAATTATCGATGGAACATTCGCCACATGAAGTGTTAACGCTAGATTGCACGATTCTGATATCCTTCGTTTCTTTGATTTTATCGGATTCCAGCACGAAATTCGGAATCAACTGGCCGACTTTTATTTTTGTTGGAAGGAGGAATTGAGATTCAAAAATAAAAGTTCATAAATAAGGGTGTATAATTAAATACGTATGACCGTTTCTCAATTGATTAGCTAATATATAACTTTGGTCAGGAATATATTTCATAATTAGAAATTACTAAGATTTATCGTGTTTGGGGGAGCGTAAAAGCCAAGTTAGATTTTTCTGCAAATTAAGGCGTGCTCAAAATTGGCTTAAATTTTCTTTCTAAAAAACATATTTTGACACGACAATCGACATTATATAGTATATCGGCCTTTTATTTTTTTAACCTTTAAATTATTATTATCCTTTTTTTCGAACAGTAAAATTTCCAATAATAAATGTCTGACAACGAGCAAAGTTTTAGCACCAGCCAGTATAAATAGTGGGAGGGACTTGTAATATATTACATTCGTATTTTGGTAAGATTATGATATGTTAGCCATAAATACCATTGGCTATCTTTTATTTATTTATCTATCATATGATTGATTGAATTTTATTTATTAATTTTTTTAAAATTTTTTGTTGAGTGATATTTTTATTATTGAAAACCATTGGTTGTTAATTTTTATACATATTTTTTTTTAAATAAATTTTTTAAATTTTAATAGTGAGAATAGATGTTTAAAATATTTATTCGAAAATAATATATTTTTGTAGACCCGGTTAACAGAAGCATAAATACCCAATCCATAGAGCGTCTTTAGAGTGACCTCAAAATAAAATATGTTAAATCTAGAAGGTCGTAGTTTATAGAAAATTACATAGCAACATATTTAATTAAAGAAGAAAGAAAATATAAATCCATTGAATATCTTTAAAAATGTTTTAGAAGATATTATTCAAGCATTTCCTATTATAAATATATAGAATATATATTTTGTTATACATTTTTATACTTTAAATTTTAAAAACAAATATTTTAAATAAAGAGTGAAGTATTTAATTGTATGCTCAGATATGTAATTAGAAATAAGGCTTATAATTTTGATATAATTGACCATTGAAAAAGAAAGGTCTCTAAATTACAAATCTAAATCAATTTAAATTTTATCCTGTCCATCTCATTTTTATTTATCTCTTTGCGTAAAAATTAACAACCAATGGTTTTCGATAATAAAAATATCCTTCAACAAATTTTTAAAAAAAATAAATTGAAATTCAACCAATCATATGACTGATGAATAAATAAAAGATAGCCAATGGTAATTATGGCTCACAAACCATAATCTTACCCGTATTTTCACCCTATTGTAATGTAAAAATGAATATATAAAAAATTACCGGGCGATTTTAAGCAACCGGAAATCTCAATCTTGGCCCCAAAACCATCTTTATCTTTTGCATTCTTTTTGCGTCCAATCTAACAAGAATTATAAAATCAAATTAATTAATAAACAAGATAAAAAAAGTTTTTAAATGGATGGAAGTTTTATAGCTCCTATAATTTCTTGCATTAACCATTTATAACTTATATTAGAATATAATAATATAAGTATTATATTAATTCATTTAAAAATAATTAAAATCTTACAAGGGTAGGGAGCTGAAAAATTAATGAAAAAAACTGACGTCGACATTAAATAACCTAAATTTAATATTTATATTTGTAAGAGAGTAAAATTAGCATAAATATATGTTATATCTACTTTTTCGATAGCGAGTCCTTTTTGTAAACCCAATTGTCCTATCATTATAAAATTCTCCCTGTATTGCAAATCGTTTATTAGGACACTCCCATATTTTGATAATATTTCTTTTCCAAATTTGGTTAATCTATAATTAAGGAAATCTAAATAAGCCAACGAAGTAGTAGGATAGGATATATATATATATGTTTCTTTCTGTCTTTGTTTCATTAAGCCGATCGAAAATTATCCATTAAGAAACTTTAAAACTGGGCTTGTTTAAACATTCGTATCTAATTAATAAATTGAGCTTAATACCCCGATTTAAATAATGCCCATCGCAATAATTATTAAATTGTTTTCTAATGGAGATCAAGCCCTTTAAGAAGTATTGTTAAAGTTTATTTGAACCGATATTTAAAAATGCTAAGGCCATTCCAAACACAACGTTTTTTTAATGCATACAATTTTACGTTTTTTAATATCTAACTAGTTTGATATTTTTTAACGATTAAATGGCGCCTGATAAGATTGAAGTAAACAAATAAATATTTTTATATTATTCTTCAATAATAAAATGATTTTAGAGGAAATTTTATATCCGATTTGATCAATTTTGTAAAGGATCCTGAGGATTTATGGAATCAATCTAATTATATATTCTAATAGATTATTAGTAGATGAACTATAGGCATTAAGTAATAAAAAAATCGAACAAGTCTTTTATATTGCATCGTTGACTACTTTATAATTCGAATTTTTAATCAATAAATTTTTTATACTATTTATTAGTAAGCATTAATATTGAAAATAAATTTTAATTATTTAGAATAATTAATATTTATTTTATTAAATCAATACAATATAAGTTCTTATTTAAATAAAATTTATTATCTTTACCCTATATAAATTATTAATTATTTACCAGAATTCATCCCCAAATGTATGCAAATTAAAATGAAAGAATTTGAGAATTCTTTTTTAAAGGTAAAGATAAAAAAAGAAAAACACATTCAGGGGTTATTGCCAAATCTAGCACTCCATGGTAATGGTATGATTCCCTATCATTTCACTATTCCTCGAAGAACATTAAATAGTATCACAGGAGAGAGGTTTAGGGTTAAAAAGGATCCTAAGGTTAATATTTTGATAAAATGTTTTTGGTAGATAGTGTAAAGAAGGTACCAAATGAAATTAAGGATGCAATGAAAATAAATTTTTAAACTAATTATCGTTCTTTCTCTATTAAATAATGCTATAATGTGGATGATTCTATAGAGGAAGATTAAAAAGTTTGTATTATATTTTTTATATTCACACTAAAATGGCAAAACTGATTCGAGTTATGAACTCAGTTTTTAAACTCGAGTCAAGAAAAATCATAAATTTTTATTTCATTTTATTTTTAGAAATAAATAAAAATGGGAAGACTTGCCTAGCTAATATTTTGGCAAAACCCCCCGTTTTTTCTGTATAAATCACGTTTTATCGGTAAAAACCTTGATTTTTATTCGAGTCGCTTAATTCAGAATTAAAATCAAATATAGATATCTAAATAATTTAGATTTCAGAATCCTTTATTTATCCTATTTTTAAATAGTAGGGTTCATTCGACTCCAACTTAGAGTCGAGATAGTAAAAAAAAATACTTAAAATGGATGCTTCAAAATCTATTTTTGTTTCACGAACTCGAGCGGAGTCGCAAAAAATGGTTCAGACTCGAGCATAAAAACTTTAGACCCAATTATTCTCTTGAAAATTAATAAATGAAATATGGATTTTTTAGACCCATATTTAGTATTAACGCTATTACGCTATTAAAGCATAAGATTAGTGAATTAGGGTATCAAAAATAGAATATGTTTGCGTTCAAAGTTATAACCAAATAAGGTTAGCGTTAAAATTCGTAAACGCTTTTATTCCTATGTTGGATTTAATAATTTAAAATATTTATATTTTTACTACTGTTAATAATCAATTTTCAAAATTTTGCCTGATATGTGAGAGATTTCGAGCAAAAATATTTATGGTTTTAATATATTTTTCCAAAAACCCTTTTATAAGTATAAATTATAAAAATTACCATCTTCCAAATCAATATAAAATTTAGTAAACATATTCCTTATAAATTTTAGACCATCAAATATAAGTTATTGTATTTATTTTATATACGATTTATATAAGACATCTTCTTGGAGTTAAGTTGCTGGCTATGGATAAAGAGTTATAATGTTTCTTCTGATGAAAGCCGTAAAAAAGTAATTTTGAGTTATTAATGATTATTCCATAAAACGAAATTATTTTAAATGTAATAACTTTGATAATTTATTTAGTGTTGTTAAATGGTTCGATTGATTTGGGAAGGTTTTTTAAGAAAGGTTAACTCGCCTAGTGATTTTGCTTATAGATAGAAAAAGATTTGATCATCTATTAGCTAAATGTGGAGGCTTGTGCAATATTTTTTTAGCTAAAATATTGAGTAAGCCGTTCTATACTAGTTTGGACATCTATATTTGATTTCAATATTAATATAGGGTAAAAGTAAAATTAACAATATTTGTACATTTGAGCAAAGCAAAATGATTGGTTAAATAAAAGTGCTAAATCGAAATTACTTAGATATTTTTAATCGATTTTATTGCTGAATTAAACGACTCGAGTTCACAATAAAAATCAAGCTTTTACCACGGCGTTTATACAAGATAATAAGGACATTTACCAAAAATTTAGCTAGGTTCCTAATTTTCTCTATTTCCAAAAAACGAAAATAAAAATTAATAATTATTTTTTAATTTAAGATTATTACGAACTACTCGTCCTCGAGCGAATTGTGAACTAAGTTAGTCTACTAAATCGATTAATGACTCTAATGAACTCCATTATTTAACAACACTAGATATTAATAGCATTACCTTTAAATGATAATTTTTATAAAAAATTATATATATTTAACAGGGATAAAAAAACTTAGCAGAACATTCGTCATAACACACGATCACTATTATAAAATGATTTGGGACTGTCTTGAGAAATTTGATGAGTGGATAATCTTTAAAAAAACATATTTTGGGGAGTTTTTATAAAATAAAATTTAAAAAAAATATCAATCAAAACTTATTTAATTATCTCATTATCTGGATTAAATATTTCTTTAGTTACAATTTATAGCATTTTAACTTATAAAATGTCATTCCAAACAAGTGTATCATTTTCAATTTGGAAAACAAGCTCAAAATAATATTTTGCAAGTTTTAAATGTTATATTATTTTCAAAGTAAAACATTATATAAACTACCTTAGTCATAATGTATATGTACATAATTATATAAGATCAACTAGAAAAACTAAAAATTAAATGGATGCTCCTCAAATTATCAAAAGTTCGATTGGTGATTTGTGTTCCACTTCTTAAAACAGAAGAATGAGTTAATATGACTAAGTAAAAATATTAAAACAGAGTAGCGTAGGTTATGCCTACTTATAATTTAAGCGCGCATTTTATATTTGAGAAAAACGTTTTTACGTCGTGATATATAGCGCTTATGCCCTCTAGCGTTGAAAATACAACAGAGCTACGCTAGGTTTTCCTTATTTCCATTTAATTGGAACAAAATTTAATTTGGGTAAAAAGAAAAATATGAGTATCCCTCTACACGTTTGGAGGCAAGCCGCACGTACTTGTACGTGCAACATTCCGAAAAATGTTGCAGACGTCCATAGGCTTTGTAAAAAAAGGAGAGTGGGTCAAAAACAAGAGCCTATGCCCGAGAACTTCAGTATAAATTAATTTAATTTAAGGATGGGTTTTGGATGTTTTTTTTTAAATTTAAAGTATTTTCCTTTAACATTCATTTTGAGAAAAATTAGTATATCATTTACTTTATCCGTTGGAGGCGCATGCTATGGTTTATGGAATATATTTAGAAATAGTAATGATATTTTAGATTTTATCAAGCCTAGAATTTATATTTTAAATATCTTTGCTTGATACGGAATAGTTTTTTAATGAAATTTTTGCAATTATTATTTTTTGCTCCATCAGGTCTTTTATTGTCTTATAATACCACAATATTTGGTGTTTTATAAGTATATAGCCATGTTATGGCATCATGCACTAGCAGAGTTTCTTATGATATGAGCAAGGAATTAAATTCGGCGTTTCTTTAAGGTAATGTTTATTGGGGTGTGTTTTGAAATTCTCAGAGATTGGTGTTTGATATAACTTTAGGGTAAAAAATACCATTTATAGTGCGGAGGCAATTATTTATGAAAGATTGCAATCTCCAGTTCTCTGTCTTATTTATTTCCCATATGTCTCCACCAAAAATCAATATTGGGATTATTGTTGAGTTGAAGATTCTTAGTCTGGTGAACACTGAGATCTCTTTGGTTTTCCATATCTTCATGTATTTGTAAAAAGTCTAGCTTTCTGTATCCTTATTTTCATCTCCTCCTTGCAGCATCCTTTATTGTCTATATTTTATTTTATCCACTATCTTAAATATTCTTCCTATTGTAAAATTTTGTATTTGAGAGATATTGGGGGAAGTCAAATGAGGCATTAGAAAAAATAAGAAAGCTAGGAAATGATTTAAATAGAGACTTATGGAAAGATATACAGAAACTGCTGCAAAGAGATAGAAGAATCTATATTGCAAGAAAGGGCATTGAAAGAGATAGAAAAATCTATATTGCAAGAAAGGGCATTGAAATTGATAAGGACATGAAAAAAAAATAGGATTTATGACGCTTACAAAAAATTAAAATATTCCTGTAAACCATACAGTTTCAAGAAACTCCCCTCCTTAGTTTTAGCGAATGGAAGGGAAATCATTGACCAAGAAGAGCAGATAGCTTTATGGCTAGATTATTACATGATGGTTTTTGATCCAAGGAAAGTATTCTGTCCAACAAACACAAATATGAACCCAGCCCCGCCCCCGTCGGGTTTCTCCATAAATGAAATCGAAAAAGTAGTTAAAAAAACTGCGGAAACCTGGGCTTGATAATAATACTGCCGAATACCTAAAAATTGCACCCAGAACAGTATCTTCCTTTATTCTATCCTTTTTCAAAAAAATCTGGGAAAGCGGCGAAACCCCAGCGGAATGGAACAAATCCTCTCTGTGTAATTTCCTTAAGATCAAAGACCCTAAGAAATTTACAGATTATCGTGCTGTAGCCCTCACATCTTCTGAATCTAAAATCTTTATGGTCCTCCTAAAGAACAAGATTATGACATCAACACCATATTTGTTACCAAAATACATTTGCGCTTACAGACCAAATAAAAACATACTGGAACCAATACTTACATTTAATTATATAAAAATGTTGGAAATACAAAATACCTACTTCACTTTTGTAGATTTTAAGTAAGCGTTTTGTGATAACGTAAACCACGATACTCTATGGATGACACCAGAATGTAGCATTGAAAAAAATATTATCAACATCCTAAAAAACCACTACTCCAATCTATCTACTTGTTTCAAAAAAAACATTAAAATATTCCCCCCCCCCACCGTTCAGAATAAAAAAAAGCGTGAAACAAGGATGTACACTCTCGCCCCTCTTGTTCGACATCATAATTTATAAAATAATAAAGAAAGCTCTAGTTACAGCCGATCTAATAGATATTGGTTCTAAGGTTATGATGTTGGAAAATCGGATTATCTCATATGCAGGTGACATTGTTGTGATATCCACAAGTATTGAAGAAACAAAAAATTTACTTCACCTCTAAGTCTGAGAATGGGACTTTATATAAACTGTAACAAAACTTTCATCCTTCCCCCAGTACCTCTCAAATACAAAATTTTACAATAGGAGTAAACGTATTTAAGATAGTGGACAAAATAAAATATATAGGAGTCATTTAGACAATAAAGGATGCTGCAAGGAGGAGATGAAAAAGGATACAGAAAGAGGGGCTTTTTACAAATACATAAAGATATGAAAAACCAAAGATATCTCAATGTTCACCAGACTAAGAATTTTTAACTTAACAATAATTTCAATATTGCTTTTTGGTGGACACATATGGGAAATAAATAAAACAGAGAACAGGAGATTACAATCCTTCATAAATAATTGCCTCCGCACTATAAATAATATTTTTTACTCTAAAATTATATCAAACAAACACCAATCTCTGAGAATTTCAAAACACACCCCAATAAACATTACCTTAAAGAAACGCCGAATTCAATTCCTTGATCATATCATAAGAAACTCTGACCATAATCTAGTTCATGATACCATAACATGGCTATATACTTACAAAACACGAAATATAAATCTTTATTAAGGCAATAAAAGACGTGATGCAACTAAATTTAAATATGAAACAATAATTGCAAAAATTCCATTAAAAAACTATTCGATCAACAAAGATATTTAAAATAAATAAGCTTAATTTTTCTCAAAATAAATGTTAAGGAAAATACCTAATTTAAAAAAAGCATCCAAAACCCACCCTTAATTCTTTCTTTCTTTCTTTCTCTTTCTTTCTTTAATTAAATTATATTGCCGTTCTCGGATATAGGCTTGTTTTTGACCCGCTCTCTTTTTTTACAAAGCCTATGGACGTCTGCGACATTTTTCGGAATGTTGCGCGTACAAGTACGTGCGGCTTGTCCACAATTAAATTTTGTTCCAATTAGATGGAAATGAGAAAAACCTTGCGTAACTCTCTTGCACTTTTAACGCTAGAGGGCATAAGCGTTATATATCACGTATCACGTAAAAGTGAGTTGTCATTCCATTTTGTAGGTATTCTTTCTTTTTCCTTCGCTCTTATCATTTACAGTATGCCAAATAAAATGTCTTATTTATTTCATTGAAACTTGTTATTTCGCTTAAATAAAGAATATCTTGGTCCAATTTCAGTAATACCTCTCAAATACTACTAATATGAATATTTTCGAAGTCTTAGAATCGAAAACTAAGATTAAAATAGATAATTTTTTATACCATGACTATGAATTCAAAGAATAAAAAATAATGATATTTGAATCAAATTACCGTTGTTATAGGTATCAAAAAGTTGATCGTTTAGGATTTCTTTGGTAATCACTACGAGTTTTCAATAAATAAATGAAAAGAAGGATTAGATATTTAAGAGTTAAATATTATGTAAATTTTGTCATGTTGTATATTTGTGTGCATTACCATTTATACGAATGAGATGTAGTCCCCTCCCCTTTGTATGTTCATCCTTGATCAGATCTATTCTATATAAATATTTTACGTTTGTAGAGAAAAATATACTTTTATAATCAAATTGGAGAGATTTTTAAAGAAAATAAATCTTTGGTCGGATCCGTCCAACAAATTTTTTCTCGGATCGGGTTAGACCTATATAAACCGATTCGATGCTGGGTTCTATTATAAACATAATGATATCAAAAGGTGAATATCAAATAATTAATTTTATTGAAAAATGGTCAAATATTTGGCTTGATATTTAATTTATGGGAAAGCAATAATTTCTAAGACTTTCAGCAAACAGGGCATAAATTTGAGATGATTTAGGAGGCAGGTCCCCTCAGATAAATTATAGCTGCTAATGGAATTTGTAAATATAAGTGTTGTTAAACGGCTCGATTTAGCCAATTTAAAATTAAGATTTTAGCCTATTAAGCAGCCTCAAGATTTCGTTAATAGTTGTACAAATCATTCAGCCATCTCTGAGCAAAATCTCCAGGGTTGAGTAAAATTTTTTGGGCTAAGATATTGGGTTAGCCGTTTTTAAAAATTGAGCCGTTTAACAACACTAAATAAATATTTTTAAAATTATAATTAGAAGTAAATTGTAATTATAAAAAAAATAAGCTAATATTATATAAATTAGTAATTTACAAAAATTCAATTGTCTAAATTTAACTAACATGATGCAGAATATTCCTTAAATCACATTCTAAAATGGATATCGTATTAAACTAGTATTATTGGTTTAAAAATTTGTGGGTGAGACCTCTATTATTAGCAAAAACTAGACTCTACTTTTCACATCTTCTAAAATTGCTAACCATTTATAATTTTAAAAACATAATGGTTTGCGTCAATGTTAAAAGATATATAAAACTAGTTTTTGCTAATAAATCTTATTTATAACACTCAGCCTGAATATAGAAACAATTTTAGCTTTATTTGTCTAAAACGAAATTTATTGCTAACAAAAACAATTACCCGCCCCTCCCCACTCCTGTTTACCCCAATTGAAAATTCCTGTTGTAATTATATTATTATAACTATGCAATTCGTGGTTTTCAAGTTCACTAAATTTGGAAAATTTAAAATACCCCCCCCCCCCCATCTAATATTTAAAACTATATATCTTTTGCTTCGTAAATAATCTTAGATCAAATTGGATATATTAGGTTTATAAAAATTGGCTAGTTAATTAGAGTAATAGAGGCTTCGTTGATTTTATATGTAGCGTAATAATAAATTTAAGTTTATACGTTTGTTCATCGATGCACACGAATGGATGTTGATCCAATTTGTCTCCAGATATAACCTTATAAGGTATCTCGGAACCGTTACACCGCATATTAATACATGGGGCCCTGTTTATTTTGGTCGTACGAGCTTCTAAATTTTAGTTATAAGATCATCCATTTTGATAATATTTATGTATACTAAATAATGGATTAATAATAACTGCAAGAATAATAATGTTGGAATTACAATAGACTTAACTCAATGTTTTAAAACCTGGATCAAAAAAGGTTCTGATTCAAGTTCTGATTTTTTTTAAAAAAGTGACTCTGGTTGGTTCCAAAATATCGAAAAGTGATTATGGCACTTAAATTTGACACGCTTCAGAGGGTACCAGTTTGCAAACTCTGTTAACCAGAGTTGTTAAAGTATCTAGATACTGTATCTAGATATAAAAATGTAGTATCTGTATCAAGATAGATTTTTTAGAAAGATATCTGTATCTGTATCTAGATATTTTTTAGAGGTATCTGTATCTGTTTTTAGATACTTTTTAAGATACATTTTATATACCCCTTTTTTTATTATAAATAAAAATATTTGACTGTAAAATTTATTTTATTTCATACGAGCTTATGAAATAAATAAATATATATATATTATATATTAATATTTATTAATACTATAATAAAGAATTATATATACATAAAATATTAAAACTTATATATAAAAAATATATATAAATATTCATTAATTTAAATATTATGTCCGAGTTTATCAATAAACCATACAAATTTTAATATTACAATATGGAAATGGTAAATTTTATTTTTTTTATAACTAAATTTTTAAGTTTATATATTTATTTAGATCTATATCGATGAAGAAGAGGAAGCAACAAGTTCTATTGCTTTACCATGGCCAAATTGAGCATATTTTAAAATAATATCTCAAAACAAAGAAAACAATTAATTCTCTGATGGTAAAAGGTTTGCCGTGTCTACCTAAAAATACAAAAATATCCGTCAGTATGACCAACGTGCAATATCGTGAAGCACATAAGGGTATAGATATTATATATTTAAAATTCTAATTAAAATTTTAAGAGAAAATATCCAACCTTGTTAACAAAAATAAAAAAGGGGAAGGAAAATAAAATACTAAAGAAAATATTGGCAAGGCTCATCCTCCAATAATATTTTTCCTAAAAGACCTTTGACTTTAACTCAAGGCACTTTAGATGATTTAATTATTGCTTTTATTATAGATGGCATGCAGCCATTATAAAAGAAAACAATTGATACAAAGATTAGCTGGTGAATTATCAAAGTCATCAACTGACTGCAAGCAAATAACCTACCAAAAAAACAAATAATTTAATTTCAGATTTTTTTCAGTACCCTACAGCAGATATAATTTCTAATAATGATTTAAATTTTGATAATCAACAAATTTTAAATAACTTTTTCAAAAATAAATGTAGAGATTTTAGCATTTTTAAAGAACTGATATAAAATTGTTATTTATTAAATATAACACTACAATTCCTTCAAGCGCCCCTGTGGAAAGACTATTTAGTGTTGCTAAAAATGTCTTCACAGATAAACGAGGATGCCTAAATGATCAAAATTTTGAAAATATTTTATTACTGAAATCTAATAATTATTTAATCATATATTTTCATATATTATATTAAAATTATAATTTTAGTTATATTCTGATAAATGTTATATCGCGTCAATAAATTTTTAGCTCATTTCATGAATTTTCACAATATAATATTAATTTAGGTTTATGCAAACCTATAAGAGCATAAAAAAATGTATCTGTATCTTGATAACTTTTTAGACGCTGTATCTAGATAACTTTTGAGACTATGTATCTGTATCTGTATCTAGATCCATTTAAAAAGTATCTTTTAACAACTCTGCTGTTAACGCAATCAAAAGATAATTCCAAAATTTAATAAATTATAAACTGCTAAAAAGAATGGGGCAATATTTTGAACAATTATTTGCACTTTTGTTAGAACCGGTTCATGAAACCGGTTTCCAAAAATTTTTAAATGGATTGGTTTCAATAATTTTTTTATAAAAAAAAATAGGGTTTCCAGGTACCCGTTCCTAGATAGGTTGTCTCGTCGCTCGGAGGGTTTTGAAGCCTGATTCTAAACTCTAGTTCGAACTAAAAATTGCAAAATGTAGTAAATATTATTCGGATATGCCACTGATACTTTACGGTATCAGCTGATATACCCTAGCATCGGTATGGGCTAAAAAATGAGTATGTAACATTTTTTTCTACTTTGTAAAGTATGATTTTATATGGTGCATCATTTTCAAACTTAACGAATATCATTTAATAATAACACCGGATGAGTAATATAGTAGTATTCTATATCCATTTTTAGAAAAAATTGTTCAGAACATTTAAAAAATGAAGTATTTCTTGTATTTTAGATAGGAGATACCAATTTGTAAATACGAATAAAGTACCGAAAAATTCATTTATCAAAAAAATAAAAGCATTTTGAAAAATAAATTGGATATAGAACAATTATAATACTCGGCCGACGATAAGTAGATCCGTTTATCATAAATAGATAAAATGGTAATAAGAATTAATTGTTTAAAAAAAATCAATAGGTATAAAGGATTTTAACGTGTTATTAGAGGCGTAGAGAAGTGCTGGCCTAATCGAGGTATTTCTAGGTGAGTTGGTTGAATGATTTGATAGCCACCTATTCATAATATAAAATGAATATTTTATAAACCATATATATACACTTCTTTTTCTTCTTTTTTTATACGGAAAAATTTCGTTAAGCTTTGAAAGGCTGTGAGTATAGTTGTTATTCGTTTTTTTTTAAATTATAAGCTACAAGTAACAGAGCCCTTCCATTACAAATCGGAATTAAAAAAAGTAGGACTGTACTAGTAATGTTAAAAAGTTCGATTCGTGTCGATTTTAAACCGTCGGATTAAGATTTTAGCCAATATAATATTATGTAAGCCTCGAGATTTGACACTATGACCAATATATCTTTAAGCTTACATTATTATTTTGACTAAAATATTAATCGGGTCATTTTATAAATCGAACATAGACTGCACCAATATTAAATATCGGTATCGGATATGCGCTGATAGAGGACTTTTAGAGAAAATATCGGATGGGCCGATATTTTTTAACCGATACTGATTTTATGAATTTATTTTAACTTTGAACTAATTTGAAATAAATATTCATAACTCCCATAAAAAAATGTCGTTATAAAATAAAAATGTTTAATGTTTTAAAGTTATAATAATGAAAGTATATTAATTAACTAATATAAAGGAAAAATTACCAAAATGTGTATTTTTTATTTGTCTATTGTTTTTATTAAAGAGAACTAGTAAATAAAAATCATTTTTTATTTAAATTTGATTAACTAATAAAGATATCAATATTTTATCTGGATTTATCCTAATTATGGATAGGTGTAGCCATAAAAAAAGATCTATTTTCGGAAACATCTTTCCAATCAAATAAAATTAGGCAGAATTGTTGGGTATGTTGTGAGGATAAATGCAAAAATATTTTATGGTCCCATCCTTTTCTATTAGTTCAGGACATTAAAGTGTTAAAAAAATAAAGCGTTGCTTAATTTAGCAAAGCATAAAAATAAAATAAAGAATACTTTAAAAATATAAATGAAGAAGACCAATATTTTGTGTCATTTTTAATGATTCTGACATTATTACATAATTAACTTTATTAACACTTCTGAATTTTTAAAAATATGTGATCATTGGATGGATGGTTGCTTAGGAATTTACCCAATGAAGGTCTCAGGCTTCATCTTGGATGCCAAAGTTTTAATACTCAGCGAAATGGCAAATTATCAAGAATCCATTATTTTGTAAATTTTACCTGTGAACTTGTTGAAATATGGCACATTACAGCATTTTAAAAATAGAAGGCTTTAAGTGCTATCTAATGACACTTAAGATCTTTATCATTTATATTTTTCGATGAATTTATTTTTATGTGTAATACAAATTGAGCAGCGAATCTTTTTTTTACATTTTAAATGCTCATATCAGCGGAACTAACAGAGCTGGAATAATAAAATTTCGATTATATTAATCCTCGCAACATAACTAACCATTGTTAAATTTTTATATTTGATTTAAAAGATGTGACAAGAAACTATTCTGAGTTAGCGAGGAATGGGCCAACAACTTTTTAAATATGATATAGAATATGTATTATGATCAAATCTCTGATTTAGGCCATTCCCAGACAGAATATGCATGTTTCCAACATTAGTTCAAGTCTATGGTTAGGCGCCATTTAATCGTTTATAAAAATCAAATGTTTAGAAAACCGCTTTGAAAAAAATGGTATATTTAACTGGCAATATTTTTTATTATAGTATTTATTTCGCAAATTTGATTGAGATTTTGACGATAATAATTTTATTCTCCTGCTCCATTATTATAAGAGTCGGTGGTTAAAAACTAAGAAACAAGTGATTTATAATTATATTCCTATTGGGTATTAATATTTTTTCCAACTTAAAAAATTAATCGAATCCCTTTTATCCATCAAGTGCTCATTATAAAAAAATATATTTAAAATAAAGGATCAAAAAAATTTATTAAACCGTTACCTTTGTAAGAAATGAACCAAGAATGGAAGAAAAACGCAAACGTGAGAAAAAGCAAGCAAAGGGCCAACTTCGATCTTTTAACGGCTAAAATAAATTTATAATAGTAATATAGTGTTTTTTTTAAAAAAAGTATTCATTAACGTTTCTGCAAAATTACTATTCAAAATTTGTAAAATGGTTACTGTAATTGTTTATTATAGAATTCACTCTTGGAGGCTAGATACATGTGGAAATGTATTTCGTTGGGAGGGGGGGGGGGGGGGGTTCGCTAATTATTTTTGATTTTTTAGCCCCCTTTCCAAATTTTGAGGATGGACTGAGCCCCCTCCCCTTGCCAAAAATTTTCTCTTTATTATTGTTATAAAAAAAAATTTTCATATTTTTTTAGAGCCATAGAAAATAGAGAAGTAAAAAGTTTTATTTTCAATATTTTTATATAAATTTGAAATCACCGACGTTTCTACTGTATTTAAAGTAGAGAAGATTCACCATCGACAAGTATTGATGAGAAATAGTTCCATTTTAGCAGGTTTTGAGCCAACTCTAAAATGGCTAAACCGAATTTTTAAGCGAAAACTATCATCATAGCCTCACTCGAGACTGAAATTTAAAGAATAGCGCAATTTTGAAAAAAAAAACTCTTGTCTGCGAATTTTTTCGACTCTAAGGATCGATAAGGCAAGAGTTATCCAAATTTAATAAAGTATAAGTAGGAATCTATAATTTTCAAGTAAGTAGGTTATTAGTTATTAAGATTAATAAATATTCTTTGAAAGAAATAAAAATTTGAATATTTTCGGTGTCCTTTTGCCAATGATACATTTTTGATTGACTATTAAAAAAATAAACCACAACATGTTGACAATAAAATATAATGTAGGCAGCGTCTACATGATAGATAATTTATTGGAAGCAAACTCCTTCTAAATTTAACCCCTACCCCCTAAAAAAATTCGCGCTCTTCCCCAGACATATTTAGCCTACCCACCCATTGTGATGTACAAACCCCCTGATACTAATTTGAAAAATCTTATAATGAGCCATCATTAATAAATTTCAAATAATTTTAATTATACTCATAGACCTCATGATTATTTAGGTCAGGAATAATAAATAAACAGTAGTTAATAATAATCAACTAGTTGTTTCTAGTATTCTAAACATTAGCCAAAAGCGTATACAGCTTCAACATGTACTAAAATGTTATTTGTGAATGAATGAGAAATGAATATCTATTAATAAATTTAATTTTTTTTACCAGTTAATTTTATCTTTAATCAACAAATAGTGACTATTTTCCTTACTTCCCCCCCCCGCGCCTACCACTTTTTCACGGAGACGTTGTATGTAAGTAAGTATTTGCATATATCCCTCGGTTCAGAAATTACATTTTTATTTTATAAATATACTAATAAAAAAATCCAAAATTTATAAAGATAAAAAAAATAGACCAATTTATATAATTATTCTAAAAAATACTGGCAGTCCCGTTTAAGCAATAGCTTTGAAAAAGAGGCTAAAATGATTTGAATCAAAATTTTTATTATTTTAGAAATTCTTTCCGATATACTGTTTATTCAAAAAAAAATTGGCCTAAGAACATTGATGCGCGATTTGGCGAAAAGCGAAGAAGCTACCAAAAATTCAAAATAAATGAATATGAAACGATTTCTGAGCTTAAAAAACTTATCGATGAAGATATTTCTAATGATAAATTTACAAAATTCTTTAAGTAGATACTTTATCCTGCAGTTATGCCGAAAGGGGCTTTCATCTTGTGATTTTGATCTGGTAGATATTCGAGCACTTTAAAAGTAAATAATTTGCCAAATTTAATGTTCATAAATATTAATGTGTCTTCGATATCAGCATAGATTCCAGATCCATGTATCAAAATATGGAAAATGAATGGTTGCGGGAGAATGAAATCTTTTCAAAGATGAACAGCCCAAAGAACACGAAGTAATGAAAGATTCATGGAATTTTTTTAAATTCATATTTATATTTTTTAAAATTTCTATAGCTATCGGTGGGATTTTGTTATCTTATTTTTAAAATATAATATTATTTCATATTCATAATAAAAAAATTTATAATATATATCATATCTTTTAATATATAAAATAAAAATCGTAGCACCCCTCTCCCCGCCAAATTTTTAAGCAATACACCACTGCTCATCATGCGCTAGAGATTTTATTGCATAATTAATTTACCTTTATACTGGTGGCATATAATAAATAAATTAGCTTTCTTATTTCCTTTTTTTCTAATCCAAATTTTAATTCAATCATAAAATGTCTAGCAAAATTTTAAATTGAAAGGCGCAACTTAAACTTTATTTGGGAATTATCAAAATTTTATTGCTTACTAGTTATTTTCCAGAATAATCTCATAGCTATTCTTCGAAATTCATAGCCAATATCCAAGGTAAACAAAAGCCTCTGTTGATGTTGAATTTGTTATGACTCTGTAACCATTCTAGGCGTCCTTTTATCAAAATTATAAATAATTTATCTAATAAAATGATTAAATAATGAATAAATAACCGCACCCACTAACAGAAAATAGGCTTAATTTTCTTTTTCTTTCATATTTTATTTGGGAAAAAATGTAAATTAATTCCTCTTTATTACTGCGATATTATTTTATCAAATAGGTGAAGTTGAAATAAGCCCCTCCCCTACGCAACAATAAATTCCAATATTGGGAAAATTATATATGAAATTAGGTCGCTAGGCGATTATGATTTTATAAAATAAATAATGACAATATAAAGGAATTTTTTTTTTGAAAAAATAAGTATAAATTATAAGGAAATTGTGGTAATACATCAAACATTTGAAGAACGTATGATATTAATAGGAAAGTATCGATAAATATTAGGATTTACAATGGCAAAAAGGGTAAAAAAATAGACAGCTTAAATTTTTGAGGATAAAATCTTTTTTAGGAAAATAATTTACTTTCTGCAAGGCCATGAAAACCTGCGAACCTAGAATATGAAATTACTTTCATATTTTTGAATGGGGTATGAGATGGAAGGAGGGAGGAAATGTATCGGAATATTTTTTATAGAGTTCTATTTATCCCAAAATATTTAAAAAAAATTTGATATATTTCCCAAAAAATTAAGGGGAAAATATTAGTGTTGTTAAAAGTTACTTTGAAATATAACTAGTTACGTTACTAGTTACATTGGTAACTAGTTACAATTTTACAAATGTAACTAATTATTAGTTACAATTATATTACAAAAGTAACTAGTTACTAAGTTACTTTATACATCTAATATATATAATCTCCTTAATCAAAACATGATCGTTTTCGTATCTTCCTAATGTAAATGTTATTTTTTTGCTCTCTACGAGAGTCGAACCAAAAACCAATCGTTTCAAAGTCGCATGTTTTAAGCATGCACCAAATTGAATATAATTAAATTGAAAATATTAATTATATATATATTATTAATAGCAGATATTTTTAAAATTCTGCAGTTTATTACCATACTAGCTGACGTGTTGAAGGGTAATTATTTAGTTTGTGTGTATGGTATGGTACTAAATATACTTTATTAATAAATTTTATATAAATATTAAAATTTAGGAGAAAAAAAGGTAAAATTGTTGCAATGTATACCGTGAGCATGTATTAGAAATATCAAAATTTAAATTTGTGATGGAAATCATATTTGATAAAATTTAAAATAGAGATACTTTAAGATTTTTGAATTTTAAATATGGGTTATATATTGCCGTGAATTTTTTTTTGCAGACATAGCCAGGCCTGATCAAAAAACCAAGTCCCATGCAACTTTCATAAAATTTTGCCATTTATTTTTATTGAATGTCTTAAATTTAATTTTATATTTAGAATAAAATTTAGATTTGTGATAGAAATCATATTGTATAAAATATAAATGCTTGAAAATTTTTTAATTTTAAATATGGGCTAGACATTGGCCTGAAATTTATTTTTTGCAGAAATCGCCAAGCCTGATTTAAAAACCAAGCCCATGCAACTTTCATATTCTGATTTTATTTTAAATGAATTTTGACTTTTATATATTTTATTTCAGTTCTCAACTAACAAAATTATTATGGTCTTTGGTGGGCTTGAGAAAATTTTCCAACAATATGGTTTTCAGAGATTTCCCTATCTCCAGGCTTGGGAAAAAATTACAAAATTATTATGGATTGGCCAGGTTTGAGAAAAAAAAAATTCAGGCCAATGTCTGGTCCATATTTAAAATTAAAAAATTTTCAAGCATTTCTATTTTTAATACCCAATATGATTCCTATCACAAATTTAAATTTTGATATTTCTAATACCCTTAATGCTCACGGGTTACATTGCTACAACTTTACCTCTTTTTCTCCTAAATTTTAATATAAAGCATATTTAGTACCATATATACAAACTAACTAATTACCCCTCAACCCCGTCATTCTTGACGGATTATTAGCAAGTCTCATAAACGCATTTAATAATTTACTAAACTCATTTATTTAATAAAAAAAAAATTAGGATATAATAATTATAATAATCAATTATTTGAAAAAATATACAATTTATTTATATAAAAAAATAATTACGAAAAAAAGAATAATATATTTATTAGAGACCTACAGGCCCAGCCCTAAGCCCGGTCGGGGTTATGCTTGGACGTATTTTAATTTTTTTTAAATATACTGGGCCTGAAATTTTTTTTAAAATAAATATCGGGGCCAGGCTGTATATTTTAAAATAAAATATTTGAAATCGCCATTATTCTATAAAAATTAAAAATAAATATTATATATTTTTAAAAAAACCGGGCCGGGTCTCAAAATTTTTCTTATTAGTAAGTAATGATTACTAATTTAGTAGTTTATTCAAAAATAATTCTAAAATAATCTAAGTCTTTGTCGTTCCTTATACTAAGTTCTATGATCTAATTTAGTAAAATTTAAAAAAAAATATAAATATTACCAGCAACTTGAGGGCAAAAAATATGAAATATATTGTGCTAGGCAAAGAAATATAACATTAAAAAATAGGTTTATTAATTGATGGTTACAAAATTATGAAACCTAGCAATGTTACAATTTAAGAAAAGAAAATCTATTTGGAAGGGAAATTATATTATTGTTGCATATCCTTTTGTGAACACAATCAGACATTTAAACAAAATTTTAAATTAATAAATTTTTTAAAAAATTTATTTTAAAATTAATTTATCACACTCTTGAATAGGACTGCCCACTTGAAAATTTTATTGTAGTGGACAAAACTAGATTTACCCACCTAGGTTCACCCATTGGAGGTGAAAGTGCTATATTTCATTTCAGAGATGAATTTCTTGTCAAATTCAATAGAATGAAAAATATTATAAAACATTTACTTGCTCATCAGGCTTTTTATTTATTTAAATATTTTTTATTCATTCCTAAAATTTACATCCTTTAGTTCATCAACAATTTTCATGTCCTTTGAAATATTATTAGACCTTGAGGTTCATTATAAAAATACTCTACCAAAGCTAGGTGGTATAGGTATCCATTCCCCACTTAGGCATTTCAGCCTTTTTATCCTAAGTTGCTAAATTTCTATACACACATGGAGACTTGGATACTATCGAATCCACATAATATGGCAGCATTAAACCCCTCTGGAGCAAAGATTCTCCAAGCGGCTTATATCCAAATTTAAGACAAAGAGACTGGAATTTACCATTGATACAGCATTGCGTTGAATACTTATACTTCAAAGCTGTTCAAGGAAAATCTCCATCGCTTTTTCTCCCCTTAAACCCAACCCCGAGTATATAGAATGACAAAAATACGACTCTTTTGCTGGATCAAATAATTCCAACCTCAGCCATATGCCACATTGGCTACGATGATTAGAAACTATACCTAGTTCTAATTTAGGCTTATTTATTAACCAACGAAGAACTTAGAATAGTTATAGGTCTTCGTTTTGTGAAATCGTAACGCCGACATCATGTGTCCCTTGTAGTGTTGTTAATCGGCTCGATTTAAGCCGATTTTAAAACGGCTAAATTAATATTTTAGCTAGAAAAATATTATCTAAGCCTCGAGATTTCGTTAATAGATGTTCAAACCTTTGTGTCACCTATGAGCAAAATCTTAAGGCGTGCATAATATTTTCTCTAATAAAATATTGAGTTAGCCGTTTTTAAAAATTGGCTCAAAATGAGCCATTTAACAACACTAGTCCCTTGTGAAACTGTCATCGATAGTCTTAGACACCCCCCCCCCATACTGGCGTTTTTCAAAAGACAAATTATCCAGGCACTATGTCATCAATTCGATCATCAATAGAATCTTGAAATCCAATATTCTTTCTACACTGGGACCCTCTGGCTTCAGCCCTTATTGAATGACGCTAATCCCTTGTAACCAAGGTATGCCCCTCGCTTGGGATTATACATGTGTAGATCGTTTTGCCAGATCTTTTTATTCACGAAAGCTGAAAATACAAAAACAAATAAATATAACTACCTTAATAATCTTTTGTTTGTTCCGGTAGTTACAAACACCTGTGGATTATTTGGACCCCAAGCCTTAAGATTATTCAAAACAATAGGGCAAAGGTTACGTTTAATCACAGGTGATCCAAAAAAGGCTTCTACCTACGACAAAGAATATCAATCAAAATTTGTCGATCCAAATGTATATATATATACATGGGTCATTAAGCCCCGCCGACCAAACCTAAATACTTATTTTATTTAATTTCTCTTCTTTTAATTATATATTTTTACATAGAATATAGATATAGTATTATAATTTTAATAAATAGTTACAGTGTTGTGCAGATTTAATTCAAAACATTTCCATATTTATTAATTTATTTGAAAATAAAATTATTTTACTTGCAATTAAAAATAAAATTAATTACTGGAATATATTATTTAGATTTATATATATTTTTTTTTAAGTAACTAGTTACTTTTTGCAGTTACATTTCAAAAAATATAACTAGTTAGAGTTACTAATTACAATTTTTATAGTTACTAGTTACAATTTTTGAAATTTAATTAGTTACAGTTACTAGTTACAATTTTTAAAATTTAACTAATTACAGTTATTTTTTAGCAAAAATCTAGTTACTTTAACAACACTAAAAAAAACTACTATGCATTGTTTATCTGAAAAAAATATATCATTTATATACTTATAGAAACAAATATAAACAAATTATATGCGTATTTCATTTCATTTTTCTTTCAGATGTTATCTTTTTGTTGTTCTATTGGATATAATCAAAATAGAGTAATAAATCATTCGTTATCTTAAAGCCAAAAAGACATTGATAAAAATAAAACACCTACATAGAAAATTAGTGCCAAAACTATTCTCAAGATAAAACAAAAATGATTATTTTATTAAGAAAGACATATCTGAGAACTCCGATGATAGGCATTCAAAATTGTTGGATACATCTTTGGCAATTCCTAAAAATTTCCATACATAAGAGCCTTATTTATAAAAATATAATACACCACTGTTATCGTAAAAGCTTATTGAAGGGGTGATAAATACAGCAAAAAAAGCATAAAGATAAATGTACTTATCAGATAACGATTTTGAGAAAGAATTAATATTAAATATTAAAGTAAAAAAATCAGTGCAGCTTTGAGATTTTATGCAATACACATCGATTGATGAAATAAAAGGAGCACAATATATCATAGTAACAGTTTCGATAACGAGTTATTTTGATAAGGGCGTTGTTATTCAAAATTTTAAATATAACGACCGACATATCTAGAAAATATTAAACATTTTTATCAGAGACTTGCAGGCCCGGCCTTAAGCCTGGCCCGTTTTGATTTTTTAAATACACCTTGACCGGGCATAAAAAATTTTTTTTTAAAAACCCCTGGCCGTATATTTTAAAACCAAATATTTTAGATCGCCATTATTAGATATAAAAACTCTAAATAAATATAATATTTTTTTTTAAAAATCCGGGCCGGGCCGAAAATTATTTTTTGAAAAAAATCCGGGCTGCGCTATTCAAATGGTACCTCTACAGGTTGATAATTATCATTAATAAATTTATGGGAAGACTTAGGAGAACCGATGAATGAACTGAACCGATATACTCAGATATTTTTCAAAATCTATAAAAGTAGATATTTTAGAAAATATATTTCTTAATCTAAGGAATAATTTTTTGAGGGATCCTAACTGGATGCTATATAGTATAGGTTATGGTTTGGTTATGTTTCAGTTAGTCGTTAGTTATAACATAATGTTGAGAGTGAAATGATGAGAACGGCCAGGAAAGATTTAAAAAATAAGAAATAGGAACGTTTTAAAAAAAAGAGTGCGTAGTAGTTTATAAAAATGGAGTTAAGGAAAAGTGAAAAAGATTTATAGGAATGTGGGGAAATTGTAGAAATTTAGTTTTGGAAGATAAAAATTAGAATAAATTGTGAATGTAAGGAATATATATATTGAGTAAAAGCGATAAATTATGGAATGGATAAAATAAGGAAATTTTAGGAAAATGTGTTGTAAAAGTTTCTTTGGGGGGGGGGGGGGATTTAAATGATAGAATTTAGTGTTTCAAGGATAAATAATTAATTATGATTGGGGGTAAATTGTAGAATTCATTTTTTTTTAAATTAAAAATTATGATATTGGAAGAAAAAAGAGGTTAAGAAATGTGTTGAGTAAACGTAATTAATTTTGAAAATTAGTATAACGATAAAAAAAAGTAGGTAACAAAAACGTTGGAAAAATAAGGAATGTGAAATTGTTTTTGAGAAAGCAACTGGAACGTGTTAATTAAATGTTATATGAATTAAATAACATTAGAAAAATAAATATGAAGAAAATAATGTATTTTTGTAAAGTTATTTGTAAAAAAAAGGGGGAATTTATTTAAAATTTTTTTTAGTAATAATTATATTTTGTTAAAAAATTTTAAAAAAAATTATTTTTTAGTCTCTAAATTAGTGATCTGCATCGGGCCTAATTTTTCAAGCACGGCCCGGCCCAAAATTTTTTTTAAAAAAGTTTTGCCGGCCCGGCCCGAATCCGAGATTTTTTAAAAAGATTTGCCGGCCCGGCCCGGATTTATTTAAATATAGAAATTAATTTTTATAATTACTCAAAATAAAAGACATATGTTATATGGCGTTTTAACTTTGCAGACTTCTACTTCATATTTTATTATTTTTTATTTAAGGTAGCGATGAATAAATATATAAAAAAAAAATTTTGTTATTATAACATTCATACTTAAATTGAAAAATTTTATTCGGACTCGGGTCGGATTGATCTAAAAAATGTGTGCTCGAGCTATGGTCGGGCTCGGACAAAAAAGTTTTTTAAATTTGGGCTCGGGTTAGGCTCGGTGCAAAAAAATTACTTTGCAGGCCTCTACTTGTGTTAGCTAGTATTGTTAAACGGCTCGTTTTGAGCCGATTTTTAAAACGGTTAACTCAATATTTTAGCCAGAAAAATATTGCCTAAGCCTCGAGATTTCATACATGTCTAGACCTTTGTACCTTCTATGAACAAAATCTCCAGGCTTGCGTAATATTTTTCTGGATAAAATATTGAGTTAGGCGTTTTTAAAAATCGGCTCAAAGCGAGCCATTCAACACTAGTGCTAACCCCTAGTAAACTCTATGTTAAAAGACATTGAGAAAAGGCAAATAAAATTTACTTACTGTATTATGGAAATTTTATTTTCACAGCAAAAATAAATGTAATTATGAATGATCCATAATTTAAGTTGGTTTAATTTATTTTTAATTCAATATTTTATAGGTAGAAATCTAAGATGATATATAATTGTTTTGGTTTTGACTGAATAATTTATTCTAACTTAAAGTTAAAAGCTAAAAGATTTATAACATTTTATAATTGATATATTTTGAATACACTATTTTTGTAACTATTACATTCCCCAACCTAAACAATGAAGATAATGTGTTGGCTGTCTTGATTCATCCCAATTTTGAACTAAACTTCTTATATAAATTCCGATGATGCTAAAGGTCAATGTGAGAGGCTTATGGTAAAGCTGAATAGTCTCATACCAAACAAAGATTCCTAGTTACAACCACAAAAACGACTTCCATTGATAATTTTTTGAAATTAAGGATGCTAAAAAATCCCCTATACACGTTTTTTAAATCTAAAAATACTCAATAATTTTTATTATATTAAAAATATGTATATAAAAGTAAATACTGGCCCTCAAGTGCTAGTGTTGTGAGATTATTTAGTAAGACAAAACTTATATGATTGTAACTCTAGAGTTGTGGATGTAGTATAGTAAATGATTTTATTATAAAATGCAACAAAATAAATAAAAAATGAATATTACCATAAATAGTTATTTTTATTTTTTAAATTATAATCTTTTTACATAATTTTTTTTATAATCAAAACTCACTAGATTTAAATATTTAGAAATGTTAATTTTTATGTATTATATAATGTACAATTACATTATAAGAAAAGAATAAAACAAATTTATTTCTAAATTGTTTTTTTAAAAAGAAGCCAAAGTTATTTTTAAAAAATAGTAAAATAGCATACTATTTTTTTTGATGAGTTGCGATAGGGGTAGTGTCATACTTTTTTTTGGAAAATAACAATAGCAGTAGCGCATTACTTTTAAAAGTATGGTTTAACAACTCTGGTTAAAAGGCTACATAGACTTGGTTCCTTAAACTACTGTATCCAAAACATCAAAAAATTTCATTTGAAAATTTTATCAAAAGACACAAAATAAGCTTCTTTATAATAGAAAATTACAAATGTGGCTAAAAATCTTTTTAAGTATTAGATAGTCTTAGCGAAAAATGAATAAAATTTACAGGGGAAATTTCCCACTCATTACTCTCTTTATCTATTATAATCATAAATGAGATTGGGTAATTCTAACCAGAATTTTTACTGCAAAGTTGTACTTGGAGGGCAAGGGGAATCTTTTTTAATAGAAAACTAGCAAGATGGACCAATTAGTATTTCATTAAACATCTTATTTTTTTATTGAACTTTGCTACCTCAACCTCAAATATCTAATCTGGGTAATTCTAACCAGAATTTTTACTGCAAAGTTGTACTTGGAGGGCAAGGGGAATCTTTTTTAACAGAAAACTAGCAAGGTAGACCAATTAGTATTTCATTAAACATCTTTATCATTTTTTTATTGAACTCTGCTACCTCAACTTCAAATATCTAATCTTTATATTAGTGATGACCTAATTAATAATTTGTTTGATATCAAAATATGGATCCTATGCTTACAAATCCTTACTAAAACAATGTTTTTACCCATGAATTTCTATTTTTTCATTATTTAAATTAATTATGTCTAACAATTAAATATAGAATCTTTAAGAATAGATTAAGGTCAAAAATATTTAAAATCCTTGAGTATAACTAATTATTAAAAATTGAATAACGTAAAGTTGCTGAGCCAAGATATATTAAGGCAAAAATATTATATCCTATATAGATGAGTAGCTATAGAAGGTAGGTGGCAGCTATCTTTTTAAATTCTTAATTCTTAAAATATAATTTTTTTAAGGATTTTAATGAATGTGCATATGTCCATTTCACCAAACAGTATAGAAACCTATGACTATATAGTGCAAATATATTAAGCAATTATATTATAAATAAAAATATGAAATATAAGTTAAATATTATTTTAAGATATTAGAAATAGAAATAGTTTCATTTAAAGAACCAAAAAAAGTTTGATAATTTAAAACCTTGATTGAGATAGGTAAATATAATTTTTTTGTAAACTGAATAGATGTTGAAATAACCTTTAAATGATATATAGAATTCCATGTAAAAACAAATCGATTTAAATGTTTGAACCGTATCCTAAAAAGGTAAGGAATAATCATCTTTCAAAGATTTTTATAATTTTAAATATGATAGAAATAAGTTATATATTTTTATATTATATATTTTTTATATTTTTTAAGCCTTAAAAAATTTAAAAAATCATCATACACTATTATTAATTCCTTTACTTTTCTACTTTGATGAAAATCTTAGGCTTGATGGGAGATTAACTCCAAATAACTAAGTTCAGCTATTGTACCATATATAAGTTTAACAACTTTACCTCAAGGCTTAAATATTTGATAACAATTTTTAAATATATTTAAAATATTACTTATTCAATGTAACATCTGGTTGACTCCTTAAAACCCAGAATCAACCTCACAAACCATGCATTCATTCAAAATGATAAATTTTTATAAAAATTTTTCATATTCACATGGATATTTTCTGAAATACTTTTGTACAAACACCAAAAATTCTCAATGCATACAAAATCTAATAGATAAAGCTCCCAAAAAAGTTGTAGTATTTATGAAAGGAACTAAGGAATCGCCCAAATGTGGCTTTAGTAATGCTGTTGCTAAAATATTTGAAATGCATGGTGTTGACATTTACGATATTGATGTTCTTGAAAACGAAAAAATTCGAAATGGTTAATAAAATTTAACATTTAATTACATTGTTTTTAAAAAAACAGCTATTAAAGAATATTCAAATTGGCCTACGATACCTCAGATTTATATAAATAAAGAATTTATTGGTGGGTGTGATATTCTTTTACAAATGCACAAAAACGGAGAGCTAGTTGAGGAGCTCAAGAAAGCAGGAATTATATCTAAAATTGAATAAACATTTCAATCAAATACTAGTATATTATATGATCTTGTAAATAGTCCAAATTGATTTTTGCATAATATATATAATACTGATAGTTGTTAAAGATGTGTGAATTTTGGAAATAAATTGTAGAATATTATTAAATCATATTGGTTGATTTAATATAAATTTTTTCTATTTCCTTACATAACAATGACATCAAAAATCCTATATCTAAAACTATATTCTTGATAATTTCAACTTTGATAAATTTCAATTGACTATAAAAAAATTTTAAAATTTACATAAGATTAAATGGTTTTAAAAAAAGTTAAGCTTTACCTTGGTTTCATTCAAAGGCCCCTACAATGGAAATACCTGTTAAATATGGCAATCCCAATTAATTTTAAGGAGAGGTCTGATACATACTTAACTTTGTTATATTATGATTTCTGCACAATTGTCTCAAGAAATTGTAATTAGAAAATGGTAGGAACTAGAGGTCTACATTGGGCAGGTTTTTAGTCTGCCCACTCATGCTCGGTTCATCTAAATGGGCCCACAGGATAGCAGGTTAAACTTTTTTTAAGAATAGGTGGGTGGTCAGGCTAAGGATAAGAAAAATATTTAAACTATGGGCAGGTAGGTGGACAGGTTAAAAAATTTACAACTTTTGTTATTTAAAATCATTTATATAAATATTTAAAAAATGCTCCATGAAATTTCAACATTTTTAATATCAATTGATATCTAAGGATGTGTTGATATCGAAAACATATATTTGCATGGAAGAATATTATATCAACGTGGATGAAAATCTTATTTTACCCATTTCTTCAATAGCAAAGAGAATTCAATTAAAGACATTAAATTATAAATGCAATGTTTGAAATAGATAGTATCCACATCAAAATTAAACAACAACAGATGGGAAGATATAGCTGTTACAGAGGAGAGCACCTTACCTAATGACATAACAAAATATTTAAATCTTAAAGTAGTGAGTTTTTGTATAAGGATTTTAGGCTACTAAGTGTAGTTTAAGTTTACCATTTATAAACAATTAATTTAAATTACTTTTTTAATGGTTTCCCTTTTTATTTAAATATCTTACCTAAGTGGAGGATATTCTTCAAGCGGATATCCTACTTTGGTGGAAACAACAAGAAAAAGATTTATTGAAGCTATCAAGATTAACCAGTGCTGATTCTGAACGGGGAATTAACATTGCTGGAAGGTTTATTTATAGAAAAATATGGAACATGCATAAATCCAGAAATTGTTGATTCATTCTTATTTTTACATTATAATTATAAATTATATCAATAAATATTTATTTTATATTTTTAGATAAATATTTTATTAAATCAAATGAATTCTTTATCTATAATTTAAATGAATTTTTTTTGCTTAATATAGTAATTTCCTAAATTAGTAAACTTTTTTATAATGGTGTAGCATTGAAACTGAATCATTTTTTTTAATTAGTTGGAAGAATGAGCTTATTTAAATTTTATGGGTGTGGGTTAAAAAAAATTATATAATGGGCAGACGAGTAAGAAATTTTAGACTAATGGACAGGTGGGCGAGTGAAGAATTTAGACTCATGGACGAGTGTGTATATTTTTTTTAAAAACTATTGGTGGGCATGTATAATTTTTTAAAAATATTGGACAGGCAGGCTTTTGGGCTAAAAACCAGCCCATTGCAGACCTCAAGTAGGAACACCATGTAAAATAAGTTTGGTTTCTAAATAATTTTGAAATTTAAAACAAGAACCTGAACTTTTTTTTACTTTATTACTGACAGTAGATTATCATCGTTATAAATGTTTGTTCTGGTTTTCATTATAACAATTAAATTTGGTTTTAATTTTTTTTGTATAATCATAGTAGAGCTCTATAAAAAAACTTGGGCAGATTTAAATAAATAAAATAATATATTCTCTTCCTTTTGTAAAATAAAATGGTATATATTATTTCTCTAGTATTAGGAAAAGGGAATTACTAATTTTTATTTATTTAAAATAATATGCTTAATTTATAAATTAAGATTTTTTGCTAAGCTTGGCCCTATGAGTCATTTAAAATTTTTTGGGCAAGGTTACATCAATGAATAAAAAATTTGGGCCTAGTTTTTTTTCAAATTGAATCAAATTCCAGGCATTTTTTAAAAAAATTTGACTAGCAAGCTGAATTTTTAAAAAGAAAATAAATTTGTACCAAAAACAAAATGAGAAAAATCAGCCAAAACAATTAAACAAACATTTACCTATAAACATAGAAGCCCAGTGCAATTTTTTTAAATTGAAAAACAATGTTTTTTTAAATTTTTTTGCCAAATTTGCTCTTACCAAAATTGACTTAAAGTTTATAATAATTATCATATAGTAGTAAAATACATCGAAAACGTTTACAGGGGAATTTACTAAAATTATTATTTTTATACAATAAAACCACTTGTCGGAATTTAAAATGGGATAATCAATGTTTAACAACAAATTCTTCATAAATTCATTAACATAAGTAATATAAATTGATTTGATGGTGTGTTTCAAACTCTTTTAAAACCATGAAATTACTAAAATTATAAGCAATAAATGAACCCTCTAAATCATAAAATATTTTGAACAATAATAAATTATTATACCTTCATTAGAACCAGTTCTTGAAAAATTTATAATAGAGGCATTCCAAGTTTTGTTTTAACCAAGGGTTCTGGCTTCGGTTCCAAAATCAAAATACTATTAAGTTAACATTAGGAAACAATTTTAAAGCAAGAACTAATTAAAAATATAAATCAAGCACGAGACAAAAATCTATAAATCAAAAAATAAAACAAATGTAAACTTAAAGTTAAAAACAAAATCTCGTTTTGTTTTTGGTTTTTCCGAGTCCTAGTGATTATCATTATTATCAATTATTGGATAAACATATATTTATAATCATATAATTTATTATCTTTTATATTTTAATAGTTGAATCTTGAACTAAACTAACGATTTAAAATTTACCTTGTAAATACTTAATATGAACGTTAAAGTGCGATGCCTTGCTCGGATTGCCTTATGGTAGCTTAAATCCAATTAGAAATCTAATTTATTTTTCACAACTAGATTAACATAGAGATAATACAAAACTAACAACTTGTCTCGATTTTTTACGCTTTTCAAATATGATATCTTCGATACATATGTTGGCATAAAAGAAAAGACAAAAGTCTAAATTAACTAAAAGGAATTAACCAAATCCATGTCATCTTAGAAAGGCGTATATACCTTCAGATCCCTTGGTCAAATAATAAGAGATTAAAGATAACCATATCACCAATACAGTCCAACTCATAGTAGAGGCTCAAACGGCTGTACTCAAGCTACATCGATGAACTACGAAAACTAAACCTATTCAACTCTCCAACCATCTAAGAAATACATTCTACAGCATCAGGCAAATAACTCACATGAAAATAGTTAGTGGACGCCAATATATGAATTCAAAGCGAAAAATAACTCCATATAAAAAATTAATATTTTTAATAATTATAATTTGTATCTTCTTTTTTTTTATCTTTACTTGTAAAAATACTATATATTTTTTAAAAATATTTTATAGCGTTGTATTGTTTTAAAGAATTTATTTTAATAAAAATTACAAAAAAATGGTTCAGTTTCCTGCTTTTAGTATTGTTCCTGGAATTTTAAGAGTTTGGTCAGGTTCGGTTCGCTAAATTAAATTTTGCAAATACATTTTGTGTTAATTTACAAAAGTAGGGAAGCAATTTGAATTTATTTGTTCTAATTAATTATTAAAATTAAATTATAAAAATTATCGTTGGACTTTAAGTTCGTTTTTTTTCAATTGAAATAATTGGGTAATAATGTATTTTAATATACAAAAAGTTTTTATTCATTTTAATTAAAAATCCTAGCTCTGTATTTCCCGGGAGTTGGAACCAATGCCGGAAAAATGTACGTTTTACAAATTTACCCTTATTTAAAAGTTAAAAATATAAGACTTTTAATTTGCTAATTAACATGGTATTTTTTTCTATTAAAAAAATTAAAAATTAATTTATATTCCTTTTTCTTTTTTCTTGAATTTATTAGTCCTGGATACTATTTAATTTGAGTCTTAACACGAGTAAGTCAAAACAAAAAAAAATCAAATATTATAATTATATTTTCCAAACAAATATTTTGGGAAACTCGGCACATGCAAAAATAATTAGCATACTTTTCTTTTTCTCTTTATTTTTCTTAAGATAAGAAATATCAGAGTTTGAAATTCATCAAAATAAAAAAATCCTCATAAAATTGATCTCTCAAGATTTTTTGAGAAGTCTCATACTAGGTTTTGATCAAATTTTACCTAAAATTTCAAATCTCTTTCGTAATCTTTTATAAGAAAATTCTTTGTGATTTTAGGCATAAAAAGACTTTCAGGAAGAAATGTCAATTTTCTTTCTTTCTTTCTTTCTTTCTTTCTTTCTTTCTTTCTTTCTTTCTTTCTTTCTTTCTTTCTTTCTTTCTTTCTTTCTTTCTTTCTTAAAGAGAGAAAGATTTAAATTTATTTCCCAAATCCCTTATGTGGTCTATCTGAGATTTCGCTTTAGAAGGAGCAAAATATATAAGGAATTTTTTGACCAGGCCCCAGTTGTAATTTAATTGCTAATTTATAACATTTTATCTTTCTCAATGTCCTTTATTTTTATGCTAAGTGTTATTGTCACAAACATCTCTTAATTTTTTTATAATGTTTATTAATATTTTAATTCACCATTTTGTTCAAGGCATTAAATATAGAGTCCATAAAACCTCTCTAAAATAAGAGAGACCGGGGTAAAGCGATTGATGGGGTAACAATGTTAACGCGAATAACTTTCTAACCCTTGAGCATAAAGACTTTAAATTTGGTGTGAAGATATATTTTTATACCTGATTTCATCTTTTGAAAAACTTTCCTAGTTTCACATATTTTGCCAAAAAAAATACTTTCTGAATAAATTACGTTTTAATAAATTTTTATTAGTAGGTAAATTATTTAAACTAATATTTAAAAAATTTTAATATAGTCTTTAATTATCACATAAATGATTTCACCTTACACCATTTGATTCAGCCTATAAAATTTTTGAGTTTTAAGCTTTTATACTCAATTCAGATATATATAATTTTAAACTTTTTTACACTTTCATATTATTGGTTTATTTAATATTAATTTGAGTAGGCAAAATAAAAATAAACAAATTTTTAATTAATCACCCATTTTTTGAAATGAAAATGGAATCTAAAATACCCCCTATATATAAATAGAATTCAAAGATGAACAATTTAATTTTTAATATATTACAAAATTTTTTAAATGAAAATAAATCCTAATGCAAAAGAAAAATATATCTAAATTATTTTAGATTTCTCCTATTTATGACATTTTTCATCTAGAACCTAATGAATTTAATAATATATTTAATTTAATTTTTAAAAATATTAAACTAATAAATTTGATATTATTATATTTCATTAAATATAAAAAGAATTTATAAAAGAAATGTTTAATTTTAAAAATGTTAAACTAATAAATTTGATATTTTTTATTATAAGATTTGTCATAAAATTAAGGTGATAGTGTGTAATATAAGATATTAATAGAGGTTTAATATTTTGGAATTAATGTGATTACGCAATATATATATATACGTTCCTTGGTTTTCGTTAAATTTTTTTAACAAAGTTATTAAAGATAAACATTTTTTATTTTGAACTATTTCTATTTTCCATAATAACGATTTAAAATTAATCTATTACAAAATGTGTTTAATATAAAAGAATTCCATATGTAGATAATTTTACTACCTGTTAATTTTTTTGAAAATATAAATTCATATATAAGAATAAATGTAATAGAAACTTTAAGATAGAAGGGGGCTGAGTGGGAAAGAATGTTTGCGTTTGGAACGTTAAGTCTGTGGTTTGAATCTCGTTGATGTATTAAAAAAATAATTTAACATTAGAGGTATATAGTCTCCTTTGATTTATTTAACCTTAAGATGGTAGGAAATTTGATAGAAAAAATTAAAATTAAGATACGAAAATATTCATTTTTTGATTACGGAGATTATATAAATTAGATAATTTGACTGATTATATTTCGGATATGTTAATAGGATTGTATTATAAAAATATATAAAAATGTCATTTTTGACCAAAAGTAGATATGGAGTTAAATTGGTTGACGATGTGCTGAATCTGCATTTTGAGATATTCCAGTCCAATCCTATGTATTACGACTTTGTTTTTAAGTTTAAAAACTTCAAAATATACTAAATTTTAAATTTATTTCTTTAGTAATAACGGTTATTCCACAGATTACTAATAATTGTTTTTTTTTAAAAAAAACGAATGATTTCAACCATTCCTAATGAAATATTTTATTAAAGTATATTTTTTTAAAAAAATCGTATTTTATAATTATTTTTATTACAAAATAAATGCATTATATAATTAGTTTTAACATAACCATGATGAATTAATCTATATTAAATATTTTTTCGTAAGCTTTATACATATATAATTTTGAACAAAATTCGTCTTTAAGAAAAAAATCGAAAGTGTTATTAGTCACTGTGCGGTTGTTATAATTGTGATAGGCAGAGCACGTTTTTTCGACTCTAAGGTCAAACGAATTCTTTAACAACCAAAATTGTCTGATCAACCATTGATGTAAATTGCATTCGCACGTGATATTATTACCTTTTAGATCTAAAATCGATAAGGATTGTAAAGGAGAGGTGTGCGTGAAGGAGTCCGGAGAAATAGTTCTGATAGAGTTTCCTGATAAATTTAAACTTTTCAAGTGTATAAAGCTTAAAAAGACGGCTGGGTTAAATATTCGCAGCATATTCCCGGTTAAATTTATGTAAGTAATGTTTGGGAAAGAAACGTGGGAAAATATCCCCGATATTGATTGGTCGGTTAAGTTATTGTAGCTCATCGATAAGGAACTGGCTGTAAGGTAATCGTAGATGTGTACATGTGACGAGGAATAATTGGATAACGATTTGTAGTGTGTGTCATTGTAAATGTGCGTTAAAGGATTATAATCAAGCATGAGTGTGGATAATGAATTTAATTTAGTAAACGTGAATGGTTCAATCGTGTGAATCAGATTGTGCGCCAGATCGAGGTATTTTAACGAGGTTAAACCATTAAAATCCTCCGTTTTCAATGCTCGTATAATATTACCCGAAATATATAAATATTCTAGCTGCGAGTAAGTTATCATTGTTGGTACGCGATCTAAAAAATTACCAGATAAATCTAGAACCTTCAGGCTTTTTAAGGTGTCTATATTTTTCAATAATTTTAAATTGTTATGTGATAAACCTAACCACAATAATTTAGGCGAAAAACATTTTCCGTCAAAGATATCCAATTTATTGTAGTTTAGTTCGATTTTTGTGATAAATTTTGGTATTTGGAAGGATTGGCATGAGGTATTTTTAAACGAATTATAATTAAGCTTTAAATATTTTAATGCAATATAACTCGCAGCTATATTTAAATATTTTAATCGATTATTATCAAAATTTAGAGTAACAACTTTGTTTAATCCTCTCAGATCTTCCTGATTTAGACGAATAAATTTATTACCGGAAAAATCAATGCTTTTAATTCTATTAGGATAAAATAGACTAAAAATTGATGTGTGAGTTCCAAAGTGTCTAGCCTCAATGAATGATAGATTTAAGAACTTCAACTTGAAGGGTGCAAAAGACCCCAAGATAGCCCGAATATTGTCGGGTTCGATAATGTTATTAGCTAAATTTAGCCATTGAATGTTGCGAAACATATAAAAATGACTGTAAATTATATAGAAATTGATTTGACAGGAAGATAAATCTAATTGGTTAAGGTTAGAATAATTCAAATTGACAAAATCGAAATGCGTTATCTGTCGTATAGGATTGTTGTTCATTATTATAACCTGTAAAACTGTTAGATTTCTATAACATTTGCCGAAAAATGGAACAGAGATATTATTCATTCCTACATTGAGTACATGGATTCTGTTTAAATAATTCATCACTATCGAAGGTATATGTTCCAAGGAATTATTATAAAGGATTAGTCTTGTTAGATTTTGTAGATCATAAAAGGAACGTTCTTCAATATAAACAATTGAATTGTGAGAAAAATCCAAAGTTTCAATATTGTATATACCTAAGAATGAATCTACTGATAAGGTCTTCATATCGGCATAATTAATGGTTAAACTAACTAATTTAACGAAATTAGCGAAGCTAGCTTTAGGTAAAACCGTTATATCTTGGTTATGTAAAGTAATCGATTTTGTATTATTGTTATCTAATCTTGACAGAATGGATAAGTTGGAGCGGCAACCAAAACTCATATCGCTGAAAGAGCAAACGCAGTAATGAGGACATTCCATCGATATTATGACTCGTACATGGATGCCCATTATAGCAAAAATAAATAATAATTTACTATTTTTACGATTATAGTACATAATTTTAATTGTAGGCAAAGATTTTGATTTATAATACAAAAAGTGATCAATATTTTTTAAACAAATTTCTTCCTAATTATAAACATTATTTATTGGTTAAATAAATAAAATAAAAATATATGAATTTGGTAAAAGCTATTATCAAAGATTATTTATTTTCGGAGTTAAAATCTATTTTTTGAATGAAAAGTCATATTAAACATTATAAGAATACTTCTAATCTTGATGCCTTTAGGTCAGTCCCGCTCTCACAAAATCTATTTATAATTTCCTATCATAATGTTTTATACGTTTAAAACGCTACGACCCTTGAATGGGCATCTCATGAAAATTTTATAAATTACAGAATGCATTTCATATTATCGTTGAAATAAAAATTATTAATATCTGAATATACAGTATAATAAATCTTTTTTATTTAAATTTACCTCACAATCCTTCTATAATATAATCAGGTAAAAACTAATAATTTTTAATCTCCTCCATGTGAGCTATCCTAAGCTAGTCTCTAAAAAAAAATTATAATTGAACGGTTTAAAAATAGTTTGAATTCAGGTTTGGTTGTAGAAAAAACTTTTTATACAAAAAGATTTTTTGACCATTATTATAAATAATTATATAATGAATTACATAATATTCTATCAATTACTAACAGAATATTAATTTTCCTGATAATTATTTGTATTATTCGAAGTTTAAACAATAATTAAAAATAAATTTTCTTTCTCTTTCATTCGGATCAAGCCGGACCTGCAAAAGACATGCCCGATGCAGGGATCACCGCAACGTTTCACTCTATTTTATTCATCTTTAACTAAAAATTAATTTTTTTTCATAATTATGGCTATAATTATAAATGATCTCTATATTAAGATCTGCAAAAAATATTTCAAAATTAATCAACTTGGCGAATTTTGATAGAATGATATTACAAAGAAATTTTTGGAGAAGAAAATCGACATGTTTTTATAACTCAATTAAGTTCTAACTTTGTAAATCATTTATGTTTAGGAGCTGCAAATTTTTTAAAGGGGTGGTATTTTACCCAGTATTATAAATTTTATATAAAATTTAAGATAAAAGAGCAATTATTTCAATTATATTTAAGAACAATATTTACATTTTAATGTTTGTCATAGTCTTACTTGCATAATCATACTATATATTTAAATTAACAAACTACAATAATATTATCTGCGTAAAAATATTTATAATTGTGTTCAATAGCATCTAAGGACCAAATGTCAAGTAAGAAATTTTTAAAAGTCCTGATAAGATATACGATTCATAAACAGTTTTTGCCATTTTTAAACATTTCCATCTCTGACATCAATATATCTGCTTAATATAGTTTTATACTCACATTTGATAGGTTTGGATGGTAATTATTGTTTAATAGAACAGGGAATAGTTTGTAATATTTAATACAGTTACAATTAAAGTTTCAAAAAGGTAACTTACCTAGTTTTAATAGCGCTAATCATTATTATATTCAATATTTTTTCTTTCAAATCAATTAACTCACGAAATATTAGATAATTCTAATTTTTGGAAGTCTAATTAGAATGTTTTATTATTTTTTTTCCTCTATTTGTAGGCTAATTATTTGATCTTAAACTAAAGTTTTTACCATATAAAATGGATCATTTAGTTTATGAATTCTGAAACTGTGCTATTTGATCTGCGTCTAAGGTCGGAAACAAATTTTATTGTCGATTTTCCTCTTTATCTGAATCAGTAGCTAATTGATTAGTAACTGACTTTCCTAGGATTCATGAGTCATTGGAGATCAGAAGAATTAAAAATAGGTTAAAGTTTCCATATCATTTAATTTAAGTAACATTATAATAGCAAGTGACTTTTAAAAATAATTAAACTTAAGATAGATCTGAAATGCAATAACCCATTTGATTTCGTATGATCGTTTTATATTAAATCACTCAGCTTTTAATTTTATATAATGCAGACTTCAAAAAAAAAAATATATATAATTATTTTCCCTCATAAAATTTTCAAACATTTTATATATGTAAAAGATTGTGCAATCACAAAAATATTAAAGTGGTCGGTGTTATGTTGAGACAGACACAGAATAGTATCATTCTTTTATTTGGAGTATTGTATTTTTATATAATTTAATAAAAATTAGATTAATACACTTTCAAATTAAGTGATAAAGCGCATAGCTCTCTAATAGTTATAGATACAACGAGCTATACTATATTACTCATTTCTATTAATCTGGATATTAAGTAAAAGGGGATGAAGAGCTCTTTACCCGAAAGTGAGCAGGCCACATGCACCTGTATGCACAACAATCCGAAAAGTCCTCAGTCCGAGATACAAAAGATTTGGGCAAAGAAAAAGTCCAGGCCCAAGAAACATAAATTTAATTACTTTTATAGCAGGGGAAGAGCTGATTTTGAATAGCTATAATACTATGTTAAATAAGTAAATTTTGTTGATTAAAAAATAGAGATGTAACATAGGGTTTCCGTGAAACTTCTAAATTTCCCAGAAATTTCTTCCATAGTTTCCCCAATTTTTATTTTATGTTTTTTTGATCAAATAATCATGATTTTTATCATATATTAGAAAAATATTATTCCCTCTTGATTCACCTTCACGTATCATAATTGTGTTTTGTTTTTATATGAAGTTCATGATAATATTATAAAAGCTCTATTTTTAATAATAACTGAAATAAGGATAAGAAGTAGAAGTAGGTTTAAAGGTTAAAAAGATATAGGATAGAGTATGTCAACTTCCTCTAATAATTTTAATTCATCTAATGATAATAATTTAAATTTCTGAAAAAATAATTTAATGAAATATATAGATAATTTCGTAACAGCCATTTTTATGTTAAATTGTCCATTTTTCCATAATGCAACGTGTATTTGGAAGATATTATTTCAATCTATAAAAAAGCATTTATAATTCTCTCTCAAGATATTTACTCAAAAAATTTGTCAAACAGTGAATATGAAAGGATTAAAAATATAGTAATAAAAAGACAAGATGAAAAATAAAAATTTGAACCTTATTAATGATGGGTGGACAAATGTAAGAGTGAAGTATATTCTAATTTTCATTATAACAATCCCAAATCCCATTTTCTATAAATTAATAGAAACAGGGACCAATATGCATACGGGAGAATATTTATATCAAGTGAATCTATTAAAGTAATTGGAACAAAAAATTATTATCACAATAAAATGCAAGTAATGAAGAATGTCTGGACATTTGTGAGAAATAAATATCCAATTATCAAATGTATTGGGTTTGCATCTCATGGACTTAATTTGAATTTAAAGGATCTAGCAAATAAAATATTGCCAATATAGATTTTAATATAAGAGAGCAGTATTATAAAATAAATGTACATTCTTTTTTTAAGGAAAATCAACTGCTTGATAAAAATAGAAATGTTTTCTTAAAGTTTCAAGCCCAACTCGTTGCTCTTTATATTTTAGATAATTAATGGTCTGTTAAAAAATAAAAATATTTTGCGACTATACTGCAATTTTTTATAGAGATAAGAGGCCTAATCTGATAATGTAAATGATGAATTTTATCAAGTAATTTCTACACTAATAGAGGTAGGGGAAGCGTACAAATCAAATTTATCTGACGTTCCTCAGGCATTTATTTATATCTGGGAGATCACGGAACTAAATTATTAAGATCAAACAATTTAAGAAAAAGAAAAATATTTGCTGCCGGTGTACCGTTGAAAATTCTGCTATCATTTTACCACGGGTAGTCATTTTAGAACAATCGTAGCTGTTATAAAATGACTACGTTGTAAAATGAGTGCTGTAATTTCTCGCTTCAAAAGCATTGGTGGCCATTTTTTTAATGAAAATATATGTTTTGGGAATAGCGATTAATTTTATTGCTAAAAATTAATTATTCGCTTCAAAAACATTGACGGTCATTCTTTATATGAAAATTGAGGTTTGAAAATAATCATAATTAAAATGACTGCGATTAATAGGACTTCTAAAAATATTAATCATTGACTTCAAAAATATCGGGGGCCATTTTTTTAAGAAAATTAGCTTCTGAAAATAATTACATTTAAAATAATTGATATGATATAACTAATAATTCCTCGCTTCAAAAACATTGGTGGCCATATTTTAATTGAATAATATTAATTTCCCAAATTTTATATTTAGTCAGCTAATTTAAAGATCAATATCGAGAAAATATTTCTTAACTTTTTTATTATTTTAGATGAATCCGTCTATGCAATGAGGTGTTGAGGATCATGAATGTTATTAATATAATATCTTAAATGAGTATTGAAAGAAAACTGATTAAATTTTGAAAGGTCAAGATCTTTTAGGCCGAAATTTTTACCTTTTAAACTTATTTTCTATAATAATTTACTGCCCTATTTATAACTCTTAGGAATCATAGCATTTCATTTTTAAACCTGAACTTTTCAGCTTTATTTATGAAGAAATAAATATAAATAAACACGATAACTAATTTTTATTACAATTAATTGAACACAGTACATATTTAAAATATATATATTATAATTGAACAATGCGGTTTATAATTTTTATGAAAACTTAAAAAGCTCATATGTAAAAAATCATTGATAAAAAATATAGACAAAATTTGAGATTAGAATAAATAGTTATTCATATAAATTTAATTAAATCAATGATATAAAAAATGAATTTTATATAAATATAAGAATAATCATATTGATATATATACATAAGCGATATTATAAATTTGCCTAAAAATAGGCACAATATAAAAATTATTTATATGTATAAAAGACCAAACAAGGTTATAGTGACAAGTTGTAAATTTACATTTTGCAAAATTTGAGATCTCTAAATAAAATTTTAAACTTAACATTTTATTATGATCAAACTATTTGAAAGATTGGAAAATTTTTTTATTTTAATACTCCATTTTTTTAA